TACAGTGAACTTTCATGAATAACTTTGTATGTATTGTGTGTCAGGCTCATGAAGATACCTCTATAGGAGCACTTTTCTATGACAAAGATGTATATGCACTTCAGAGTTTGCTAGATTTCCCCACATGTTCTCCATGTGTGTGCTAAGTCATTTCAGTCAACATTTTGTGTGCTCAGTTGCTCAGTCGTGTCTGAGTCTCTGTGACCTCATGGACTGTAGCCTGCCAGGCTCCGCTGTCCATGGGATTCTCCAGGCAAGAATACTAGAGTGGGTTGCCATGGCCTCCTCCAGGGGATCTTCCCAACCCAGGGATTGAACCCATGTCTCTTATGTCCCCTGCATTGGCAGAAGGGTTCTTTACCACTAGCACCACCTGGGAAGCCCCCATAGAAGTTGTTATTTACACCTCAGTGAATGAGACATGTTATCAAACTTGTGATCTCTGTGAATCTTGTGGGTAAAAAGGTATCTTATAATTTTAATTTGCATTTATATTATGAGTAAGGCTGACCATTTTTCCCCATGTTAAAGATCCGTTCACTATTTTAATATAGTTCTGCCAGTGTCTCATATTTATTTGCACCTTCCATCTTCTGCCTCCCTCTTGTACATTTAGTTTTCTAAATACACTGTCCAGGGGTCTGGGTAGCCATGCCATTTTTCTTTTGATTTAGTTACGCAGTTAACTTTATTCCAAGTTCTGTACTCTTTTTACCACAGCAGACCCTTCATATGGAAAAATGCACCGATTACAGCATACAGCTTTATCTTGTTTTTTTTCCTTTTGGCCATGCCTCGCAGCATGTGGGATCTTAGTTCCCCAGCCAGGGATCAGACTTGTGGCCCCTGCAGTGTAAGTGTGGAGTTCTAACTACTGGACCGCCAGGGAGGTCCCACAGCGTAGAGCTTGGTGATGTTCCAGAGCAAGGAACAGAACATCAACAGCCCCCAGGAGCTCTCTTTTGTTCCCTTCTCCCCAGGCAGCTAGTTTCTGACCCTACAGGTTAATCTTAAAAAAAAAAAAAAGCTTTGGATGTGCATAAAGAAATTATATATATGAATGGTATATATGTTTTTGCTATGTGGCTTCTTTCAGCATTGTAAAGCTGTTATTTTGTGTGGCTACAGGTGGATGGTTCTCCTTGCTCTGCAGTATTCCATTGTACTAATAGACTGCGGTTTGTTTATCCACTTTACCCAGGCAGGGAGGGCACTTGGGTTGTGTCCAGGGCAGGCCTGTTACGAGTACAGTGGTGGAGTGTTCACGTATGAGGCCTTCTGCCCCACACCCCACAGCAGTGCTAGGACATGATGGCTCCTTTAATGGTCTCTGTGTTCAGATGAGCACGTGGAGACCCAGAGAGAGGTGGGTGACAGTTGCCCTAAGTCACACAGCTCACAGGCCTTCAGGCCAGGGCACGTCCTCCACACCGCGGAGCACGTGTGGCCCCGTTGGCTTCCCTGGTAGCTCAGCTGGTGAAGGATCTGCCTGTAATGCAGGAGACCCTGGTTTGATTCCTGGGTCTGGAAGATCCCCTGGAGTAGGGATAGGCTACCCAGTTTAGTATTCTTGCCTGGAGAATCCCCATAGACAGAGGAGCCTGGTAGGCAAGCTACAGTCCGTGGGGTCACAGAGAGTTGGACATGACTGAGCGACTAAGCACAATCCCTTGACAGCCATGGCAGGTGGCTTCTGGCATCCCCCCTTTTCCAGAAGAGAAACATTTCCCAAATAGCCAGTGGCCAGGTGGGGTTCTGTCTGAGGCATCTTCAAACACAGACAGGAGTTTAAAGGAAAAAAAAAAAAAGCAGGTTGAGAAGCAGGTGTTTCGACATTGATTTGTTGGTTAAGCCCTAAAATAGAATGGGCATAAAAAAACTCATGTTCTCTTCTGAAAGTATCATAGTAACTTCTAATATAACCCCTGAGTTATACAAAATAAAGGTATTGTCTTTTTGTAACTGTACTTATTATTCTGCTCATAAAAAGTTCAAGTATGAAAGCTCACGCTGGAGTGAATAATAAGTGTTTGCTGAGGTTTCATAGGCAGATGCTCACTGGTGGAAATTCCTTATGCAGTGACCCCAAGCCATCAGCCGTCAGCAGGCTGCCATGACCTTCCCGGACACCCCGTCCAGAACACCCACCAGCCCCCTTGCACCTGATCCACTTCCTCTTTCATGGCTCTCTCAGTGTCTGACATTGTTTTGTGGTTTGTCTGTGTCTCCCCCAGTGCAGGTTCAGGCTCAGTAGGCACCTTGCCTGTCTTGGCCTTGGGAGCCCCCCCATCTAGAGCAGAGACTGGGCTGGCGTCTGCTGGGAGGGAGTACAGGCTGGCCACTGAGCCTCCAGGAAAGAGAGAGGCTCCCACCGCCCCAGCCCAGGAGAGCCTGCTGCTCTGGGCCTCAGTGTCTGTCCTTCCATCTCCCCTGTCCTCTCTTGGGCTGACTTCTTACACCTGCCTGGTCCCTACGAGGCGTCGTCGTGGTTACCCTGGCCGTGAAAGAATGAACAGCACCGTGCATTTGTGACCCAGTTCTAATTACGCCCTGCTGTGATTAAGCTGTGTAGGTAGTTTATGGAAATCACTGAAGAGATAATCTATAAAATACTGTTTCTAAATGTTCTGAGCCAGAAACACGATCATCTAATAACTTAAGCTGGTTGTTCCTAAATTGGATCCTTCTAATATAAATTAAAGCTCTAACATGGGCAGACATCCAGAAGTTAAATAACAGATTTTATTGGTGAATCCACGAGGAAGCAGCCATTTTCCCAGCCCTGCTGGTGGGAAGGCAAAATGGTACAACCCTCATCGAGGGAAATTTGGCAACAGCAGCAAAATTACACATGCATTTATTCTTTGTCAGGGTGGTTATACTTCTTGGAATTTATTCCAAGAATACCCCAGCAAAAATATGAGAACAGCCACATAAAGGCTGTTGGTTGTGGTGCTGATTGAAACAGCAAAGAATTTTCGGTATCAGAGAGTTGCCGTGAGTGGGGCTGGCTGAGCAGACTCGGGTGTTTCAGTGCGGTGGAGTGCCTGCTCTGCAGCTGGGGAGACAGTCAAGAGTCTGGGGCTGGCGCTGAGGAGTGCTGGCCTGGATGCCCCAGCTGACCTTTGGCAGACAGTGCAGAGGTCAGGGGCACGGACCCTCTGAGCAGCTGGAAATCCACGTGTCATTTATAGTCGATCCTCCTTGACGCCGGTTCTTCCCTAGTCAAGGTTCGCACCCGTGGATTCAGCCAGCCACTGCTCGTGGAGCATTTTCGATGTTGGGGGAAGAAATCTGCATGTAGGTAGAGATTTGCAGTTCAAACCTGTGCTGTTCATAGGCCAATTGTGATTAGATTAAAAAGTCAGAGCGGACAAACATGTCTCTGGTATGCTACTGTCTTGAAAAGAGAATATCACATATGTACGTGTATTTGCAGGGAATGGGAGGATAAATCATACCTTATTTATTTTTAATGCTGCCTTTGGGGGAGGGAGGGAAGCAGGATGCTGCTGCTGCTGCTGCTAAGTCGCTTCAGTCGTGTCCGACTCTGTGCAGCCCCATAGACGGCAGCCCACCAGGCTTCCCCTTCCCTGGGATTCTCCAGGCAAGAACACTGGAGTGGGTTGCCATTTCCTTCTCCAATGCATGAGGGTGAAAAGTGAAAGTGAAGTTGCTCAGTCGTACCCGACTCTTAGCGACCCCATGGACCGCAGCCCACCAGGCTCCTCCATCCATGGGATTTTCCAGGCAAGAGTACTGGAGTGGGGTGCCATTGCCTTCTCCGAAGCAGGATGGGGGGGACACACAAAAGCTGTGCCTTATTTTGTCAACTCGACTTTGGGACCATGTAGATATTTTATAGCAATATAAAAAAGTTAGGTGAAAGGTTTTGATTTTTCAAATTTTGATAGACATTGTCAACATTTTCTCTAAAAGGTGTGTACTCTGTTTGCACTCTTTCTCTCTCACACCTTTTCCAACAACTGAATTAACATCTTTAACAACCGTGCCAATCTGTTAGAAATAGTGTGCTCTTTTCATTTGTGTTCCCCAGTGACGAGTGATTAAGCATCTTTTCATCCCTTTATTAGCCATTTTGTATCTCTTCAGCAAAATGCAAGTTCATAGCTTTTTTTCTCTTTGTTTATAAAGTCTCTATATGTTATAGATTTACTTTTCTTTTGTTGATAGCTGTTAGGTTCATGACCTCACTTCCTGTTAAAATTTTCAGGCCTGACTGTAGTAGCTGGTGGTGGTTTTGCTGTCACAGGTTAAAGGGTTTTTATAGTAACTTTATTTTTGGCTGTTCTGGTCTTTGTGGCTACACAGGCTTTTCTCTGGTTGTGGCGAGTGGGGGCTCCTTTCTAGTCACTGTGTGCAGGCTGCTCTTTTCAGTGGCTTTTGTTGCAGAGCGTGGGCTGGAGGGTGCATGGGCTTCAGGAGCTGTGGCACACGGCTTAACTGGTCTGCGGCAGCTGGGGTCTTCCCAGATCAGGGATCGAACCCGAGTCTCCTGTATTGACAGGTGGATTCTTTACCATTGGGAAGTCCCAACAGGTTTTTTCAAAAGGACGTTTATGTTTGATATGTTTGAAATGCACAGGAGCTTCCCACAGTAACTGAGGGTCAGACTTCCCTAAGCTGTCCAGGTGTGGGTGCTCAGCTCCTGAGCTCCTTGGAGCAGTGGAAACGTGGTTATCTGTCTAAGTGGTAAATCGCTGGTAAATGTTCACTTCTGTTGATCTTTGGTGAATATGTATCTAAATTTGATTGCCTTTCTGATTTGAGATTGTTATTGACTTTTAATGACCAAGGATAATCTTTTTATGTTCTGGTCCATTGACTACCTGAATGAAGCAGTACTTTCTCATGAAAAAAAAAGAAAGGGTACAGTGAAAGGATTGAAACTTTTCAGAACGTTTTGGAACGTTTCCGTCACTGCTAGCACTTGTCGTCTGCTCGTGGACACGTTGCATGTTTCCTGTCTCTTTCTCCAGGTCATCACTCCATGTAGGAAGCTCATCCTGTGTGCCGACAACAGGAAGGAGATGGAAGACTGGATTGCAGCCCTGAAGACGGTGCAGAGCAGGGAGCACTTTGAGGTGAGAGGAGCATGGTCACAGTCCCTGCCTCCCCCACGCGGGGCTGCCAGTCTGCGGCTCGCTCTCTCAGATGCTCCTTGAAGGTTAAGGCTCATGGCTTTACCTGTGGGCCGTCAGGTGGTGACCCCGTCTGATTTCTTGTTGAACCTTGTCCAAGTTACCACGTTCAGGAAGGTCAGGGGGCGCCTCACATTCGCCTTCTTTGTCCCCCGTTCCTGCAGCCCACCCAGTACAGCATGGACCACTTCTCAGGGACGCACAACTGGTACGCCTGCTCGCACGCGAGGCCCACCTACTGCAACGTGTGCCGCGAGGCCCTGTCCGGGGTCACGTCCCACGGGCTGTCCTGTGAAGGTACGGGAGGTGTTCACCGCCAGGAGGGGCACCTGGGATCTGACGGGAGACGCCCTCGGGGTCCAAGCGTAGTCACTTGAGGGTGGACTGGTGTCGAGGGACCTGTGTAATGCCGCCCTTGTTTACTGTGCCCATGCGGAGTCTGGAATGAGTGATTCTTTGCAGTGATGGAACAAGGTGAAAAGGAGGGAATTGGTAGCATTGAGACACAAAGAGGAAGCGTGGAGGACATAGAGGGAAAAGAGATCTAACCGTCTCGCTGCCGCAGTGTGGCTGCGGCCCAGAGGGCAGGGGCGCAGGGCTCGGGCGGGACAGGGAGAGGAGAGCCGTGGCCCAGGCCCAGTGCCCACCTGCGGCCTGATCGCAGATGGCTGGTGAACTTAAGGAGGGTTTTCACAACTTTTAAAGGTAGAAAAGTACCGAAAGAAGGCAACTGTTGTGTGACACAGAAAAATCATGTGACACTTAGTGTCCGTGCTTGACGAGTGGCCACATGGGCCCTCGCTCTGTGGGGCCACGCAGCCCGAGCTGCTCACTTTCTGGCCCTGCCCGGAGAGCCTGCTGACCCTGGGCAGTCTGGCCACCTGGTCTCCCTGGGAGTGCTGCACGCAGGCTGGTGGCTGTGCTCAGAAGGGAACTGAGCATACACACTGCGCCCGCCTTGGCCAGGAGAGCAGGGCCGCTCACCTCGGACCACGGCCATGGCCCCCAGGCTGACACGCTCGTTCTCTCCCAGTGTGTAAGTTCAAGGCCCACAAACGCTGTGCTGTGCGTGCGACCAGTAACTGCAAGTGGACCACGCTGGCCTCCATCGGGAAGGACATCATCGAGGATGAGGACGGGGTACGCCCAGGGGACCCTGTGTGGCCCCCCTAGTCCTGGGCCGTAAGGCCCCCTGGCGCCCGCCTGTGCTCAGTTCTCTTCCTGCAGGGGAAGGGGGCAGGGATCCCTCTGAGGTGGTCCCCCTGGCATCCGGGCACCCCGAGCTCTGTCCTGTCCCTGGGAGTTGTGGGTGCCCGGCAAGGGGAGCAGAGGTGTGGGCAGCCTCGGCAGACCTCACCCCACCTCCACGTGGGGAAGAACGACTCGGCCAAGTCCATTTTGGAGCACTGTTGCCAGAGGAGGAACCTTGGCCTGCGTGGAGGTTGCGGGGACGCCCTGGGCCTCCGCCATCCCCCAGCGCGTGTCTCTGTGTGGCTCGCAGATCGCCATGCCTCACCAGTGGCTGGAGGGCAACCTGCCCGTGAGCGCCAAGTGCACGGTGTGTGACAAGACGTGCGGCAGTGTGCTGCGTCTGCAGGACTGGCGCTGCCTCTGGTGCAAGGCCATGGTGAGTGCGCCTGCCGGCGGGGACGCTGGCCACTACAGGCTGGGCAGGGTCCTGAGGGGCGGGAGGGGGCTGGCGCCCCCCTGTGACGTGGAGGCCCGCATTGCAGGTGCACACGGCGTGTAAAGACTCCCTGGTGACCAAGTGCCCGCTGGGCCTGTGCAAAGTGTCGGTCATCCCACCCACCGCGCTCAACAGCATCGATTCCGATGGTGGGTACCGTGCTCTCCTGTCTCAGCCATTTCCTTGGATTGCCTTCTCCAGGCCCTCTCCTCCCCAGTTCTGGAATTGGTTATGTTGGTGATGTTTAGATGTGGTCGGACAGAGGTGGTGGTGAACAGGGTCCTGATGGCAAGCTACTGGGTACCTTGGACTCACGGCCCAGGTTCCTTACCCAGACGTGGTGGGTCCATTAGCTACTGACTAGGCACTGAGTCTGAGACCCTTCTCCATCTTGACGTGGCCCACTCGTCAGCTGGTCTCTGTCTAGTAGCTGACACCAGTCCCATGCTCTCCTACCCCCGCACCGCCTGTCCAGGTGGTCCGTGATGGTCCGAAGTAACACGTGTTGTGGGGAGCGAGGTGCATGTCTCAGGACGTCAGCCTGCCAGGTTGAGAGCTGCATCTGGCATTTCGGGTCCTATAGAGGTGAGGCTGGCCGCATGGAGGCCGGCTCCCCTGTACGCAGGGGGACAATGTGGAAACCTGTGGATCACTCTCTTGCTGGTTTCCCGGGTGTGTACATGCAAGTTCTACGTCCTACGGGGGTGTCAGCTTGGCATGTGATTGAGAGCGCCCTGGTGTCTTCCGTGGCTCTCAGATCGGCTTCTGTCCTTTTCCCTCCTCACACCCAGGCTTCTGGAAGGCCACCTGTCCTCCGTCCTGCACGAGTCCGTTGTTGGTCTTCGTCAATTCAAAGAGTGGGGACAACCAGGGGGTGAAGTTCCTGCGAAGGTTCAAGCAGCTGCTGAACCCTGCCCAGGTCTTTGACCTCATGAATGGAGGACCACACCTTGGGTAGGAAGCCTGTAAAATATATCTTTATTGGCGTTTAAAAACTGTGTGAAGATAATGTGTGCTTATTTAAAGATTCAAAGATATGGGAAATTTTAAATGGGAGCTAAAACTTATCCTTCCCACATCCCACCGACAGAGGTGCCTGCTCTGAATGGTTCAGAGTTACGTGTCCTTCCAGCTTTCCAGGGCATGTGTGCACCCCAGGCAGACGGGGCCTCTGTCCCCTGCCATTGTGCAGGTCTTTGTATGGTGTCAGCCAGCAGCAGTGTGTACGTGTTCTGACATCAGGAGTTACAGGTTGACCTCGTTCTTTTGAATGACTGCTTAGTATCAAGGGCTTCCCTGCTGGCTCAGATGGTAAAGAATCCATCTGCAATGTAGGAGACCTGGGTTCGATCCCTGGGTCGGGAAGGTCCCCTGGAGGAGGGCATGGCAACCCGCTCCAGTGTTCTCGCCTGGGAATCCCATGGACAGAGGAGCCTGGCGGGCTGTAGTCCAGGGGGGGTCTTGTTCTGGGAAGATGGCGCCGGCAGCAGGAGCAGAGGCTCTTGAAGGATCTGTGAGTCCCCAGGGGCATTCCAGGAGAAGCGCGATGGCCTTCGGAGGGCAGTGCCTGGCCCGGCTTCGGGCGGTGGTGGTCCCTCCTTTCTCTGAGGAAGGAGGCGCCCATGTGATGCTCAAGTGGTAGTTCTAGTGGACAAGTGTGGCCTTTCAGGAGAGCTGAGGGGTCAGCATTAGGGCCATTCGGGACCATCAGCCTCTCTGTGGTCCCTGAAGCCAGAATGTGGATGAGGCCACCCAGCAAGAGGCTGGGGAGTGAGCAGAAGGGCGCTGCCAGTGAGGGGCAGGGGGACCCGGAGGGGCACCAGGAGGGGACGGAGCTGGAGTCAGGGGGCGCAGGGTGGGCCAGGGGACAGGCCACGTGTGAGCTGCGTGCTGCAGCTGGGGGCTCCTGAGTGGCGGGGGCGCCGGCGGAGAGGGCGGGGGGAGGCTGGGAGGCCTTCGCTCTCCGTGCCCGTGGCCCCCAGCGCGTGCAGCCAGGGCACAGCGGGGCTCTGATCCCCCTCAGGCTGTTTGAGGGTCGGCTGCGAGGAGCGCAGCAGGGCGCCCGGCCCAGGGCGGACTGGCTGTCATCTGTCCCTTAGAACAGACCTCACGCCCTTGACGTTCTGTTTCCTCGGCAGCTTGCGTTTGTTCCAGAAGTTTGACACGTTCCGGATTCTGGTCTGTGGTGGAGATGGCAGCGTTGGTTGGGTCCTCTCTGAAATCGACAGCCTCAACCTTCACAAGCAGGTACTGCGTGTGGAGGTCCCGGCCCCAGGGGGGAGCGAAGCTGCGGGACAGAGGCTGGGTCACCTCGGGTGATGCTGCCCACCCCCTGGGGTGGTCTCGGAGGGGAGGGCAGGGAGCCTGATGGCATCATGGAGCCCTGGGGCCAGACAAAAAAACAGTTGGTCCAGGAAGGCCAATCCGGGTGTGGCTTCTTACTGGGTAGTGATGGCATCTGCTCCATGCCTCTTCCTGAGCTGGCCAGGCTCAGGAGAATACTTGGACTTCAGGTCATAGTTAGGCTGTGTTTTAAGTGTTGGTTGATTTTCTACGCCGGCTCCTTCACCCCCTCCCCCTCCCAACAATTAACCACTGCTAGCATTTCTGGTGGGCTGCAGTCCATGGGGTCGTGAAGAGTTGGACACGACTGAGCGACTTCACTTTCAATTTTCACTTTCATGCATTTGAGAAGGAAATGGCAACTTGCCTGGAGAATCCCAGGGACAGGGGAGCCTGGTGGGCTGCCATCCATGGTGTCGCACAGAGTCGGACACGACTGACGCGACTTAGCAGCAGCATTTCAGTAGAGCTTCTCAGGTGACTCACGTGGTGAGGAACTCTCCTGCCAATGCAGGAGACGCAGGTTTGATCCCTGGGTCAGGAAGATCCCCTGGTGGAAGAAATGGCAACCCTCTCCAGTATTCTTGCCTGGCGAACCCCATGGACAGAGGAGCCTGGTGGGCTACAGTCCGTCGCAGAGTTGGACACGACTGAGCACACAGGCACACGCAGCCTCTCAGCGACTGTCCTGCAGACCTGTTAGAATGTGCGCGGCGCAGCGTGTGGTGGAGTTTACATGGGCCCAGCAGCATGACTGTCCTGCAGACCTGTTAGAATGTGCGTGGCGCAGCGTGTGGTGGAGTTTACATGGGCCCAGCAGCATGACTGTCCTGCAGACCTGTTAGAATGTGCGCGGCGCAGCGTGTGGTGGAGTTTACATGGGCCCAGCAGCAGGGCTGACCTGCAGACCTGTTAGAATGTGCGCGGCGCAGCGTGTGGTGGAGTTTACATGGGCCCAGCAGCAGGGCTGACCTGCAGACCTGTTAGAATGTGCGCGGCGCAGCGTGTGGTGGAGTTTACATGGGCCCAGCAGCAGGGCTGACCTGCAGACCTGTTAGAATGTGCGCGGCGCAGCGTGTGGTGGAGTTTACATGGGCCCAGCAGCAGGGCTGACCTGCAGACCTGTTAGAATGTGCGCGGCGCAGCGTGTGGTGGAGTTTACATGGGCCCAGCAGCAGGGTTGTCCTGCAGACCTGTTAGAATGTGCGCGGCGCAGCGTGTGGTGGAGTTTACATGGGCCCAGCAGCAGGGCTGACCTGCAGACCTGTTAGAATGTGCGCGGCGCAGCGTGTGGTGGAGTTTACATGGGCCCAGCAGCAGGGCTGTCCTGCAGACCTGTTAGAATGTGCGCGGCGCAGCGTGTGGTGGAGTTTACATGGGCCCAGCAGCATGCAGTGTGCCGCGTAGTAACGTGGTGTATTTTAAATCAGCTCATTGAGCATCTCTCCGTCCACCAGTAAATGGAGGTCTGTGTGGTGGTTTTCCGCGGCAGATGGAGGCGGGTGGCTGCACCAGCCCGGGGCTAGTTCATCTCCCCGCACTTACGGACACTTAGGTTGCTTCCTAAAGACCATGCTGGTAAAAACCATGTGTGCACTTTCCCAATTGCGTTCTCTTTTGAAGAACACCCAAACTGAAATTTCGCTGATACTGCCAGACTGCTCTGCATCAGGGCTGTCCCACTGTAGGTACATGTTGCTCACAAAACTTGCCACGTGCAGGCATTGTACGTCTTACAGTTCTTGCCCCAACTTAGTAGACTAAAAAATGGTATGTTTCATTTTTATTTCTTCATACTGGTGAAGTGAATCATATCCTCAATTAATTATGAATTTTAAAATGAATCACCTGCTCATATGTTTTTAACCTTCCCTAGTTTTCTATTGGGGTATTTATTTGCCTTTTAAAAATTGGATTTCTGAGGATTATTGTATTGGGGACGTGAACTCCTGGTTGGCTGTGTATTCCTCGTTTTTCACTTGTCTTTTACTGTGTTGGTGGTCTTCGTGAGTGGGATGAAGCTTTGCTGCCCGCATTTAGCTCCCGGAAAGATGTTCGACAGGGGGACCACTGGTGTCCTCCCCTCCTGGCTCCAGGAAGGCCCGCTGCTTAGGAGAGCGAGTACTGCCCCCTGGTGGTGACATTCGAGCAGTACGCTTAGATCCAATTTTAAGAGTCCTTCCCTTTCAGGATTGTAACTGAGCTTTACTATCAAAAGTCAGGAAGATAGGTTCTCAGGCCTTCGGCTGAGTTCAGAGAGCATTCGTCTCCTTTGGCTTCTCTGCCGCCCTTGATCGTCCAGTCCCCCCTGGCCCCCTCAATGCTCCTTGCCTTCTGGCTGCCCCTCCCATCCCCTCTCCGGATCCTGGGTCCTGCCTCATTCTCCACATGCTCAGCACCCGCAGTGGCCAGTGACTCAGCTGAGTTCCCAGCCGCCCCGGCCCTCCCTGGGTGCCTCTGGTGCCTCAGAGCCGACGTTCCCAGCCCTGCCCGCCCCCTTCCGGCCCTTTCCTCGGAGTCTGGACACTCACCACCCGCGGTCCGAGCCAGAGGTCCGACGGGTTCTCTTCCCCTCCCTCATTGCCTCTGGTTCTCCTGCTGCCCCGCCGTGTCCAGCACAGCCGTGTGTGCTGCTGCGGTGTCGTCCTGGCCCCCGGCACCATCTGCCCACTGCTCTTGGGGGCCTTCCCTCAGGCAGCTCTGCTCAGGCCCTCCCTGAGCCTTTCAGGGCCCCCCGCCGCCCCCCACAGCCCCAAGACCCTCGCTCGGGCCGCTCTGCTCCTGGCTTCGGGTAGGGCCCAGACTCGTTGTGTGGTTCAGCAGCCCCAGCTGGGCGCCTTCTTCCTCCTCTGCTTCTCTGACTTCCTCTCTCCTTGCTGCCCCCTTGTTGGAGCTCTGGCTTGGCGGGGAGGGGGTGGTGTCCACTCCTGGACCCCAGGACCTGGACTCTGCTGGTCTGTCACTGTGCTGCCTGCCCTTTCCTTTAAGGGCCACAAAGCTGGCTCTGGGCCCTGTGTGCCCAGGGCTGGGCATCCTTGGCCTCACCTGCCCTCACCAGCGTGCTGTCCCTGGCAGGGGGCAGGGCCTCCCGCGTGGCCAGGGCAGGTGACCATGGGCTGCGTTGTGTGTAGGGAGGACCGGTGACCCACCCCACACGCGTGTCGTGCTCGGTGGTCGAAGGCTGTTGGGCAGCCTGTGTCTCGGGAGCCTCCTGAGCCCTAAGCTGGTGAGGGGGCCTTGTGTAGGAGGCTCTGGGCGGCAGCTCCAGGTGGATGGCAGGGCCTGAGCGGGGTGTGGGGGTCCCCGGGGAGTGGCAGGCGGAGGGATGTGGGCTGAGTGGCCGTGGTGCTGGTTTGAGGGCCATGGTGGACGTCCTGGCGCCTGTCTGGATGGCGCTTGCAGCCGTGGCGGGTGCTGTCAGGGGCAAGGCGGCGAGCTCGGCACTGGGGACTGCTGTCATGGGTGAGGGAGCAGGCGAGGGTGTCACAGTCCAATTCTTGGGGCTCAGATATCCCCACTTGGGGCAGGATCACGGTCATCGCTGTGAAGGTGGGAGGTGACAGAGGGCTGGCGGTCAGGTGTGTCGGCAGGTGGGGGGAGGAGCTTTCTGTCAGGTTGGGGAGACCCCTGTCTGCCCCCGGCTCTCCTGGAACGTGCGAGTGCCACCCCGTCTGAGCTCAGCCGTCACATGCTCGCGGACAGGGGGCTGCTGATGCCGCGTCTCCCGCCCTCCCTCAGTGCCAGCTCGGGGTGCTGCCGCTCGGCACGGGGAACGACCTGGCTCGTGTGCTAGGCTGGGGCTCGGCCTGCGATGACGACACCCAGCTCCCGCAGATCCTGGAGAAGCTGGAGAGAGCCAGCACCAAGATGCTGGACAGGTGAGTGGGCTGCGCGCGGCCCCTTGGCCCAGGGTTCTCAGCCGGGGCCTGGGGACCGCAGGCCTTCTGCAGTTACGTGTTAAAAAAAAATTCCACCTGTTTGAGCACGATTGCTTGCTTCTGATAGGCTTTATCCGGTGATCAGACTAGGGCAGCGCTGACGAGCAGCAGGGATTGGGACTGTGCCCTCGGTGGCCAGGTCTCACCAGCCAGGCCCGGTCCTCGGCCCCTCAGAGCGGGAGGCGGCCCCGTCCCCTGTGGCCACCGAAGCCTTGTCTGCTACCCGTCCTCTTCGTCGCAGAGTTGAGCAGCCTGTGTTCCCAGAAGCATCGGAGTTTGGGGTTACTGTCCTTCGTGTGTTTAGAAATAGATGGGCATCCTTCCCGAGCAAGCTGCTCTGAGCTTCGAGCTCCCGTGTGAACCCCCGGACCACAGCCCGTGGGACGTGTGGAGACGCCCCGTTCTCTCAGAGGGTCGTACCCTGCCATGAGCAGGCGTGGTCTTGAGGGCGCTTGGCCGCCTCTGCTGTCCCTGCCCCCCGCCTCTGGAGGCTGTGAAATGCCCAGAGTGCACAGAGCCGGCCGAGCGGCTCAGCCGTGCAGAGGGACACCTGTCCAGCGGGTTGTGACGTTTGTTCTCAGTTAAGCGAGGAGCTGGTTCGGGGCCCCGGGGGCGCTCAAAACAGGCTGACAGACACAGAGTTGTCAGAGGGTCTCATCCCCCTCCTCGGCCATGGGACAGGGAGGTGGGGTGGGCTGGGGCTGGGGCCGACCTGCTGAGCCCCTGTGTGTGCAGGTGGAGTGTCATGGCCTACGAGACCAAACTGCCCCGGCCTGTTTCCTCTTCCGCCGTCACCGAAGACCTGAGCGAGGGCTCCGAGGTATCGCCATGCGCTCGCCCTGGCCCTCCCTGCTTTGCCTCCCCTGCCCCCCGGCCCCACCACAAATGCCCTGCCCCCTGAGGGGGGGCCGGGGCCCATGGACGCTGCCCCGTAGGACTTGGGGTCGTCTGGGGGCTTCCGGGGGCTTCCCCAGGCTTTGGGGTCCTTGGTGAGGATGATGGTCTCCTAGGCCTTCCTGCCCTCCCAATTCAAGGCTGTACCTGCTGCCGGCACTCCGCCCACCCAGGCTCCTGCTCGGGCCCCTCCTCCGCCTCCCGCCCTTGCAGTCAGCCTGTGCTAGCTCCGTGCTGAGCTCGCTTTTCACTTTGTGATGGGTTTGGGGAGTTTGAGCTTCCCTTAGGGCCCAGACTCTGCCGAGACCTGGCAACTCAAGTGCACCGCTGTGCCAGGGCCTTGGGGCGAGCCTCTGGGCGAGTTGGCAGGGGGACTGTGCCAGGAGCTGTCTGCCCATCCCGAGGGTCAGGGGCAGAAGGCCAACTCTGGTCTCCCAGCCACACCTGCCTGGGCTGCTGGGACCTGTCCCACGAGCAGAGAACATTCAGTTAAGAGCAGGCGCGTATGTGGGCAAAGCCTGAAGAGTGATAGTAAAGAGCTTGACATGCAGGGGGAGAGCGCCCGCTTCTGCAGGCAGGGGTGGGCAGTGAGGAGGGTGATCAACATGGAGAGATGACGGCGGGCCAGGTTCCCACCTGGCAGAAACGTGGGGAGCCTCGGCCACAGGCCCACACCACTTGGGAGGAGCTGGGATGCAGGAGCGCAGCCTGGAGCAGTCTGTTAGGACCCTTGGTCCACAGCTGGACACAGCTGTGAGATCTGTCAGCTGTGTGTGAAGGGAGGCGGGCCGCGGGCAGGGATGGCGCTCACGGCCCGACACTGAGGGCCACCTGCCCGCCCCCCGGGCCGACTGCAGGTGCAGCAGATCCTCTTCTATGAAGACTCTGTCGCGGCCCACCTCTCCAAGATCCTGACCTCTGACCAGCACTCCGTGGTGATCTCGTCAGCCAAGTGAGTGCCTGCGGCCTGGGGCGCCGGGGGTCCCAGAGGGCCGGCCCCTCTGAAGCCTCCATCTCCTCCCGCAGAGTGCTCTGCGAGACCGTGAAGGACTTTGTGGCGCGGGTGGGGAAGGCCTACGAGAAGACCACCGAGAGCTCGGAGGAGTCGGAGGTCATGGCCAAGAAGGTGGGTCCCGGCCCCCGGGGGCGGGGCGTGTCGGGGCCGGGAGGCACGCCTCCACTCCTGCCTCCGTCCCCGCCCAGTGCTCCGTCCTCAAGGAGAAGCTGGACTCCCTGCTGAAGACCCTGGACGACGAGTCGCAGGCCTCGTCCTCCCTGCCCACGCCGCCCCCCACCATCGCTGAGGAGGCAGAGGACGGGGATGGGGCGGGCGGTGGCTGCGGCTCCGGCTCCACGGGGGCCCGCGCCGTGGGCTCGGCCTGCCCCGCCCGGCCCCAGATATTCCGGCCTCGCGAGCAGCTCATGCTGAGGGCCAACAGTCTGAAGAAGGCCATCCGCCAGATCATAGAACACACAGAAAAAGGTAGCCGGCGCGGGGGCGGGGGCGGGGCGGGCACTCCCGGGGAGAGGCGGGGACCCACCCTGCAGGCCAGAGGCACTCTGGGCCGCCTGACGCGGGCCAGCACCCCCCTCCTCTGGGCCTGTGCCCAAAGGGGAGATCTTGAGGGGACGCCGGTGCCTCGGGGGCACCCCCGGCTGGTGGAAGCCACTCTGTACTCCCTGGTGTCAGGGACTCTGCTCCCTGGGAGGGCCTCACCTGTGGTCGCTCTCCAGACTACGGTCTTATCCAGTGAGAGGGGCCTGCCCCCGGGGCTGGGAGTCTGTGTTCAGGAGGCAGGGGGGCCCAGACCAGAGGTGGTGGATGAGGCCATAGGATGGAAGGAGAAGCTGGGATGGGCTCAGAGGCCGGGTGAACCGGGGCGGGGGCCAGGGGCTTGGACAGGCGGTTGGCCCTGGTGTCCAGGCCGCGCTGATGACTGCCCGCGACTGCTGGTGCTGGGAGAGACACACCTTCCCAGGATTAGAGGCTCACACGGTGTCTCGCTCCTTTTCTCTGACTGTCTTTGTTAAACTTCAAAGTGAAGGCTGTAAAACCATCTTGACCTGTAAACCTCACCCCGACACTGAGGCCCCTCCCAGCAAGTTTTCCCCTGTCCTCTGTCTGTCTCTCCTCTCATCACCATCGGAAGCCATCTCGCACCTTTTCCACTCTCACCAGACCCATTTCACTGAGCAGATCAACCTGCTCCTTGTGGTGAGACTAGTGAGGTCGTGACCTGGCTCCCTCCTCCAGCGTGGGCCCGGCTCCCTTCTCGCGACCCCTCCAGGCTGCACGGACCCTCGCTTGTCCCTCTCTCCCCGGCCCCTGTCTCTTCCAGCCTTGGCCCGCCTCCCCAACCTGTTGGCACAAGTGCCCGGGTGCTCCCAGGTTCTAGGGCCAGGAAGACAGAGGGTCGGGTCGGAGCTTCGGGTCTGAGCCTTCGGCTGAGACGAGGATGAGGGTGGCGAGGTTGGCCTGTGTGCTGCCTGGCGGCAGCTGCGGATCAACCTCCATGCGCTCAGCCGCCACCACCTTGCCTTGTGCAGCTGTGGACGAGCAGAACGCCCAAACCCAAGAGCAGGAGGGCTTCATCCTCGGCCTTTCCGAGTCGGAGAAGAAGGACCTGAAGGTGGATGACAGAGCAGGCCATGGCGAGGGCCACGGCGCCTCCAAGGGCCGGAGTCTCCGCAGAGGTACAGGCCCTCTCGTTTCGGGGTGCTTGGAAGCGTGAGGGGCTTTCTCATGGTTGCTGTGGCCATGTGGAGGTGTAGAGTCTTGAACTTGCCACCTGTTTGGCGAACCACCTGATGTGTGCAGTTTACCTGCTGTAGGCCCGGCAGGACCCTGGGCCAGGAGGGACCTTCCCTCCGAACCTCCCTGCACGCCTGGCCCAGCGGGTCCTAACCCAGGGCTCGGGGCCTCCAGGCGGCAGCCGGCCACCCAGCCACACAGGCTGCCGCCTGGGGACCCTTAGCCGCCATGGAACAGCCCCACCTCTGCAGCCCCCAGCGCACAGCCTCACGAGCCGCGGGGAGAGCCTGCCCTGGCATTCCCCCACCACCATTCCCGTGCGGAAGTGCCCTCTGCCCAGGCACAGACCCTGGCCTGACCGCAGTCGGGGGCCAGCCCCTCTGGCCTGCCTTGGGCCTCGACAGCACTGCCCCAGCCCCACTGGGGGCCCGTGACTGGGGGGCGTCTGAGCCCAGCGCCTCTCTCCTCGGCCGACCGCTGCGTGTGGCCACCGCTCGCCTGCCTCCCCGATGAAGCCTGCTGGTAGCTCAGCGGCCTGTCTTCTGTCCTGACAGTGTCCAAGTCCCCCTGCGAGAAGCTGATAAGCAAAGGGAGCTTGTTGCCGGGCGGTTCTGCATCTCTTCCTCCGCAGTCAGGAAGCCGGGATGGCCTACCAGCGCTGAATACAAAGATCTTATTCCCGAGTGAGTGTCCCCCCGGGCGGGCCAGGCTCCTTGGCCCCTCACAGCAGCCCGCGTGTCTTGGGAGGGGGGGCCCACGCAGGGTACTAACCTGCCACCAGCTGTCGCTCTGCCTGTCGTGGGTCTGAGGGCTCAGTGAGACCAGGACCCTGCACTGTAGGAGTTCACAGGTCCATGGGAAGGACGGGCAGAGTTCAGGGTTCTGTCGCGGCTCTGCGAAAAGCGCCCTGGTGTATTACACAGGGCAGACGGCTCCCAGGGTGCCAGCTGGGGTCCCAGGCAGGTGTCACTGAGGAGGTGATGCTTGAGCTGGGTGCTGAGGGATAAATAGGAGCTGGACTGAGTGGAAAGGGAGGGCCGGCAGGGGGTGGAGAGCCAGTGGTCACCCTGTTGTTCCCAGCCTGATCCACAGCTGGCCACCAGGAGGGTCAGGCCCGCCCCCTGCCTGCACTGTGCCCAGAATCTCATTGTCGCGTCGAGGCAGCCTCTGCTGCTGCTTCTCGGGGCAGGGGGGTGAGAACACTGTGTGTCCTCAGTAGGGAGGAGTGATCCGAGGGGTTGAAAGCGATGAGAGGCCTCCCATAACTCGCTTCCAGTAGCTTCCTGGACCTCCTGGGCCAGGCTGAGCACACGCTGCTCATATAAGTGGTTTGGCGGTTTTTAGGTGACTCTCAGCTGAATAGAAAGAAAATTCCAGAAGTTCTGGGGAAAAGAGGATGAGACAGATTTGGTTGATAAGCAGCAAAATGTTATTGGACGGGATGGACTGGCAGAATGTCTAAAAGCAGGGCTCTGTCTCAGCTTTACTGTTCATGGTGTAAACTTGAAAAGATTGGTGCAGGTATCCAAGGGCTCTGGTCACCTGGAGGATTTTTTCATGTGTAACTTTTCCTCGTGGATTTAGCCTTAAAAGTTTGTGTGATCCAAACCTGGCTCAACCCTAAGATCAGTTGTAGTGGAGATCACTTTGGTGGAGTTTCTTGGCTTTAGTGACAGCTGTCTTTATAAACTCTTTTCCTAATGTGTCATAGGTTACCACCCAGTGTTTATTTTTGTTCTGCCAGTGTTGATTTAGGAGCGTGATTTTTGACCTGAAACTATTAATTGTCAAAGTTTGGACACCTTTATGTGGTGTTTTAGAAGCATCTTATTGTGATAATATTCTCTGAAGGACACGTGATCATCACCCTCTTGAATCAAGGGCCCCCAGCTAGTGCAGTCTCCTGCTGTTCTCTCCCCAACAGATGTCCGCGCCGGGATGTCTGGTACCCTGCCTGGAGGCTCAGTCATCAGCCGATTACTAATTAATGCCGACCCCTTTAACTCTGAACCAGAAAACCTGTGAGTATGGGGTAAACCAGGCGGGCATGTGGTTAGCTGAATGCTGGTGCTTAGAAATCTGACTCGGAAATAACTTGAGAAATTTGTGAGCAGTTGACCGGGTGATCTTTTTCCAGCTGCTGTCGGCCAGTAAGGAAAACCCAGAAAGGGTGAGGCCGCAGGGGTGGAGGGTGGCTGGCACTTCTGGGAAGGAGGTGGCTGTGCTCTTGCATCTCTGGCTTCCGAACGTGCTGGCGTGCTGAGGCTTCGGCAGGTTCAGAGTCTTTGAGGGGGACCGGCTGTGCCATGTTCTCGATTGTCCTTTCTGGGGTCCTGGCTGGCCCCAAGTGGGCACCGCCTCCTGACCGTGTTGCCTTCCTTGAAGGTCCGCCGCTCCCCCAGCAGTGCAGGTCCCAGGCTGGATGCCCCTCACTCTCCCCGGGAGATGCTGTCCTGGGTTTGGACTCTACCCACCGCGTGTCGTGTTCTCTGCCTAGCGTCTAAAGGCAGCACGGGCTTTCATGCAGCTTGTCCTTGTGTGTATAGAGGCCATTGCAGGACACGTGGCATTTTGAAGGCCCTAGATTTCCCTTTCTGCCAGCTGGTAGCAAGTTCTGGGCAGCCAGTGGCTGGTGGCAGGGGATTGAAAGGTGCCCACACGTGTGTCTGGAGTGGTGAGGAGAGCTAGTGCGGCTGGTGTCAGGAGAGTCAGGCGTGGCCTCCAAACCCAGTTTCCATGTGGCCCGGCAGGTCCCTTCCTGGGGTGACTCCTGGGAAAAACGAAACAGGAACACTCCCGCCCCGCAGCGTGGGTCTGAGTGTCCACAAGTCAGGGCTCAGAAGTGAAACAGCCCGAATGTCTGACAGCGGGGAGCGGATGGACGGGTAGAGCGCGTCCCGTGGGGGCTACGGTCGGGCCATCGCCGGCTGAGGCACCGCGCTGGGCGAGCCCGGTGCTCACGGCGTGCAGGCATGCTCAATGACGGGGACAGACACAAAGGGCTGCACACGTGTCAGTCCGTTTCTGGGAGCTGGCCAGAACTGCAGTGCCACAGGGACAGAGAGCCGTCTGGGCTTCCGGGGCCGATGGCTCACGGCTGTGGATTTTGTTTTGGGGGATGAACTGTTTCGATGTTGGTTGTAGTGACTCTGAATACATGAAAGTCATTATTGGGTTCGGCCTTTTAAACAGGTAGATTTTACGGTATGGGAATTGCACCTTGGTCACGCTGTGCCCTACCCTCCGAAAGCTAAGTTTTGTCCTCAGGAAGAAACCCTCAGAGGCCGGTCCGCAGGGCTGTTCTAATTGGCTTGAACCCCCCTTTGCAGAGAGTATTACACGGAGAAATGTGTCATGAACAATTACTTTGGCATCGGCCTGGACGCGAAGATCTCCCTGGACTTCAACAACAAGCGTGATGAGCACCCAGAGAAGTGCAGGTGGGTGCTGGCCCTGCGCACGCCCGTCCTGACGTGGGCTCTGGTGTCCCCCTTCAGCCATGGGGTTATTTCTGGGGCACGGAGCACTTAGGCAGAGCCCAGACCCAGAGCCTGAGCCCCTCGCCAGAAGGCAGGCGCTTCTGTGTCATGGCCACAGCAGCGGGCAGCCCTGGGGTGCCTGCAGGAGGGGTCAGGGCTTGCCCCCCTCTCGGGCTCTCTAGCAGGGGCAGCCCCGAGGGCTCTTCCTGGGGGTGCTCAGGCTCTCCCCCTACAGCACCATGTGCTTGCTCCCCCAGCCGAGGGAGGAGGGCGGTTGGTGTCTCCCTCCCCACGGTGGCCATCACCTGGTGGGGACCATTCAACTGTGACGGTCCAGAACTAGAGACGGAGAGGAGCTGGTGTGAGTTTGGGAAAGAACAGCCATCTAAGCAGAGACGGGGCCCCTTCCTGGAAGAACAGAACCAGTCATGAGAACTCAAAACCCTTGGCGCCCTGGGGCTCAAGTGTCAGAAGAAGGCTCAGATGTCCCCAGGGGCATCCCCGCCACCCAACGCATAACTGAGCCCCAGTGACAGGAAAACACCCTCCTGAGTCCAGACAAGTGAAAGGCATTATTAGCATGCATGTCATTTAGCATAACAAAGCAGGTGAAGGAGCAAGGCCTTGTGCAGCGTGGTTTTTAGAAACTTGGAATCCTGGTATTACCTTACCTGAGTTTGCATCTTTGAGAAGATGCCATGTCTACAAATCTAGCTTGTAGAAGTGGGGGAACGTTGGCAAAGGCGTGTTTTATCATGGGCCACAGCTGGGCGCGTTATAGAGCCCGGAAGTGCGGGCAGAAGGCGGCCCATCAGAGGTGTTGACTCAGCGACCCCTGGTGGGAGCTGCCCCGATGTGGTCATTCATGCTCAGGACCCAGGGAGTCACCCTCCACGTGGGGTGAAGTGCAGGTTTCCGCTGTCTCAGCTGTAAGTTCCTGGAAGGACCGAGAACATGTGCTGGAGCGTTTCCCATCACTGCTGACACGTGGGACTCACCAGTGTGCCTCTGTGCTTTCCCGCACTTCCCAAGTCTGAAAGGAAAGATCCTGATGCTGGGAAAGACTGAGGGCAGGAGGAGAAGGGACGACAGGGGATGAGATGGCTGGATGGCATCACCGACGCGATGGACATGAGTTTGTGCAAACTCCGGGAGTTGGTGATGGACAGGGAGGCCTGGCGTGCTGCCGTCCGTGGGGTCACAGAGTCGGACACGACTTAGCGACTGAACAGCAAGCATAGTTTTATAGCTGGAAAAAGTCATGATTTGCACGTTTTTTGTGAGGCTCTGTGATATCTTACCTTTCTGGATAGGCTTACTTCTTCGGAGTGTTACTTTTGAAAAGTAGGATTTCATGTCAGTGAACGTCTCTCTCACACATCTCACACGGACGTGTCACAGTCACGTCCCTCCTTGTCGTGCGGTGTCGCCACTGGGCACGCGTGCCCGGTGTGACCGGCTGTGAGGAGGTGACTGCCAGCCGGCCATGTGCTCTCCTCCCTAGGAGTCGAACCAAGAACATGATGTGGTACGGAGTCCTGGGCACCAGGGAGCTGCTACACAGAACCTACAAGAACCTGGAGCAGAAGGTCCTACTGGAGGTGAGCGGGCGGCACCCCAGCCCCGTGCCTGAGCCGTGAGGTCTCGGGGGCGCCGGGAGGACGCCCCGCCTGACGCTGGTACTCTCTTCTCGCCTCTCCTCTCCCCTCCCACGTCCCCCGTGCACAGTGCGACGGGCGCCCCATCCCCCTCCCGAGTCTCCAGGGAATCGCTGTCCTCAACATCCCCAGCTACGCCGGAGGGACCAACTTCTGGGGGGGCACCAAGGAGGATGATGTACGTACGGGGTTGTCGGGCGGCACGGGCCTGGGAGCTGAGGCATAGCCTTCTGCTCAGGGCTGCTCTCTGGGCAGGCTGGGGGCTGGACGGGGCAGCGCCCCCATGCTGGCCGCGGGGGTGCAGTGGGCAGTGAGACAGCGCCTCCGCCCCAGTAAGGTGTGGTCGCAGGTGTGGCCTGGAATCTGGGCCCAGACCTGCTCTGGGGGTAATTTGGGGGGGCGTCCAGGGGCAGGGGACATCGGCACGGAGGCCTGAGGGTGGCTAGGGGTTGGACAGGTCAGGTTGGTTTTGGGGAGGGAGCACGTTCTCCGATGGTGGGCACCCTGGGCAGAGTGCAGAGAGGTTCGAGCTCCCGTGGGGCTGCGTGAGGCAGGGAGGAGTTTGGAGTCCAGCCTTCGGGGGCACGGATGGGTGTATGAATGGTGTCAGCCAGGGCCGACCCCCTCAGTGCACGGCAGCTGATAAGGACAGTACAGCTGACATCGTGGCTGCGCCGGTCCCACTTGTCAGCATGGCTCCCGAGTGCACAGCCCTCGTGAGACCCTGGAGGAGCGTACCAGTGTCAGCCCCATTTTACAGAAGCGGGAACCCAGGAAGAGGCAGTCACGTGCCCGAGGCCCCACCTGTGTGAGGGGCAGGCAGGCCTGCCACGCCATCTGGGCTTCTGCCTTCCGGGTCTGGAGTGGAGACCCCTCCACAGTGGCTCCCTGTTGTGGGCCCATCTGGCTTTTAGTGCAGTGGCCTCCAGAGAGAGGCGGCTGTGCGTGGGGGCGTGTTCAGGCCTGGAGCAGAGGTCAGCTCTGACACTGGCCCTTGCAGACCTTTGCAGCCCCGTCGTTCGACGACAAGATCTTGGAGGTGGTTGCGGTGTTCGGCAGCATGCAGATGGCTGTCTCCCGGGTCATAAAGCTGCAGCATCACCGGATCGCCCAGGTACTGGCTGGGGTCCTGGAGGCGGCGGGGGGTGGGGGGGGCTGGGTGCCGGGAGGAGAGGCAGGCCTGGCCCAGACCCACACTCCCGAGACAGGTGGGCACCTGGGTGCAGAACCCTGGACAGCAGGCCACCCAGCTGCCTCCCGGTCCAGAGCCTGTTCTCGCCTGCTGTGCTGGACATCTGAAACACGCTTTGCAAACTGGGGCTGGCTTGCACCCTGGAGCGCCCCCCTCCTGCTGAGGCGGGGCGGGCCGAAGCGGGCCTGGGCGCCTGCGGCCCGGCCCTGCAGCTCTGGGAGCCTCCGCCCGGCCCGGCCCTGCAGCTCTGGGAGCCTCCGCCCGAGCCCAGGAGCAGGGCTGAGTGCGTCCTCACCAGCCGCTCTGAGGCCCCGCTGTGCAGGGAGATGGGGAGGGTCCCCCTTGGCAGCTGCTGGTGGCCGGCTGGGAAGGGTCTGTCTGGGCGGTGCGGGGGGCCGTGTCCTCACGCACAGAGACGGGTTCTCGCTCTCATTGCCCCGAGCCCCAGTCCCTTCTGTCCCTGCTGTGGGCTGCATGGATGTCATGGTTTTAATGCTTCGGCAACACTTTCTGTTGAAAAGAGGAGCCCTTGGTGGGAGTTGGCCTCATCTCGGGCGGGTCCCCACGTGCCCAGGGACTCAGCAGCTCTGGGCATGTCCCCGCCCGAGGCCCGGTGCTGGCGTCTGAGCGCTGAGTTCCCCACAGGGCAGCGGTCACGGACATGGGGTGCCCTGCGTGCGGGGCGGCAGGGCGGGGCAGGGCTGGCCCGGGGCTCCAGGAGCTGCGCCCCAGGCGGGGATCCCCTGAGCCCGGAAGCCCCAGAGGTCAGCCGGCGGGCGCGGGGCGGGCTATGGGGCAGGGCGGCCCTCCGGCCCTGCGTGGCTCCTGGTCGGCTCGGTGCTCGAGCAGGCTGTGGTCTTCACAGTGTCGCACGGTGAAGATCTCCATCCTGGGCGATGAGGGCGTGCCTGTGCAGGTGGACGGAGAGGCCTGGGTCCAGCCCCCGGGATACATCCGCATTGTCCACAAGAACCGGGCGCAGACCCTCACCAGGGATCGGGTAAGATGGCGCCCGTCTTGGGGGGGACCTGGCGCCTGAGCGTTCGATTCCAGGAATCGACATATTTCTCCCCCAGATTAAGTGAATGGGGCTGGGATTCCTAGGGCCGTGCCCTCTCCCCCAGAGTAAACAGGCATCTGTATCCCCGTCCGGGATTCATTCTGTGAGTGTCCAGCAGTGTTGGCTGTTGGACGTGTGCTCATGGGAGCGTGTGTAACCCTGGCCCCGTGTCCTAGGCCTTTGAGAACACCCTGAAGTCCTGGGAGGACAAGCAGAAGTGCGAGCTGCCCCGTGCCCCGTCTTTCTCCCTGCACCCGGAGATCCTGTCCGAGGAGGAGGCCACCCAGATGGACCAGTTCGGGCGGGCGGCGGGAGCCCTCATCCACAGGTGGGTGCCCCCTCCTTCCGCAGTCAGCTCCCCCAGCGAGGCCCCAGGTCCGTGTGGGGCCGCGGGTGTTGAGACGCTCCTCTCGCGTCCCTGTGCGTCCTCCGTGTCTCCTCTGTCACGGGGCCTGTCTGGCCAGGTTCTGCTGGCCCTGCACTGTGCGGTTGTCACCGATGGTCTTGTAGATGTTATTTGGGGCTTAAGGATGTGGAAGCCTCAAACCCACAGGCATTTTCAGGGCCAGCTACCTGGACTGTAAAGCTGTCTTGGATTCTTAAGAACAGTCCATTACTGCCTCCTTCACTTCATGCCGAAGAGCAGGTGTACTATTAGGAAGCAAACCTTGTAAACATTAAAAAGGAAAACAACAGCCAAAGGTGCGTCCTTCTCTCGGCCCCCAGAGCCCCTGTGGACCTTCCCACATGGCGGTCACTGCTCTGCCTGCTGCCCAGTCTCCTGCCGCGTCCCCCCTCATGTGGGCATGGTTGCAGCAGCCTGGTGGCCTGTGCCCGCAACTGCCACACCCCCTGGCCCCTTGGCTCTGTCCTTGGACACCGTTCTCCTCCCCACCCCCTCCCTTCTGAGGCCGCATGCAGGCCTGGTGCCCCCCCCACAGGCCTCTCGGCCCCTTCCTGGCCTCCTCCTCCTCTTCTTCCTACTCTGGAGGTTTCACAAGGCCTCCATGTCATTTTGGGGCACTCGCCTTCTTGGGTGAGTCTCCACAAAAGCTTGGGAGTTTGTCGCCAGATCTCCCAGTTAAGGCCTCCCTGGCCATCGGTCAGGAGGTTACAGGCTTGCTGCCGTGTCTGTCTCTCCAGCATCCGGGAGCTAGCGCAGTCCCACCGGGACGTGGAGCAGGAGCTCGCCCACGCCGTCAACGCCAGCTCCAAGTCCATGGACCGAGTGTACGGCAAGCCCAGAGCCACAGAGGTGCCTGCGCCCTCCCGCCCCCGCGCCCGCGCCCACCAGCCCTCAGGCTGTCTCCATGGTTCTGTTCTGGTTCCTCTCAGGGGCTGAGCTGCAGCCTCGTCCTGGAGATGGTGAATAACGTCCGAGCCCTGCGCAGCGAGACGGAGCTGCTGCTTGCGGGCAGGCTGGCCCTGGTAAGCTGGGGGCTGGCCCGTGGCGCGCACACAGGCCGCGTGGCTCTGTGCGGGGCTCCCGCCCGTGGGGGCTCCTCAGAGGGCCCTGCCCTGGCCCTGCGTGATGCTCAGACCCTCTGGCCCGTCTCGCCAAGCCCCCTCCGGGGTGGCAGGGCCCCGCTGCGTCGTGTACGGCATTGTGTCCTCAGGCCTCGTCTCCGGCACGCAGATCCCGCCGCCCCTCCCCACTCAGCCCCGGGGAGGCACCCTGCCTGACTTCTGTCAAATCGCAGAAGCTAGAGCAGGGCAGACCTCAGAGTGCTGACCAGCCTTCTTGTTGAAAGAAAGGAAGGCGTGGAAGGTTAAGGAGGTGAAGTCACTGCAGAATCGCCCCAGGAGTCCAGGCCGTACTTTCTACTCTCATTCCAAGCTTCCACGCTGTCCTGACGTTCCTGGGGCTGACTCTGTGCTCGCACGCTGTCTGCACTCTGGTGCAGGCGGGCTGGTCCCCGCTTCAGAGAGAGGGTCCCAAGGAAGCTGAGGCAGGTGACCTGTGAGCCCTGCTGATGGGATTTTCAGACGAGCTTGGTTTGCCCCATTGCTTATGAGAGGAGAGTCTAATTCTCTCACTTGGCACTACTTAAAAGCGGAGGCTCGGAGTTTGGCCCTTCAGGGGTGCTCTGTGACTCTTTCCTGGCAAGCTTTTAGAAGCGCTCTCAGAGTGGCCCGGCCCTGGGCCAGGCTCCCTGTCTGTGTGGGCCCTGCGGCCCCGCCCTGCTGGTAACCACTGTGTCTCCTCCCTCCGTCCCTCCGTCCCTGGAGCAGCAGCTGGATCCCCCTCAGAAGGAGCGGCTCACGGCTGCCCTCGCCGAGATGGACCAACAGCTCAGGAAGCTGGCGGACACGCCATGGCTGTGCCAGCCCATGGAGCCTGGTGATGAAGAGGTATGTGGGTCTCGGGCTCCAGCATGGCCTCCCTGGACACGGGGCTGTCCTCTCTGAGCCCGAGTCCCTCTGCGGCTTCGGGGTGAAGATGGTGTTGGTCCTTCAGCCCCTGATCTGGCCTCTGGTAAACATGCCTCTCTGTTAAAATGCCTTCAGGGCATGGAGACCACTTGGGCAGGTAGGAAGGAGCTGGGAATTGCTGTCGAGAAAGACCCTCGAGGACTGGGGCACAAGTTGCCCTCGGACACAGAACTATGGGATGGGCCGGGGACAGGTAGAAAGGCTGAGCCTGGCCCCACTGTGCGCCCCCAGCGTGGAGGCACGCTGCCAGGCTGACCTGTAAGTTGCTGGGTGTCTGTCGGCACGGGCGGGCCGCCGTGTTCCACTCCCGGTGGCACTCTTCTGTTATGTGTGTTTAGGGAGCCCAGCTTGCGTGGGCCTTCAGCTGGGACATCGGGACCCTGGGCGTGCCCCAGGGCCATGTCTCCTGTAGCAGGCGAGGCAGCCGCGGGCCCAGGAGAGGTGCTCAGTGGGGATGGTTTTGGGGGCAGCACCTGGACAGAGGCCAACCTGAGAGGCCGTCCTCCCGAGGATAGAGCAGGGACGGCCAGGAGAAAGTTCACATGGTGAAGCCCTGCTGGGCACTGAACGTCGGACCCCCTGTTGTGGGCTTCGCTTGTTAGAGCCATGGGCCAGGCCAGCAGTGCAGGCTCCTCATGCACGGGCAGGCGTTGGTTGACAAGTGCAAACCCCACGTGGAAAGCTGGCTGAGGCCTCTCAGCTGAGAAACACGACTTAGCAGCTCAAGGAGAGGACTCTGGTTTAGAAGGCCCAGCCAGCCTCATCAGAATTTGCTAGTTATTTATAAATATAATAAGAGTTCAAAAGAAAATCACTAAAAATAATAATATAAAACTTTTAACTAATGCGGCCGCAGCCTAGCCTGTGATTCGTGCAGGTGGGCAGTTGCGGGGGAAGCAGGGAAGGAGGACTTGGACAGAGGAGCGGAGCACTTTAAATGCCTTCTCCTGTGGTGGAAGGAGGTGAAAGACGCTCTTGATGTTACTAATTAGAGGAAGGTAATCAGTTATGTTTTAAAAACTTAAAAGTAGTTTTAAAGGTGTATGTGTATTAGTCGCTTAGTCGTGTTTGACTCTCTGCGACCCCACGGACTGTACCCTGCCAGGATCCTCTGTCCATGGGATTCTCCAGGCAAGAAGACTGGAGTGGGTAGCCATTCACGTCTCTAAGTTTTAAAGGTAGTTTCTAGTAAAATTGAAAAGGTTTATATCTTTCTGAATCACTACAGAAGACAAAAACAAAATACCATCTGTATTGTAATAGGAAATAAAGGAACTAGTAAAGATGGAGCTAATAGCATAAAAGTTAGAAAATAATATATCTTTTCCTTTTAAAAGCAAATTATTGTTTAGGTTGTGTTAAAAAAAAAAAATCTGAGTAAATACTGATCACAGGAGCCCAGTTTTCTCTTCTATACACTATGAAAAATTATGACCCAGAAAGAGTAAAAATAAAGCAGTTTCAAGAAAATGATAAAAAATGCAAAGTAACAATATTAATATAAAAACAGAATTGCATACCTAAGGCAGTAAGTGATAGAGGATCACTTTATTTTGGTAAAAACTAATAATCATATTGTTATATACCATATAATTCTGAAATAAACTTATTAATGATAAAATCATATGCTAATATTAGCATTTACATGAGTTAAAGTATGTTGTTTATTTGCCAATGGATGAAATTTTTTTTCTAATACTTTTTTTTGTTATTTTTAACTTAATTTCACTATTCAAAGGCAGTTGTTTGTATATAACCAGTCCTTTGAAATTTATTAACACTAACTTTATGGCCCAGTAGATAGTCAGTTTTTATAAATGTCCCTTGTATGCAGTTGTATTCTTCACATCATTAAGTCCTTACTGAGGTATTTTTGTTTTTTTTCTTTTTTGTTTTTGGTTTTGTGTCTTCTTGATCTGTGAGTTACTGTTGAACACTCTGACCATGAATGTAGATGTCTTGATTTTTTGTATGTGGTTTTGTGTATTTTTGCTCTATGCATTTTGAGGCTATATTATTGGGTGCATAGGGTTTTATCATTATAACAAGACCTTTACTAAATCTTTTTATTTTCAAGCCTACTTGTTTGACATTCTTTTTCATACTTCCTTTCAAGCTTTATTTGGAGTATCTTTCTTACAGACAGCATTGCTAAATTTGAGTTTTTATTCAGTGTTGTACTCTGTTTTAATAGGAGATTCAGTCTATTTATGTTTACTGTGATTACCATGTTTAGATGCATTTTTACCATCTTTTGTGCTGTTTGTCCCACTTTTTGTTTCCTTTCTCCTTTTTGATGAGTCTCTCCTTCCCACACAGTTCTGTTTATCCCCTCTACTAGTTTGGAAATACATGCTCTTCTGCATGTTCTTTTAGTGATTACCCCCCAAATTTTAATCTTAATTTATGTACACAAACTGTGTCAAGATAAAACTTCTTGAAATAATAGGAAATGTCAGAAACCCAATTTTGTAGTGTGACTTCTCACTATCAGTCCATGATTAATCATGGTGAAACTAACATCACAACATCTGAACAAAGAAAGTTGATAGAGTATGTGTATGTAGAATTTATATACAAATATGTATTGTGCTTCTCTATAGAGAGGATTTTGTGCTCTGTAAAGAGGGACTCTGCTTTCTTTCCTGTTGTCCATAGGACATTTAAAAAATCTGATCATATTCCACACTGGCTTGTCCCACCCATGCAAGGGGCAAAGAGGTGAAGTATGAAGGGCAAAGGGAACTGTGAATGGGGAGCTACCACAATTCTACTGATGTAAAAATAGGAAAATCATTTATCTGAAAAGGAAAAACAGTGATAGATCTTTGAGTTGGTTCTTTGAAACGAAAGCAAAATAAACTACCCTCTGGCAAATGTAATCTGGGGGGAAAAGGAACACAGTGCAGTGATGAGGGGATAGAGCAGCAGATACGAAAGTCAGTCAAGTTCCAGCATCCATGAAGGAACGCCAGTGAATCTCAGCATCTCGATAAGCCTTTTGATTTTTCAGAAAAAAATTTAAATTACACAAATTCAGATCTCAAGATATTGTAAAAAGAATAGCCAGCCACAGAACAACTTGAAAAAGTAAATTTTACTTCCAAAGGAAAAATTTGTCAAAGAATATGTAATTTCTGTACATAAGACAGTGTCAAAGCTAGAAAAAGATGGACATTACCTCAGTTCATTTTCTTTTTTAAATTGTGGTAAAAAAGACATAACTTAGGATCTTTATCATTTTTAGTGTACAATTCAAGTAGAGTTGAGTATATTCACGTTAGGAAACAGATCTCCAGAACTTTCAAACATTTTCCTTTTTTAAAAACCAGCACATTGGATTCCAAACTTGAATATTATCAGTAGATCCGTAAAAGTTCTTTCTTAAAATTGCTGATGAAAGAAATTCTCTATAAAAGAATTCTAGCTGGAACGTGTAGGGTCAAGGGCCGTTTTCCGTCGGGAGGCGGCCAGGGAGACATCCTGTCCTCTAGGCAGATGCCTGTCTCTGCAGGTGGAGGGTCAGGAGATGCGGAGCCCAGGAGCTGGGTGTCCCCTCTGCATGCTGCTAGGGCCCCGATTCAGACAGACCCACCATGAAGATACACCTTTGGAACAGCTGGGGAGGTCTGATATAAATGAATTCATTAGAGCTACGTGAATGGTGTCAGGTGTGTTAATGGTGCCATGATTACGTTTTTAAAAAACTAGTGTCGTCTTTTAGAGTTGTGTACCGAAGTGTTTATGAGCAGAATAATTTGATGTCTGAAATTTGCTTTTAAAAGGTGGAGATTAAATAACAGGTGGATAATCAGCCTCATGCTACTAGTCTCCCTGTCTTACCAATGGAAGAAAATACCCTTATTTTTAAAAGTTGGAAGTAAGTTTAATAAAACCCACGTTTGCCTTAAAAACAAGACACTACAGAGTCAGGAATAGGATTTTGTTAGGATTGTGGACAATAGCTGCCTCCCACCAGTCCTGCAGGAAGCCACTGAGGCGCAAGGGGACGCTTATCTTGGGACAGGAGAGCCCATGGCCGTGGCGCTCCGCTGGGGGGCTAGAGGTCTTCCATGGGGCAGCCGTGTTAGAATGGACACGTGATCATTTTGCCAAGGGTAAGAAATGTGTAGAAGTAAGTTTTTTGAATAGCTCACAGTCGTTGACTAGAAAATGTCATTGTAAGAGGTCTCTTTCCTGGTAGAAACCTTATAAAATTTAAAGTTTGTGTGAAATAAAGAACATGAGACGCCTTTGGTAAGAAGGCCACGAAGATGACATGCAGGGGTGTGGTGAAGCTGCAGGGTCCTGGCAGACCGGGTGTGAAGGTGTCCAGTTCTGGCCAGCGTTGGTGCGATTCCAGGGAAAAGCCCGGTGGGGATTTTTCAGTGTGACCAAACGTCCCCGTCAGATCTGCAAGTGCGTCCTAGAGTTGCACGGTCTGACCACACTGGGCGCAGGCAGACACTGGGGACGCAGGCAGACACTGCGGGGATGCAGGCAGGCACCGGGGACACAGGCAGACACTGGGGATGTAGGCAGACACTGCGGGGACGCAGGTAGGCACTGGGGATGCAGGGCTCTGAGGCCGAATCCAGGCCAGTGGGGCCAGGGAGAAATTGGCACACGTGAAAAATAAGGAAATTTATTTTATTTGTGACTACGTTTATACAGATGACCGACACAGGTACGTGTCTGTGAGCGCACCGAATTCTTTAGTGGCAGAGACCTGGGCCCTGGCTTCTGCGAGAACCAACACAGGCGGTCCACAGACCCGGGGGGAAGGGGCTGCGATGGCTCCGCCGTGCCCTGTGGACCGCGCAGTGGGGAGGCGGCCACCGAGCTGGCACCCTGTCCGCTGTCCCTCTGACTCCCCTCCCTCCTTGACTCTGCTTCGGGGAGTGGGTGGCGAGGAAAGAGTGCAGGGAAAGCTTCCTTAGAAGGGTACTCCTGACCCTGACAGACTAGCCTGCAGGCGCAGCGCTGCGAGACTGGGTGATAACTTACTAGTCTTGATGTAATAGTCTTGATATTTAAGTGATATGTATATACACAGGTGTTCAATCACATGATGAATAAACATAAATAAATACCCAGAATATGAAAATGGATGCTTATCTCTGCAAAACGGCTTTTAAAAGGCATTAGAAAGGAGCGATCAGTCCAAGACTGAAAGTCAAGGCAAAGGACGAGGACAGGCCTTTTCGAGGCCCCACGCCCATCTGCGGGAGGGGGGCGCAACCTGGGTAAACGGGGGTCTGACTCGCTCCATTTCCCCCCTCCCCCACAGAACGTGATGCTGGATCTTTCCAAGCGCAGCCGCAGCGGTAAATTCCGCCTGGTGACCAAGTTCAAGAAGGAGAAAAACAACAAGAACAGAGAAGCGCGCTGCAGCCTGGGCGCCCCGGGTACCTGCCCCTGCCCTTGCGCCGGCCACCCCAGGGCCCCGGCCCGCACTGCTGCGCCTGTGGCAGAGCTGCACCCCGGCTCTCCCGCCGCAGCAGGCAGAGTGACCCGGTCACTGCCTGCCCTGACCCTGCTCCTGGTGCGGATTCTGGGAGACAGGCCCCAAGCCGCCTGCCTGCACTCAGTGGGGTGTAAGGTGGGGAGGAGACAGCAGGGGTGACAAGACACTCAGAGACACACGCTGGGCCCTGTGCCTGCTTCCTTGAGAGACTGCCTGGCCCCGTTAATCAGTCCATTGATCATGGCCCCTCCCCTGGGAGCCTGAGCCCTCATGGCCACGGGCTAGAAGATCAACAGAAAATGACCCTAAACGATGTTTCTCCTTGGGTCACTGAATTAGGGCTTACAATCTCTATGCCAAGTGTCGGCCCCGAGCTCGGCCCAGGCTCCCAGGCGCTGGGCAGCCCCACCCCGGACTCAAGGGGGAGGTTTTTGCTGCCAGTAAGGGTAGCACCCTTTGATTTTTCTTTTTTGCGTGTTGGTCCAGAAATTGGGTTCTTTGAATCATGGTGGCTCTGACTCCATGTAATCTCTGCGAGTCTCCGTTCTTGCTGCGGGCCGGAGGCGCAAAGACCCCTCTCAAAGGGTGAGGGGATCTGGCCTCAGCTGCGGGCAGGCCCACCTCCTGGGGCGAGGCTGCCGGCCCCCAGCAGGAACAGACACCAGCCGCGGCGTCGCTCACGCCCCTCTGAGAGCGGCAGCCCGTCTCCTTTCTGCACTGGCTTGGGGACGGCGCCTGGGGCCGGGTGGTGGGTGCTTGCTGCTGGGGTTGCTTGGGGTGCTTGTGGCCGGGGAATGTTGGGGTGCCTGCTGCTGGGGCTACTTGGGGTGCTTGTGCCGGGGAATGTTGGGGTGCCGGCTGCTGGTGCTTCTGGGGGTGCTTGTGGCCAGGGAATGTTGGGGTGCCTGCTGCTGGGGTTGCTTGGGGTGCTTGTGCCGGGGAATGTTGGGGTGCCGGCTTCTGGGGGTGCTTGTGGCCAGGGAATGTTGGGGTATGCTGGCCGCTGCCTGCCTGGCGCTGGGCTCCTGGGCACTCACTGGGCCCGTGCTTTTCCGTCTCTGACAGTGCACCTCTGGGGCACAGAGGAGGTGGCTGCCTGGTTGGAGCACCTCAGTCTCTGTGAGTATAAGGACATCTTCACGCGGCACGACATCCGGGGCTCTGAGCTCCTGCACCTGGAGCGGAGGGACCTCAAGGTACTTCCACACGCCTCCTGGGCAGGCGCGCCTGTGCTCCCCGCGGCCCTGGGGTCCCCCCCATGACCTGGCCGCACCCCAGTGCCAGCAGTCTCATGCTTCTCAGGCCGCTGGGCAACGACTTGGGGGTGACAGGCGCGGCCCTGGGCCGTGGCGTCTCAGCTCCGCAGCCAGAGCCAGGGCAGACGCCGCGGGGAGCCGTGCGCTCAGCCTCGCTGCACGGTGAACCCACGTTACACCCTTGGGGGGGCCGTGAACCCCTTGGGGGTGCAGCCCGCTGCTCGTCCAGCTCAAGTTCTGTGACGACAGCCGTCGGGGAGAAGGGGGACCCGGTGTCCGGGGTTCCCTCCTCAGCTGCCCACTGGCCGGCGTGGAGCGCCTGGCCCCGGCTCGGGGAGGGCAGGTGCGGGCCCCCAGCCTGTTCGCCTTGCGGGTCCCTCTGGGCGCACCCCAGGAGGCTGCGAGGCTGGTCTGCCTCCAGGCACCACCAGGGTGCCCAGCACTCGCTCGGGGTGCCCTGGACTCAGTTCAGGGACCCAGGTGAGGCGCGCGCCCGCGGGTGGTGGTTTGGGGGGCATCAGTCATTGCGGCCGCATCCTGCCGCGGTCCCGTGCCCCCTCCCATGGTGCGGCCGCGGGGCGCCCGGCCTGAGCACCGCCCTCTTCCCGCAGGACCTCGGTGTGACCAAGGTGGGCCACATGAAGCGGATCCTGTGCGGCATCAAGGAGCTGAGCCGCGGCGTCCCTGCCGCCGCCGCCGCCGAGGCCTAGCCTCCGCCTTCACGGCCTGCGTCCCCCGCGCCCCCCGCGACTGAGCCGGCTCGGCGGCCCCTCATGGTGCTACTCCCGCCGCTCGGACCGGCCCGGCCTGGCGCCCCGGGGCCGGACCCACAACACAGCTACCTGCCGCCCGCGCCCCCCTCCCGGGCCGCTCCCCGCCCTCGTCGGCCCCGCCCGGCGCCCAGCGTCTCCGAGCCCCCGGCTTTCCCGGCCCGGGCAGTCACCACCTGGGGCCGAGGAACCCTGGTTCCTTGGCCGCGGGCTCGGGGACCCAGCCATGCCCAGGACGCCTGGCCTGTCGTCCTCCTGTGCACCGAGGCGGGCCCGTGTTTCTGTGTGGAGGGGGCTTCCTGGCCTTCGCGGGGACGGGGGGTGTCCGGGCGCTGCCCTGAGTGACCCGGGGTGGCGGAGAGGCCAAGCTGGGAGCGCTTCCTGGGCGCACCCCGCCCTCGCCGCCTTGGCTTTCTCGCTTTCCACGCCCGCGGGGCACCGTCTCGGGACCGGCGCGCGGGCGCCCTGCCGGCGGCTCCTGCGCGCGCGGGCTCCCCCTGCCGGTCGGTCCCGGGCGCTGAGCTCGGCCCGCGCTTTGTCCCTCGGAGGTGAGCCGGTCAGCGGTGTCTCCTTCCCGCCTCGAAGGGTCCTGTGCCCCGGAACCGCTGTGCTGGGAGGAGGGAGGCGGCGAGAACCCAGGTGCCAGAAGGCACCGGGTCTCCGAGGGGAGCCCCGGGGTGGGTGCCTGGGGGTCTGAGGTTCTCAGGACTCAACCGCACAGGCGGGGACCCACCCCAGCCCTCCGCGCCCTCTCGTGGGAAAGCCATCAGTTTAGGTGAAGCGTGGTGTTTAAAAGTAATGTCCGTGATTAGAGCAACACTGTTTACCTAAAACCGTTTTCTGAGTGTAGTGAGTGAGAGTGAGCGGAGTAAACGTGGGCGTTGCATGAAGCCTGTCTGCGGGGCAGCGTCCCTGCTGCCGCCGCCTCGTGTCTCTTGCTGCACGTGGGGCTGGCTGCCCTTCTGTCCCGGTCCCCACCCCTGCTGTGCGGCTGTCCCTGGGGGTCCTTGGGGTCTCCTGGTCCTGTCAGTGTAGCGGGAGGGAGGAAGGATCCCTGGCGACTTGGAAGAAAGGTTTTGTGCCCTTCGGTGGGGCTTCCCCTCGTATTTATGATCCTAATTTATACAGTGCCCACCGTGGAAGCAAATGCCTCCTGTATTGCTATGTACATATCCATATCTGGGGTTGTAAATACAGTTGTTCTGTGTATAAATAAAACAAGCCTGTTTTTGATCTTCCATCGTCAGATTTATCATTCTTTTGTGCTTTGATGTAAAATTTCAGTTGCCAAAAAATCTTTCCAAACTGGGTTCAGAATTATGTTTTTCAGCCACTCTAAAGATAGGTTGAATTGGTGGTGGCTGAAGAGCAAAGTGGAACGAATGCCATTGTATTATTCAGGGTGTGGGTTCTAGGATGTTGAATTAACTCACCAAGGTGGTGGGGCTGGGTACCACTGAGGTTCTCAGGCTTAATCACATGTAGCTTCAGCCCAGCCTCTTGAGGTCATCTTAGCTAATGTTCTATCTGCCTATGTCTTTTATATAAAACTGCAAACCCGAGCTCTCCTACTCCCCTCTCTGTTTAGTCCTAGTACCTTTATTACAAGGGAGCTGCCTCTTCAAGCCCAAGGTCACTTTGTGACCCGTTTCCGGGGTGCAGGATGGGGGCTGGCATCGTGGAGTTGAAAACTGGGCTGGCAGGGTACCATAGGGCTGTGTGCGCTCTGAATGTGTAGTTGCCTCCCCAGAAGCTTTCTTTTATGCTTAGTGTAACTCGTTTTGTCCTGCACGGTCCTCCCACATGGCCAACCCTATATCAGGCCTCATGGTTACAAAATAGCTGCCACTACTCCAGGTATCACATCCAAATGTGACTGTGTCCAGGCTAAAGTGTGGGTGAACAGGTGGGTTGGCTCTTGCCTCTTTTTAAGGTAAAAGGAAATTTATTGGAAATTCTGGCATCCACTGACCTCCGCTGAGGTCTCACTGTTGAGAATTGGACCACACACTCTCACACATGACTAGAGCAGTGGGTGCGAAAGGAACGGAGCCATGCCAGTGGTGGCTGATCACGATACTGCTGGCTGACACGTTTGTTATTTTATGCTGGCTGCTGGCATACATACACATTATACATATTAACTCACCCATTCCTGTTCGCAGTGCTATGAGGTGGGTATCCACATTTTCTAGATTAGGACACAGGATCAGAGAGGTCCCAGCTTGTCCCAGCAGCTCGTGGCCGGGCCGGGAGAGCACACCTGGAGTGCTGTGCTTGGGTCCCCAGCCTGACCCCAAGCCCGCCCACATGACAGATGAGGAAACGGGGCCTGTGTCACACACAGGCATCCGGGCCCAGGAGCCTGTAGTTCTTCTTGCGCAGATGGCAGGAGCCAGGGCTCAGCCTTTGCGGGTTTTTGGGGTGTGGGGGGGTTGGCCGTGTGGCGTGTGGGATCTTAGTTCCCTGACCAGGGACTGAACCCATGCAGATTTGGACCCAGTACCACCATTGTGAGGCCCACTGCTAGGGCTGTTCGGGCCTCTGAAATGTGCTGCACGGGGTGGTCGTGGGGGCCTGTCACCTTGGGGGTGTGAGTACTCAGGGCAGCCTGGTTTTCCGGAAGCGCCGCTGGACTGGTGCCCGCCCCCTTGGCACACTTGCCCCGGGCTGGGTTATTCGTCACCTGGCCGCTGGTGTGGAACTGCGAGGTGCCCCCTTCACTGGGCCCGCCCCAGCCCGAGGCTGCGGGCAGGAGCCGCCCCCCCGCCCCGCCTCTGGACTTTGGGTCGAGGGGCTGCTGCTGAGGGTGGGGGGCCCCCTCAGAGCCCCTACTCGGGACTAGAGCTGGTGGCAGGGCGGGCGGGTACCCGCTTTGAGCGTCAGGCCCAGGACTTTTATGGGCACCTGCAAGGAGGCCTTGGGCCGACAGGTAGTACCTCGGGGGCTGCTGGGGGCATTGCACCCCCGGGGCAAGCTGCGGGCGCTGGGGTCCGCGCACGGCAGCCTGAGCCGGGCTGCACGCGGCCCTAGGCGTTGCCATCACACTCCCCTCCTCTGCAGACAGCGCTCCCTCGGGCCGCGTTGTGTCTGTTACCGATGGGGCAGGACCGAGAACGGGCGCGGCGGCCATGTCTCCATCCGACCAGGCTGCAGGCCCCGACGGTCTTCCTTCACGGCTACGTCTGTCCCGGGGGAGCCGACCTCTCTAAACCGTGATTCCGGATTATTCAGGACTTCCGGTGACCCGTCCCTCCTTCTGCCAGGAGAGTGACACAGCTGCATCAATGTGTTTTCTCTAACACAACCAGCATGGGCAGCTGCATTTCTCTGGAAAGTAAAAAGAGAACCAGACCACTTCCAGTTTCTTCAAATCCAATTATTCCCGTCTGTTTATTTAAAACCAAAACACAGTTCTGTTCTTTCTTCCCTTTCTGTTGTTTCTAAAGCAGTACTGAACTGGTCTTTTTGAACATCAACCCCAGCGACTTAGCATCCGAAGTTCACTTGGGGTAAAGGCCAGAACATGAAGCAGTCAGCAGAGACAGGACGCTACAAACCCAAGTTTATTTTTTAACAAAATCTTAGCGCTTTCTCGCGGTAGCCCCGCTCCATGCCCGAACTGCAAGGAAGGAAGGAGGGGAGCGGAGGCCAGGCCGTTCACGTGGACACCCAAGGCACCTCGACCTTTTTTGCGGTGAGTGACCTCCCGCGGGGCCTCTGGCTTCCCGGCTGGTACGTCACCCTCGGGCTACGGTGGAACGAGGGGGCTCAGGGAGCCCGGCTGGGGCATGGGGCCGGCCTCGCTCTGTCCCACGCCGACACTGTGGCACCATCCCCGCCCACCGGGTGCCCTGGAGAGTCGCCTCAGTCTCCTGAGACAGAGGTGGTACCGGAGAGCCGGAAGCACTGGCCTAAGTCCAACTTCTTAAAACAGAGCTGCTTCCATACCGACCGGCAGGTAAATCATGACGCGCACGCGGAGGAGGAGGGTTTCTGATGCCGTCTTGGGGAGGGCAGAGGGAGGAAAGGCCGCCGTTCACTCCTCTGTCCCATCAGGGCCTGGAAGAGCAGCTAGGGCACAGCAACGGCCCCTCAATTCCTCAAGCGGGGGTCGCAGGCGGAGACCCTAGTCCACGCGTCCCCTTCTTTAACAGTTCAAAGCTATTTTAGTATCAGTGAGAAAAAGGCTGATGTGTGTGTGTTAGTCACTCAGTCCTGTCTGACTCTTTGCGACCCCATGGACTGTGGCCCACCAGGCTCCTTTGTCCGTGGGATTCTCCAGGCAAGAATACTGGAGTGGGTTGCCATTCCCTTCTCCAAAAAGGCTGATGAAAGTGTGTAAAATCAAGATGATAACCGTACTTAGCAGCACAGTTGCAATAAAGCATCACTGAGATTTGAGGAAGTATTATCTTCTTAGGAGTTCCTGCTTTGGCCCGAGTTAGCTTGAGACGTGGAATCAGCCCAGTGTCCTAAATCCATCAACAGGAACACAGATGCTCTATTTGTCATAGATATCTATTAAACCTTTTAAACTGACAACAAGCCATGTCAAATTAAGAAGAATTTTAGCCCACATTTTCCTTCTCTCCTGTTTTAATCACGGCTGTTCAGGGCTGGCCCCCGGCCCACCAGGCCTGTTTGCCGTGACCCCACCTCCCAGACCAGCTCCTGGACAGGGAGACACACGGCCCCTGCAGGCAGCAGGCGGGCAGCCGTGAGGACCCCTGACCTTGGACGGCACAGGTGGGCGGGGGCTGCCCGTGCCCCAGCAGCACGTACCTGACCAGAGGGTGCCCCGCTGAGCTGCTCGTCTGGGAAAGAGAGGGACCGCCTTAGAATCACAGACCTAACTCAGCCCCAAGGGGAGGGGTGCCGTCTGGGAGCCAGTTTCTGTGACGTGAGCCGCCAGAACCCGGGGGACTAGGTACAGCGCGTCACCTCGACAGCAGGAGAGTGGGCGAGCAAGCCTGAACTGGCGGGCCTGGCGGAGATAAGCAACGTGCCGCTGCATCCTCACCTGCAGTTCGCCTTTCATGTAAAGACCTGCGGGGCGTCAAGTGCAGGGTGAGGGGCCGGCTCCGGGGGACACACCACAGAGCTGGCAGAAGCACGGTCACCTGGCCTAAGATGAAAGCCTCCTCTGCTGGTGACAAAGCCGGGGTCTGGAGCCCGGGTGTGCAGAGGGCAGAGAGCAGCAGGCCCGCTCTCGGGGACCTGGAGCAGGAGCACCAGTCCCACGCTGTCCTGCCCCTCCCCCGCCCTGGAGTGGGAGCACCGGTCCCACGCTGTCCCGCCCCTCCCCCGCCCCGCGGCGCTATCTGAAGCTCCCGACGTGGATGGAGAGAGAAGCTTCTGGTCCACGGGCCCGGGCGGGCGTCTCTGCACCAGAGAAGACGTCGCTGCTCTGCGCACGGAGGGCCTCCCGGCTACAGGGAGAGAGAGGCAGTCAGGGGTTCACATCCCAGATGCCAGGGCCCCAGCAGGGTGAAGAGGGGCTCCCGATTTCACTTCCAATGTTCAGGGTCAAGTGAGAACAGGCCACAGATATTCTCACAATGCCCTGCAGATATTGTGGGATATTCCCACAATGCCCTGCAGACCAGGGTTCCACGCTGTGGTCAGGAACGTGAGCCCAGAGGTTGCAGCAGGAACCTGTCTGTGGCCGAGGACCCTCACTCACCTTTTCCTTTTCCCCAGGGCGAGCTCTTTCTGTTTTTCCCTTCCGATGTCGTCTCGGACAGTACTGAAATCATCATTGTCTTCAACCAGGAGATTCTGCATGTCAAAATAATTACTGAGCAATGTTTTTAGACATCTTTCTAGCCTACATTTAAGAGATGGATGTAAAAAATCACCTACGGGACATCCAAACTTACATAAACTAGATTAATAACATGAAACAGTCTAATGCTTGATGAGAACAAACTGAGCTGGGGCAGGACGAGCTCGAGGAGGAGGTGCGGGGGAACTGTCCGAGAGCCCCGAGTGAGCGGGCATGGGGTCCGAGGCACAGCAGGCCGCTCAGTCAGTGTAGCCTCGCGGCCGCGTCCTGGCACTGGGCTTCCCAGCGTCTCCCTGGAGCCGCCCTGGAGCCTCCTCCACCCTGCCCGGACCCACATGCGGTCAGAGACGGGGAGTTAGCGTCAAGCTCGCCGCTCCCACAGGCCGGTCTCTTGTCGGGGTGCACTGACCACAACACTCCGCCTGAGCACATGTGAGCAGGAGGAAAGCCTGTGTTGTAAGGCGATGCCCAGGCCTCCCAGGCCCCGGGTTAGGGACGCTGGGGTTCCTGGCCACGTGCCCCATGGAGATCCGGGGGAGGGAGCGCCGACAGGCCAGCTGAGGGGCTGCAGGGGGGCTGGCTCCCTGCTTCGCCACCCTCAAGTGGGAAAAGCCTCCCCCCACCTGAGCGCTAAGTGCTCTGCTGAGCTCAGTGCAACTGTTTCCATCTTTGCCTTTACAACACAGGAACGTGACCCTCAGCAAGCCTCTGCGTTCTACCTGGTTCTCTGTTAGTGATCGTCCTGTGACTTTTCCACACTAAACACTTGGATGTGTCTTCACAGTGATACCTGGGCTCTGATTTATCTGCTTTAAATGCTGTGTTCTCTACCACCACATCAATACTCTTTTCCCCCTTTTTACGTATCCCCTTTCTGAGGGTCATGTAAGTTCTTTCCAGTGTTAGTCTTCAATCCAAATCAAAGAGCCCTTCAATGCTCATTTCTGTACATCTCCCCCCAAACATGGGTGTTTTGGCAACCCACTCCTGTATTCTTGCCTGGAAAATCCAACAGACAGAGGAGACTGGTGGGCTACATGCTTTGCATGGGGTTGCAAAGCACTGGACACAACGGAGCACGCATGGATGCGCGTGCGCACACACGGATGCGCGTGCGCACACACATGCACACGCGGGTGCTTCCAGGAGTTTAGATCTAGAGTGGAAGCACCCGGCTGCATCGTGTGGGCACCTTTGCTGACTGCTGCCAACTGCTGTTTACTTGGCGCTGGTGCTTCCCGGTGCTGCCTGGAGTCCCGAGAGTCTGGCCTGGCAGCTCAGGTTTTATCTCACAGGTCCCTGGTTACTGGGAAGCTATCTTTTCACCTGCTTTCTGAGAACTGCCAGGTGTTACTCAGAGGATCACTAGGGGAGAGATGGGCAAAGCTTATTTTTTGGTAACTGATTTGCAGAAGTACTTTACATATTTGGGGTACACTAGTCCTTATATCCTGATATATTATCTTTTCCTATTTGTGGCTTGTCTTCTCACTTTGCATTGTTTCCTTTGATGAAAAGAAGCTTTTACTTTAAATGTACAGTTGTCCCTCAGAGTTCACAGTGGACTGGTTTCAGGACATGCCACAGACACCAAAATCTTGAGATGCTTGAGACCTACAGCTGGCACTCTGTATCCGCAGTTCCACACCTGTGGACTCAACTAACTGCAGTTTGTAGTACTCTGTGTATTTACTGAGAAAAAAAAATTTTGTATATAAGTGGACCCAGGCAGTTTAAACTCATGCTGTTCAAGGGTCAACTGCAGTCAAATTTATTGATCCTCTTCTTTATGGATTATGCTTTATATTTCTTACTTTAAGAAATCCTTCTTAACCTAGGTCTTAAAAATTTTCTTATCTTCTCACAGCTGAAATGCTTTTCACATTTCAGTCTTCATGCTGATTGCTGTACAGGTGTGGGCAGAGGTGGACAGTTTTATGGGGTCCACAGCTTATACAAATTGACCCTCTTTATGGAAATGCAATCAAAATTATGACTATAATTATTGAATAATCCATTTTTAATGCAGCCTCAAATACCTGTCAAGTTTCATTATATGAGTGATTCTGTTTCACTGCTCTATTTCAGTATTGCCCTGCCCCAAAGCTAGTCACCACAGTTCTGTAATCATTTTTAATTCTTGGTATGGCAATACCCTGATCTTGTTCTTTAAAAATATCTTAGCTCTTCAGCCTTCTGCTGTTCCATGTGAATTTATCTCTAATCTACATGGTTTTTCATTGTGATGATACTGAACTTACAACTGTGGGACAACTGGTATCTTTACCATTGTGAGGCCTCTGTTCCCAGAACACGGTATATGATATGATTCTGTATCTAACTGAAGCTTTAATGTCTCTCAGTATTTCTGTAATACTCTCCAGAAAGGTCTTATATCTTTTTGTTGAATGTATTCCCAGGTACTTTGCAATTTTATGTATGTTGATCTTATAACCTTTTGAACTCTCTAATAGAGCTAACGGCTTATTTGTATAGTCTTTCAAATGTGGAAAAACTGTACTTAAGAACAGTGTTACATATATATTTTCCTTTGAGAATTTCTTTTACCTGTCTTTCAGTTTCTGTTTATTTGCTTTTCTTTGTTGGGTGGAAGGTCATATTACATTGGTTACATATTTTAGTATTGTACAGTGAAGAACAGAAGTGGTGATTAAGGGAATACTTATTCCTTAATATAAATTTAAGGGAATACTTAGTCCCTAATATAAAAAATTATCTAAATAAAAAAACAAGTTATTACTTCTTAAATTAAGGATTTAAATCATTAACCCTTAATACAAAAAATATAATGACAACAAAGTAGGTCTGTCCAAAGAATGCAAGGAAGGCTCAGTGTTGAGTATGTTTATGTAATAATACTTCATTACCAGATTAAATGAGAAAAACCATATTGCTGATTAAACGGATGCAGAGAAAGCAGAGAATAAAATATAATATTAAAAATCCAGTGCTCATTCATTATTTAGAAAAAAAGAAGAACTTAAGAGTAAACTAGGAATGAAAGAAATGTCTTAACCTAATATAGGTACCTGCATAAAACCTAATGCAACACACTTAGTGATGAAACTTCAAAAGCATTTTCATTCAAGTCAGACCCAAAAGGGTTTTGGTACTGTGGTTCCACTGGCCTCATCAAACGAGTTGTCTGGTTCTCCGTGTCTCCCCGCTGCTTCGTGAAACAATTTACCTAAAACGGGGCTGTCAGTGCTTTGAAGACTTGAGTGTGCTTATCTGTGCTCTTTTGCAGAGCTTTCCTTTGCTCATACAACTACACCACCTTCTCTCTCTTCCCAGCTCCAGGCCTTCAATTTCTTCTCCCTGCCTAAGTTTTCTGCCAGCTTCACTTGCTCTTACACCAGCATTTCCTAGGGAGTTTTGCCGTGGCGGGGAGAAGTTGATAACACTTCTCTATACAATCATTTGATTCTGGTGTTTTGTCAGAGTGGTAAATTTACTGTGAAAGACTTACCTTAACACCAATAGTATCTCCATCTTTCAAGTAATAAGGTGCACCCTGCAAATTATCTTGCTTTTTCTTCTTTTTCCTCTTGTTAGTTTGCTGGTTCTACAGAAAAATTAAACATCTTGAATTAAAACAAAAACTCAATCTCAAATTCTTAGTAAATACCCTATCAGTCTGTGAAAAATGGTAGTTAATCTATTTGCTATGCCAGGAAGGCCCAATTTTCTTGAGAAAGCCCCACGACTTTACCCAACTAGATACTGGAAGCCACGCAAACTTCTCAGGGAAGTATTTGGCAATTTCAATTTTCTCCACGGGAAGTGAGTACACGTCGGCCACTCGCTGCCGCAGGGAGCCGGCTGTCCAGCCGCGGGCCGTGTTCCACAGCACGTCCACGGGCGGGCCGTAGGCTCTCTCGCCAGGGAGGCGCATCTGTGTCCGCAGCAGCACGTCCCAGGGGCTGTGCCAGAAAACAGTCGCGTGTCAGATTTACCACCAGAGGAGAGAGGTGCTGTGAAGGGCAAAGCTACTCCTCTGACTCTGCTGCTGTTCCTAAGGGATTTTCCCTGAACGAACCCTGAACGCCTGTGAGAAACTTTTGACTTTGATTTCCTTCACTCCTGACCCAGAATGGAGGTGAGCGCCCATTCTGAGTCCACGGCACAGTCCCAGGGGAGGCAGCAGGTGGGGCTGAAGGCAGGGTTGGAGAAGTTCCTCCGGGGAACACAGAGGAAACAGGACTGGGCACAACAGAAAGGGCCGGCAAGGCAACACCCGAGTGGTGAGAAGGAAGGGCTCAACACGACCAGGTTCCCCGCCATGGCGACTCCCTAGGAAATGCTGGTGTTGGAGCAAGCCGGGGTGAAGCTGGCAGAGAACTTAGGCAGGGAGAAGAAATTGAGGGCCTGGAGCTGGGAAGAGAGAGGTGGTATAGTTGTACGAGCAAAGGAAACCTCTGCAGAAAAGCACAGATAAGAGATCCTTGGAGGAAGAGAAAGAAGAGAAACATTCAGACAGGTCAGAAGGAAATTCAGATGTGTGGAGTGTGTTTAAAAATGTAAAGCAGTAGGACATGAAATAAAAACTACAGATAAGAACTGGAAGATAGACAGGAGAAATGAAAACTTTACTGATGGTGAGACAATGAACAGTTTTAATGCTGTATTCCTATTATATTGGTGTTTTACTGAAAGAAAGGGAAATGCAGTTGTAGAAGACGGACAACAGGGAGACTGAAGGCCTGGTGAAAGGATATGGGACTGAATGCGGGGAACTGTGGCCAGGAAGAGGCTGTCAGAGGGTGTAGCTGTTTTGGGGTCACTGAGCAGAGCTGAGGCCCCAGAGCTTACAGAGGGTGGTCAGTGCAGACACAGGAGGTGCTGAGGAGGAGACAGAGGCTGCTGAAGACCCCAGGGAGCCAGGGGCCCCACTAAGGGAGGGCAAGAGTGCTCTGGAGGTCGGTCCAGGACAGAAGTGCTAACGGGGAAGGGGGTCTAAGTAAGTACACAATGTGGTCTTCAAAAGGACACTGCTCACAACAAATGATAATGACAGAGGGTCACATTACAATATAATATTCTATATTACAGAAAGAGCTCACACAAATTAGACTTTTTACTAAGACATCATTAAAAACAGGCAATATATAAGAAACAATTCACGTACCCAGAAAATATAAATGGCCTATAAACCTTTGAACAAATGCCCCCATCTTACTAGCAATCAAAGCACTGAGGCAAATGAAACAAGATAACCATTTTTCATTTATCAATTTAGCAAACATTTAAACAATGACAACACTCAATGATGGCTTGACAGTGAGGTGAAATAAATACTTATAAACCCTGCTTGTGGGAACATAAATTGATATACCTTACCTGGAAATGATTTAAGACTTAAGAGGTTTAAAATGTCCATACTATCTGATCCAGAAATTCCCCTCCAGGGAACTAGTAATATAGTTTGCACTAAGAATGTCTTTTTATAAAAACAGTGGGATTAAGTGAAGGTCAGATATGGTTGAAAGAGCAGACCTGTTATATAGGCGGGCAATGAGAATCATGTCAGGCAGAACTTAGTATCTGGTGTTACTGACAAAAATGTCTTAGACAAGAAAGTCCTATAATGAAAAAAGAATAGTTACGTTTGATCATAGACAACTCTGGGGTGCTTCTTTATTCAATAAACAAACTGACTGTGACAAAGGCATTGTCTTAGGTACTAGAGACATAGCAATGACCAAGAAACAGAGTGCTTGCTCTCCCAAAGCGAACATTCCAGTAGGAGAGACAGATGACGATGGGTAATTCAGTAAGTACACATCAGGGGGTGTCAGGGTGAAAAAAATCAGGATGAGGGGCAGCATGGCAGATGCTACTATCAGTCTGACCACAGAGTGTCTCCAGGCATGGATAAAAACTGCGAGTGAGCATCTCGCTTACATTCAAGGTCATTATGGGTTCAGTAGGCACTGGGACTGACTGAGAAATAAATGTTTTTATGGAAAAATGAATTCTAAGATCTAGATACCAGATATACAAACACATTTCTAGAACATAATCTGTTTTAAGTTGCCAGACTCATTAGAAGCAGTGGAAAAAACACCTAAAATTTTAACAACTTAACAGTAAAGAAACTATCCATTGGGATCAGTTGCTGTTGTTTAGTTGCTAAGTCATGTCCGACTCTCTTAGGACCCCATGGACTGTAGCCCACCAGGCTCCCGTGTCCATGGGATTCTTCAGGCCAGAATACTGGAGTGGGTTGCCATTTCCTTCTCCAGGGGATCTGCCCGATGGAGGGATTGAACCCATGTCTCCTGCATTGGCAGGAGGATTCTTTACCACTGAGCCCCCAGGGAAGCCTTGTTGTGATCAGACATGTATGTAATTTTGTATGTGTAGAAGGATGTCTTACCCCAAGTTTTCTTCTTTCTGAAGAGGCTCTAAGCAGATCTCAGTTCTTTTTCCCAATTTATATTCCCTGATAACAAATGAAACAAAACAATACTGAATGACATATTAATTTTTTTACAGGTTTTTTTAAAAAAACAATTTCAAGTATTCTTAAGTGAAACAGTATACCATATAAGAACTCTGAAAATTTAAGAGACTACCATGAAAAATTATACACCAACAAATTGTACAACCCAGAAGAAATGGTAAATTCCTAGAAATATAAAACCTACTAAGACTGAATCATGAAGAAACAGAAAATCTGAACAGACCAATTATCAGTAAGGAGACTGAATCAGCAATTAAAAACCTCCTAACAAAAAAGAGCTGAGGACCAGATGGTTTTACTGATGATAAAAGATTTAACACCAATCCTTCCCAAACTCTTCCAAAAAAAAAAAACATTTGCAGCCAGTTAAGCCGACTGTGCTCTTTTCCCCATGGGGGCCCAGTGTGCAATGGCTGCAAACAGCAGCCTCCGTGGTAGTGTATGCAGCCTGTTGCCTGTACAGGTAGCCCTAAGGGACCCTGGAGACAACTCTTCCTAGTGGCCATTCGTGACTGGCCTGCTGTTTCTCAATCTAGACTCCAGATAGGTATGCGTGGTGCCTTTGGAAAGCCCCAGGGCACAGTGGCCAGGGTCAACATTGGCCAGGTCATAATGTCCATCCGCACCAAGCTGTAGAACAAGGAGCATGTGATTGAAGCCCTCCGCCGGGCCAAGTTCAAGTTCCCTGGCTGTCAGAAGATCCATATCTCCAAGAAGTGGGGATTTACCAAGTTCAATGCGGATGAATTTGAGAACATGGTAGCAGAAAAGTGACTCATCCCGGACGGCTGTGGGGTCAAATACATCCCTAATTGTGGTCCCCTGGACAAATGGCGGGCCCTGCATTTCATGAGCATTAGCTCTGTTCCCTCCTTAATCACGCTCACCAATAAATGCTATTTCCTGTCCAAAAAAGAAAAAACCAGGAGGGAACACTTCCAAACTCATTCTATGAGGCCAGAATTACCTTGATATCAAAATCAGACAATAACGTTACAAGAAAAGAATATTAAAGGCCAATGTCCCTGATGAACACAGCTGCAAAAAATCTCAAAGAAATACTAGCAAATCAAATTCAGCAATACATTAAAAGGATCATACACTATGATCATATGGGATTTATGCAAGGGATGCAAAGATGGCTCAACATTCACAAATCAATTGATGTGATACAACCATGTTAACAGAATGAAGGACATGATCATCTCAACAGATGCAGAGAAAGCATTTGACAAAATTCAACATTCTTTCACATTAAAAATTCACAACAAACTGGGTATTCAACACCATGAAGGTCTTATTTGACAAGCCCATACCTAGTATCATACTCAGTAGTGAAAAGCTGAAAGCTTTTCCTCTGAGATCAGGAACAGCACAAGGATGCACTCATACCACTTATATCCAACACAGTAGCAGAAGTGCTAGTCAGATCAATTAGAAAAGAAAAGGAATCCAGATTGGAAAAGAAGAAGTAAAATTGTCTCTGTTTGTGGATGACATGATGATATTTATAGAAACCTCTAAAGACTCCACCAAAAAAAAAGAAAACTTCTTAAAACAATTAAATGGGGACTCCCCTGGTAGCCTAGTGGATAAGAATCTGCCTGCCAATGCAGGGGACACAGGTTTGACCCTTGGTCCGGGAAGATTCCACACACCTCGGAGCAACTAAGCCTGTGAGCCACAACTACTGAGTCCATGCTCTAGAACCTGTGGTCCACAGGAGAAGTGACCCCACTGAGGAGCCCTTGCACTGCAAGGAAGAGGAGTAGCACCCACTAGCCACAACTACAGAAAGCCTGTGCAAAAAGCAACAAAAATAAATAAATCAATAGATTTTAAAAAACCGCTAATAAATGAATTCAGTAAGGTCGCAGGACACAAAATCAATATGCAAAAATCAGTTGCATTTTATATAATGACAACAAATTATCAGAAACAGAAATTAAGTAAACAATCCCAATTCCAACAGCATCAAAAAGAAAAAAAAAAAAAACATAAAATACTTAGGAATAAATTTAACCAAGGAGGTGAAAGACCTGTATACTGAAAACTACCAAGATACTGATGAAAGAAACTGAAGACACAAATAAATGGAGCGATTCCATGGTCATGGATTGGGAGAATATTGTTCAAATGTCCGTACTACCCCCCACCCCCCGCCCAAATCTATAAGTTCAATGCAATCCTTGCCAGAATTTCAACAGCATTTTGCAATTAAAAATAGAAACATTTCTAAAATTTTTATAAACCCACAAAGACCTCAAACAGCCAAAGCAATCTTTTCCTAAGAAAGAAGAACAAAGCTGAACGCAGCATGCCCCATGATTTCAAACTATACTATAAACCTATAGTTATCAAAACAGTGTAGTACTGGCATAAACAACACACAGGTATCAGTGGAACACAAGAGAAAGCCCAGAAATGGACACATGCAAATCTGGTCAATTAGTTTATAACATGGAAGCTAAGAACCCACAATGGGGAAGAGTCTCTTCAGTAAATGGTGCTGTGGGGGGGAACTGGACAGTCTCATACAAAAGAATGAAGCTAGAACCTTATCTTACACCATATGCAAAAATAAACTTAAAATTGATTAAAAGATTTGAACATAAGACCTGAAATCGTAAAATTTCTAAAAGAAAACCATGGGGTAAAGCTCCTTGATATGAGCTCTGGCATGAGAATAAGTATCAGTGAGGATGTGGAGGAAAGGGAACCCTTGTTCAGTGCTGGTGGGAATGTAAATTGGTTCAGCCACTATGGAAAAACAGTATGGGGATGCTTCAAAAATTAAAAAAAGAACTATCACATGATACAGCAATCCCACTGCTGGGTACCTCACCAAAGGAAATGAAAACAGGATTCTGAAGAGATTATCTGCATTCCCAGGTTCATTGCAGCATTATGCGCAGTAGGCAAGATATGGAAAAACCTAGTGTCTTTACTGAAAGAATGGATAAAGGTGTGGTTTACAGGTGTGTGCATACACTCACACACACAAAGGAGTATCATGCAGCCCTAAGAAAAGACATCGGTGGCTTGAGATAACACAGATGGATCCTGAGGGCACTATGCTAAGTGAGATAGGGTCACTGCTATATGACATCACTTACGTGTGGACTCTAAGAACGCTGAACTAATAGAAACAGGGACTGGAATAGTGGTTTCCAGGGGCTGGGAAGGGAAAAGGGAAGATGCTGGTCAAACGGTACAGACTTTCAGTTATAAACTATAATCAGCATGCTGTACCTGACATCCCCAGGACATACTTACAACACTGTATTATATACTTGAAAGTTGCTGATGAGACAGTAGATCTTAAATGTTTTCACACACAAAAAATGGCGATTATATGATGTGATGGAGGTGTGAGCTAACACTACAGTGGTTAAAACCATCCTGCAATATATGTCCGTCAAATCAATACACTTATACAGTGTTAGTGAGTTAAAGTTGCTCAGTCGTGTCTGATTCTTTGCAACTCCATAGACTGTTGCCTGCCAGGTTCCTCTACCCATGGAATTCTTCAGGCAAGAATACTGGAGTGGGTTGCCATTCCCTTCTCCATGGGATCTTCCCAACCCAGGGATCGGACGTGGGTCTCCTGCATTGTAGGCAGATTCTTTACCAACTGAGCCAAAAGGGACGCTTTATACAATGTTATGTATCAATTATATCTCAATAAAGCTGGGGGAAAAACAGTCAACATCTTGTTGTCTCTGGACCAAAGTAAAAACAGGCAAAACTACACTTTTACTTAATATGAAAAACGGAAGTTGTCTCAGAGTTTGTGATGACAAGCTCCGTCCACCTGACAACGTGAGTGGCCTGAACGGGCTGCTGGGGAGTGTTCACCAACAAACCTACTTGAGCTGCTGCTGGTGGGCTCGTAAGAGCCGGCCCGGACGCTTACTTTCCACCGTCCAGGCTCGGAGGAAGGCTGGGGATGGGATGGAAAACTCCAAGGAGGGCAAGGTCATGGCCTAGAAAAGAAACAGACAACTGAAAAGGAATTCTTAAAACCAGCCTGCTTCCAGGAAAAGGCGAAGCACTACATAATGACATCTGAGGGGAGACAGCATCTCAAGTGATGATAATAGCTACCAAAAACCCACAGGAATCTCTCTTAAATGAAATTAATCCTGAGTCACTTTTGTATTCCTCTATGCTGAAATCACCTTGAGAGTTAAGTGACTTTTCTATTTCTGAGCCAAAAGCTCCTTTTCAATGATTATGTTTTAGAAAATGAAACTTTAATTTCTATGTGACTATTAACTCAGGAGCACAGGCCACTCTGATAAAAGGCAAGACTTGTCTTCAATTTCCATCTGTGCTACTATTATTCAACAGTGTTTGTTCTGCCAAGGAAATGACTTTCTATTTGAAATATTTCAGAATCTCTGGATCCAACTGCTAGGCCCAAACCACTGTACTAATTCTGTAGGGTGGATAACTATTCATATACTTAGGTTGTATTATATGACATAGCCAATATTCATCCATTTTTTAAATCTAGAAACAGTAACTTTGTATCTTTTAATCCAATATATGAAAAAAAAGTCGCTTCCTTCTTGTTCTTAAGAGAATAAGATCATTTGCTTTTTCTGAGGAAGGTATTTCAGACAGTGAGGATACACAGGAGAAGTCAATCAATGACTGATACTCAACTTATATGCCCCTACACTTTTTCCTTTAAGAGGAAGAAGGATGTTCATTTTAGTCCATTCAGAGTTAAGATGCTGCTTAGGCATTTTGTTTTGTATTCAACTGAGTCTTATCCATTTGGACAGAGCACTCTGTCTGTGAATACTAATGTTCAAGAAAACAATACAATATCTAGTTTAACATTCTAACATAAAGCTGAGATTCAGACCTCTTGGGCAACTGACAACACAGCTTTTGCTAACCACATTTAACACATGAATCACAATGATGCAAAAACAATGTAAATAAAGGAGTAAAGTGAATGCTTTACAAATGTTCCAACAAATGTTTCCCTAAAAAAATCAAAATGAACATAAGCTGCAAGTCACCGAGGAGACAGTGAAATGAAAGCACAGCATGCCTGTCAGAGTGGGAAGAAAGGAAGCCACAGGGGGACTGAAGGAGCCTGGGAGCCCCTGAGCAGTATGCATGTGTGGCCTGTGAGGTACTCACCACTGAACATGGCATATAACACATGCCATATCAGAACAGACTGTAATTGAGGGAAAAGGAAATAGAAGAATATATTAATATCTCACTGGAAGCAGCCAGATCACCACTAGGGTTCGCTGCAGGAGGAAGGCTGACCTGAGACTTCAGCTCCCCCAAGGTGGCATCTTCTGAGATTTCAAGGTCTCCCAAGTACCAGAGGGAAACTTCCGCGTGTGCGTCACTGGGAGCACCTGCAAAGGACAGAGTGAGACTTCTGACAAGAGCTTTAGATGCACTTACCTCATATTTCTGAAATACAGGCTGTGCTGGGATACTGCACACAGGCAGTATCCAAGCAACTCGGAATCTGCGGGCTTCGAGTCAGCCTCTCAGGACCTCATGGGGAGGAAGCGGGTCTGGGAGACGGGCCGCCAGGGGGCGCGGTGTGGGCACAGGACCGCCTCTTCTGCTAGGATGGGTCTGAGGAATTTCACACTTGCGCTGTCACTGAAAGCATCGGGAGCTTTAATGTCCCGTTTTGTTACAGTGAAGGGGGCTGCTATTCCTATTGCCATGGGGAGCTTGGGAGATAACATATAACAATTCCTTGAAAAAACTGAATACATTGCCATAATAATAAAGATAATAAAAATAACAGATGGCAAATGAATGTAAAGCCAAAAAAAAAAAAACACACCAAAACTATGGAACACATAGATTTTGTTGTAACTTAAGTACATTTTAAAAAACACACATTTCTGTTGCCTCTCAGCAGAAGCAGTCATTTTACTTTTCTTTACAACACATTGGCTGCTGTAATTCTGTTGCGTTCTCACCTGGAGTGGAACTGGCTTTCCAGACGCCGCCTTGAGAAAGGGTACAATTCGTCTGGTCCTGGTGATCCTTCCAGTGATGCAGCGGCCCCCGAGGCTGGTACCACCAGATGGGCACCGTCAGGAAACCCTGAGGAATGGGGATTTCGAACTGCTAATGCACATAGATTAAGTCAACTTCCACTTCCACAGAGAAACATCTTGATATAGAAAGTGTTCCTGAATTTAGTATTTTTCCTTAAGATGTATGTATTAACTGCCATACATTATCATTTACCACTTTTACAATCAAAAGTTTAAAATCACAAAAATCAGTACTTAGGATGAATGGGACTAATGTTCTATAGATTAGGAGCTACGATAAGTGAAAAGTATAAACAAACTAACAAAACATTTGACAGAATAAACTATAAAAATATTTTCAGGCATTGGAAGAGCACCGTAGCACCAGTTACATGGAGTTTTTAATTTATAAAATTTTCTATAGGAACTTTCTACAGAGAAGCAACAATCTATTGATCTAAGGTGCATTCCTATATAACAACTACATGAAATAAACTCATCTCCTAAAAACACATTCTGTAATTTCAGTTTTACTAACTTAACTGGTTCTTTCCCAACCCTTTTTTGAGTTAGTAAAGAACTTGAATAGATTAACTATGCTACAATGGTCAATTTCCAACAATAGAAGATGAGAATGTGGGAAAAAAACATGTATTTTTAAATACATATTTTTCAAGAAATGCATGCTAAAATAAGAATATTTTTCTGCCTATCAAATTGGTTAAAATTAATAAATACTCAACTTCCACGCAATAAATAAATAAATCAGAGCAAAAAACTCCATTTTTTCTTTCAATTCAAACCTAAACTCTTATAAATTGGTGCCAGGAGTATAAACTGCTGCCAAGTTTCTGAAAGGTAACTTGGTGCTGTCAAAATTTAAAATGCCCACGCCCTCTGACCCAGCCATTCTATGGTTGGGATTTTATCTTCTGATATACTGGCCCATGCATATTGAGATATTCACTGCAAATTGTTTATGGCAGCAAAAACCATGAACCAACATCAAGGTCCCTTTTTAGAAGACTGGTACATTACAGCAGGCCATAACTTTTGACAAAGAAATTTCAGTTCCAGGAATTTATCCTATGGATACATATGTGCAAAATGGCAAACAGAGTATTTTTGGCAGTGTTATTTGTATCAACAAAAGACTGGAAACAACCTAAATGTACTGGTTAAATAAATCATGGGAACCTCCATACATATCAAATAGAATGAGATAATTTTTTGTGTATGGATACAGCATATATATGGGGATAAGCCATTAATGAAGAAAGCTAGGTGCAGAATACAGTGTCAAGCTTATAATCTTTTCTGTAAATAAAAATATGTATATACACATGAATGTGTACATGCATGCTCCATATATACACACGTGTGTATTGAAGCACGCGCTTCTGGAAGGATACAGGGGAAGCTGGCTGCCTATGGAGGGAGGACAGACACCAAGGGGATGGGCGACCTCCTTTTCCTGGCCCAGCTTTTTATATCCTTTATATTCAAAAATTAAAAAGCACAGTATAAAATACAACCAAATTCTTTGAAGTCATGAAAAAAAAAGAAGGTAGGTCTCTCTCTGCTGATGTGAAGAGATCCTCAAGACATACTAAATGAACAAAACCAAAAAACACAAGGAATAAAACAGTGCATAGAGTATGATCCCCTTTATGGAAACTTTGAAAAGGCTATACACATATTCACATTCAACATACAAACAGGTGTAATTTTTTTCTTGGAAGTATAAAAAAGGAAAAATAATTGGGCTCCTTCTGGAGAGAAAGATATGAGAAACTTCTGTTAATCATTCTATAGTCTTCTACGTTGTCTGAATTTTCTAATCATAAGAAAATGATTATCTGAGTGCTAGAATTTGGGGTAATTTTCTTATTTTCCTCTTTACATGTGTCCACATTAATAAAAACAACAACTACTAAATAATGGCTTTTCTGAGTGGTAACATGCAGTGTCTACGGCAGAGGCGTGGCACAAGCCCCCTCACAGACACACTAGGACGCAAACACTGCTCAACTCTTTGGGAAAAAGACAATTAACAATTGTCTTTTAATTAATTAATTGTCTTTAATTAACAATTAACAATTTGGCTTGTTAATTCCATCTTTAGAACTGTCTTAAGAAGGATTTATACTTACTACTATTTATAAGAAAAAGTTTAAAACAAACTGAACTCCAAACAACAGGGATATAGACGAATTAAATTCTGCTAAGTAATACACTGGATATAATGACTGTTTTTAGATTTTATGGTCAGGTTAAAAAACTAAATATAAAAAATAGGAAATAAAACTGTACATACAATTGATGGAAGGAAATATATAAAGATGTAAAGTATGGTAGCTGTCTGACTGGTAGAATTTGGGGTAAGTACTCTATACTCGTTATGATCGTTATTTCCCCATTTTCACATGATGAGAACATATCATCTTTGCAATCACAACACAGAAACTGCTATTTACAAAACGTCTACTTGGGAGCAAAGTCTTACCAGAGGAGGAAGTTTTCCTTCAATTAAAAGCAAAGTATCTCCAGAACAGATCATAAGCTCGTTCAGCTTTGCATCCTAGAAACACAGAAAGTGAAATTCTTTTTTGTCACTTACGATTTCTGGAAGGAATAAAGAGACCATTCAATCTTTAAAAAAAAAAAAAACACTGATGCCTCTGTTACTCTTTCAAGAAATAAGTAGATGAATAATGAAGCAGATATTGAAGACATAGAAATAAACTAAGACTATAAAATAGTACATCATTATGTATTAAAACTGTATAACTAAGAACTTTAAAAGATTAAAGGAAGAAAGATGGATGAGATGAAAAATGGCAGACTAATTTACAGAAGATAAAATTTTAGTTAAGCTTAAAAGAAGGGCTGGATTTGGAAAAGTCAGAGGAAACAAGAAGGAACTTCTCAAGGAAAGAAGAGCACAGTAGGACTTCCTTGGTGGTTCAGTGGTAAAGAATCCATCTGCTAATGCAGGAGACACAGGTTTGATCCCTAATCCAGGAAGATCCCACATGCCACAAAGCAACTAAGCCCGTGAACCACAGCTATTGAGCCCGTGCTCAGAGCCCAGGGGCTGCAACTACTGGGCCCATGCACTCTAGAGTCCGTGCTCTAACGAAAGAGGCCACTGCAAAGAGAAGCTGGGCACCAAAACAAAGAAGAGCAACACGCGAAAGTCTGCACGGCAACGAAGACCCAGCACAGCCAAAAAGCAAACGAATACAATTATCACAAAAGAAGAACACGGCAAAGTCAAGGTTAAGTCAAGGGTCGGTATGATTTGTATATATGATTTATATCAAGGGGAAGAGCTAAGAGACTAGATTAATTTGAGTGGGAGGTATCTGTTGGAGAATAACAGGAAAGAAAACTGGGTGTGAAAGGGGCCACAGGTCAAAGGGGTGTGGAACAGAAAAAAAGTTTTCAGTTGCTTTTAAAAAGCCACTCAAGATTTCTGTGAAGAGGATTTTTAAAGATCACCCTAAGCTGTCAGACCTGTGACATACTGATATGAAGTGGGAACACCTGGGCTTGGGGACACCAGCTGTAGACAAGAGGCAAAAAGCCCCCAAATGAAACAAAAGACCAAAAACCAGGGTTTGAACCAGGAGACCAGCAATGGAATCGGTTGAGAAGGAGTGGAAAGACTGACAGTTCTCTGAAGGCCAGGATCAAGTATGACCCATGTCAGGTAAGGAGGGTAAGCCACGTGTGGGGCTGGAAAAGGTTAGGATGAGAAAGACTAACAGCAAATCTGTGAAGTGGAGCCAGTTCTGAGGGTGATGAGTTTGCTTTTAGAGGAACTGTTTGATACTGGTTTGAGAATTAGTAAGAAAATGAGGCAAACATTTGACTAGATAAACTCTTCTGACGTCCAAACTTTATGTCCTGACAATTCTTTGAGGTCCACTTCTTACTCTAGGCTATCAAATTCCTGGCCAGGACTCAGAGGGGCCTCTATTGGCTGTTACACAGCAAAGACCTTTCCCTGGAAGGCCCTACTTTAAATCAGCCTCTGCTGATATTTAATGTCAGAGTCTCACTGAACAGAAAGCAGGCACATAAAGACTGGGGAAAAGGGTACTGAGCACAACCATCAGAGGCCACAGATTTGGACTGTGAGGTCTGATGCACCTTGGAGCAGCAACAAGGAGATTAACCAACATGAAAAGATACTCAACATCACTAATTATTAGAGAAATGTAAATCAAAACTACAATGGGGAATCCCCTCACACCAGTCACAGGGGCCATCAAAAAAAGTCTACAAATAATAAATGCTGGAGAGGGTGTGGAGAAAAGGGAACCCTCCTAAACTGTTGGTGGGAATGTAAACTGGTACAGTCACTATGGAGAACAGTATGGAGGGTCCTCAAAAAACTAAAAGTAAGAGTTACCATATAATCCAGCAATTCCACTCCTGGGCATATATCCAGAGAAAACTCTAATCTGAAAAGATACACGCACCCCAAAGTCCACAGTGGCACTATTTACAAAAGCCAAGACATGGAAGCCACCTAAATGTCCACTGACAGAAGGAAGATGTGGTACACACACACACACACATACAATAGAATATTACTCAGTCCGAAAAATAAGAATGAAATAATGCCATTTGCAGCAACATGGATGGACTTAAGAGATTATCATACTAAGTTAAGTAAGGTAAAAAGACAAATATACATTGCTTACATGTAGAACCTAAAAAATGGCACAAATGAACTTATTTACAAAACAGAATAGACTCACATACAAAGAAAGCAAATTTATGTTTACCACAGGGGAAAGTGGAGGAGGGATAAATTAGGAGGTTGGGATTAACATATATACATTACTATGCATAAAATATATAACCAACAAGGACCTACTCAAGGGAACTATACTCAATATCTTATGATAACCTGTAACGGAAAAGAGGGCTTCCCAGGTGGTGCTAGTGGTAAAGAACCCGCCTGCCAATGCAGGAGACATAAGATACACGGATTCAATCTCTAGGTCAGAAGATCCCCTGGAGGAGAGCATGGCAACCCACTCCAGTAAATGAAAAAGAATCTGAAATAGAAAATATATATATATATTTAACTGAATCACTGTGTTGTACACCCAAAACTAACACTCTAAACCAACTATACTTCTATAAAAATTAAAAACAAGAGGAAGAAGAGTAATCAGACTCCAACCATCCTATAACAACTTTGCTCCTACATCTTATTCTCAGTGTCTGGAGGGATTTAGAGATGCAGCTTGAAGCAGAGTCTAAGTGACTGGCTGGTAAGATGAATTCTGCCATCATCAAATTACAAAGAAACTCTGAGGTTAAAACATTCAGGTTTCAAAATTTAGAGCATATCTTCAAATTTTTCACTGGTTCAAATGTCCTTTGTTTTCTGTAGTTCTCTGCCTCTCAGTGAAGAACTACTACTAGAGACATATTCTCTTATCAAAAGAGGACTCAATATATATGTTAGATATGTTCCCACTTAGCTGAAACTTTTCCTTTGACTCTGAAAAAACTGCAGTGAGAAGAAATGAAAGTAGATCCACATATGGATTCTTGTATCCTAAAAAAAGTAGGCTTTCTTTAAAATTTATTCACATGAGTAGGGTGTTATCCTTAGGAAAACACAAAACAAACACAATCATTTTACAAATGAAATGTATACAAATAATCTTACTTCTTCACATAAAGGCTCCCCAGCTTCAAAGCACCAATTCATTTTTCGTAAATGCCATGTGTCTCCTAAGAAGGAATCAAAATCAGGATGGAAAAAAAGTAAGAATAATATGGTTTACGAGTTTGCCATGAATGACCCTTCTGGATAAATATCAAATGGAATATAATCTAATAATTATTAACTAATCTTAAAAGTAAATCATCTCTTCAGAGCATGAAAAAAATTAACTTGCTGCCCCAAATTGGTGAATCTTCTGTCGATCCCACCAAGTACTGTATACCTGCAAATACAAATACTTGGCACTAGTGTGCAGCGTCTATATACCTTTATTATTTACATGCACATATGCACGCCTCTATCACATGTTGAGCATAAACATATGTACATACAAGCATAGAATCCCTTTTAAAATCACAAAGTTGTCTTGGATGTAAATACATGCTAACGTTACTCAGCAACTGGTAACATGTACAACAAAACTGTTCCTGTCCAATTGGCAGTTAATCTAACAAAAAATAGTGTTTAGTACAGCAGTTTAATGAATTGGGTATAGAAGAACATTTACGAATGTTAATGAGATTTCAGTTTTTCAGCATGTTTATTACACTGACAAAACGGGAAAAGAATTTCTTCTTTTGAGGAGAGGGAGCTGAGTAAAAGTTGAAAATCTTGGTTACTAAAAAATTAGCAATGTTTTATAACAGTCAAGTCCCCCACTCACCAAAAGAAGCTCCACACCAGGGAATAAACATAGATCTCATATTTATCCGGCACAGGCCACAGGTTTTGAATCCCCCTCTTGTGGCTCAGATGGTAAAGAATCTGCCTGCAATGTGGGAGACCTGCTTCGATTCCTGGGTTGGGAAGGTCTCCTGGAGAAGGGGATGGCAACCCACTCCAGTATTCTTGCCTGGAAAATTCCATGAACAGAGGAGCCTGGTGGGCTACAGTCCATGGGTTTGCAAAGAGTTGGACACGACTGAGCAACTAACACTTTCACTGTAGACCCTCTTTTGCCATTATTTCTAGTTTTAAATGCAGCACAAGCGTGTTGCTTCACTGGTGTCCAACTCTGTGCGATCCTATGAACTGCAGCTGGCCAGGCTCCTTTGTCCATGGGATTCTCCACGCAAAAATACTGGAGTGGGTTGCTGTGCTCTCCTCCAGGGCATCTTCCCAACCCAGGGATTGAACCTGTGTCTCTCAGTCTACCTGCATTAGCAGGTAGATTCTTTACCACTAGCGCCAACTGGGAAGTCTCTTTAAATGCAGTAAGTTGTATCGATATTTACCTTAACCTAAGTAAGTTTAAAAAAACAATACCAGTAAATTAAGAGTGAACACCATTACGTCACAGCACAGCATGGCAGAAAGAAATCAAGAGTTGTGAAAGCAGAGTGATCTAGCTACTTGTGGTATAACTCTGGGTGAGCTGTTTAGCCATTCTCTGCATCTGAGAAATGGGAACAAGTGAGGATCCCAGCTGGGAGGACTAGTGTGGAGATGAAACAAGACAGCACAGGAAGCTCCTAGAAGAGTGCCCTGAGCCTGAGCAAGCAAATGTTCCTGCCAGGTGATGGAGCCCCAGGCTTCCACTCCGGTGCAGAGAATGGCAAGCACTCAGTCTACTGAAACCAGCTTGATGCCTCCTCAAGCTCGATCACATGGCTCCATGTGGGTAGCCACTTCAGGATATCCTGGGTTTATTTTTTTCATTCATATTACACTCCCTAATCTATACATAGAAATACTGGCATCAAACACAACATACTGAAATGTTGAATTAACGAGGTTAAAAAAAATCAGTAAAAGATCTAGGAAATTCCAGAGACAAGCCTAGGTATCATCATAGTCCGTAACCCACCTGTGCGGCCACATTTGTCCAGCATTATCTTCAGACACTGTTAAGAAAAAAGAAAAAAAGAAAAAAAATTATGTTCATTAGTAGTTCTGTTTCTGAGTTACAGTATGAGAAGCACCTTTCTTTTGACCCTGGAACTATCTGACTACATTTAACGAGTCTCAAATAGATAAAGACATACATGGCTAAAGCACTCCTTAAGAGCTAAGGAGGTGCCAACTCAGCAGGAAAAAAAGCTTCCGGTGCTCACAACCAGAACCCACAAGTTCATCCACTTCCAGGTCTGCAGTGTGATTTTCTTCTTATGAGGACTAACAGTGTATTTCTGATCACGTATGATTAATTAGGTTGCTTTCACCATGACTTCCCAGGTAAAGAACCCAATTGCCAATGCAGGAGACCTACAAGACACGGGTTCCATCCCTGGGCCAGGAAGATCCCCTCAAGGAGGAAGTGGCAACTCACTCCAGTATTCTTGCCTGGAAAATTCCATGGGCAGAGAAGCCTGGCATGCTACAGTTCACAGGACTGCAAAGAGGCAGACATGACTGAAGTGACTTAGCATGCATAGATAAGTAAACTCTGACTCCCATAAAAGGAGATTAGCTTTTATTTATCCAAGAAGCAACTGATCATACACCAACTCACAAGGAGAAAACTGCACACTGTGAGCTCACAGCACAATTCAGTGAACGAGACACGATGAACAGACATTTGAGCAAAACAAGTCATTAAAAACTCCCAACATCTTGAGGTGAAAAATATTCTTAAATAAATTTAGGGCAAAGGAGTAAGTAAAATTTGATTTATGCTATAACTGAGCAGAAGGGAGAGGACTAGGGATGATGACTGCTGCCCTGCTTGGATTAGAGGAAAATGGCAAACAACCCAGACAGCCCTGGATTAACAGGGGACCATTTACATAAACTAGGAAAGGTCTTAAAACAATTAAAGGATAAAAAAGATTTATATTTACTGGCCTTAAAAGATCTTTGAAATATTTTAAGTGAAACAAAGTTCTAGGATGCCATTTATGATTTTAAAAGAAACCAAGTCAAGCTCTTATTCCAATAGGTACATATATACTACACATTGGTACACACACGGCAAAGGTATAGGAGGATACACTATTGATGTGGATACGATTACATCATCCAACGACAAAAGTGACTTCTGAGGAAAGGACAAGAACAGGGTGGTAACTAAGGACTTTCTTTAGTCACCCATGAAGTTTGAAAAATAAGATTAAATCCACGAGTACTTGTATGATTAAAGATAAAAGCAGTATAGAATTAAAGATTGTTTAGAAAACGACGATGGGAACAACGTATTGAAACAGAGAATGGGGCCAAAGAAAACTGGGTTCAAAGAAAACTGCAGTCTCAAAGGCTTCTCTTATTTAAGAAGAACGAGCAATTGAGCATTTAACTTAACTGTGTTTCAGAGAGTGGAAACAACCAGTGTAAAGACGTGTCTGAAAAACAGCACAGAGACCAACTTGGCTCGACAGAGCAAGTAAGCAACAGTTATAATGTCGCCCAGGGGCTCTGCTCTCTCTCCGAGTGGGCCGGGGAAGCAGAGGAGGGCTGTGTGTAGAGGGCCGACTGACCTTAACTTTAAAGGATCGCTCTATTTCTTTGTAAGAACGCACCATGGGAGGTGCCAGGTTAGAAGCAAAGAGGTCAGTGAGGAAGATGCTGGAATAATCCAGATGAGGGGTGAAGGCAGTGAAAGCAGTGAGGGAAAGAGACATGGTCAGATCCCAGATAAATTCTGATGGTAGAACCAAAAGGATTTCTTGAAAAACTGGTAATGAAGAAAGAAAGAAAAGAATCAAAGATGATTTCAAAGGTTTTGGCCTAAGCAGGTGGAAAATGGAGCCACCGTAACGGAAAAGGAAAATGTGAGTGAAGTGCGTCTGAGAGGTCAGGAGCTCCTTTGTGGGTGTGCTCTCACTCGGGATGACAATCAGACAGCCAAGGAGTGGCTGGATATGAGCACGGCAGCTAGGAGCTGAGCATGTGGTGCTCACAAGGCAGAGAGAAGAGGAAACGGGCGGAGAAGGGGAGACCTGAGAAATGGGGGGAAAACCTACAGAGCTGCGGTCTCCTAAAGGCAAGTGACAAATGTCATCAAGTATGTCACCGCTACTGGAAGAGCAAGTAAGCAGATGACTGGGGACTCTCACTAGACACAGTGCCACGGCAGCCTCTGACAGCCTTGACATAGCAGTTTCAGCTCTGGGGAGGGAAGTGGGCAGGCATGGGGAAGAAGTCTACCTACAGTGGTTTCAGGACAAAAGACAGACATACACATTCTTCAAAATGAAAAAACACTGAGTTACCCAAGGCCACACCCCAGGCACAAAGGACTAACCATCTTTTCCTCTGAGGAGCTGCTGCCTTTCTACCAACGATATCTCCAGTCCCTCCTTCACACTTCCAACTTAGGAACATAAACAAGATACTGAATTGCCCCCAACTCTTGATAGCATCCAATCCACAATTAGCCCTTATCCCTCCTTACAATCACTTAGCACAAGCTCAAACCCTGTCAGGGAGATCATTCGGATGAGAGGTGAAGGGGGTGCCAGCAGTGGAGGGAGGGGTGTCAGGGACCCTCTAGTGTCTGATTTCTGTGATATGAATCTCATGCTCACAGTAAGTCAGTAATAAACCTTTTTTAAAAAGCTAACCGCCCCCAACAAAAAACTCATTAAAGTTAACAGGCAAATGAAAAACTGGGAAAATACTGACAGCATAGAGCAAAGGGTAAAAAAATATATATCTATTAAAATATGTTTAATCACAGAAAATTTCAAACTTATGAGAGGGTTATAAAATGAACCCTCAAGTGCCCATCTCCAGCCTCAGTTCCTGCTGTGGCCTGTCTTTGTCAATACCCCCACCCATTTCCCCTGTCAAGCTTCCCAGATTTTTTTTTGAAGCACATGTCAGGTATCACTTCATTTCATTTATTGATATTCAGTACTCATCTCTAAAAGATGAAGATTCTTTAAAAAACATAACTGGTAAATAATTATGATATAGAATTCCTAAATAACAAATATCCTGTCAATGTTCAAATTTCCCTAATTTCTGTTAACTGTTACTAAAGTTCTTGTGGTTTGAATCAAGGTCCATATGAATTCTATATATTGTGCCTGCTTGCTATTTCTCCTAAGTCTCCTTTAACCGTAGGCTGCCTCACCCTGCAACTGATTTCTTGAAGAAGAGTTCTCCACTTGAGAACTGTGCTGACTGCTGGCCTGAGGTGCATTTAACAGGTCCCTCTGTCCCCTGAACTTCTTACAAACTGGTACGCAGACCTTGATCGGACTTAGGTCTGGTTTTATGTTTTGGCAAGAAGAGCACGGGTATTGCTTTGAATCTCTAAATGTCTGGATGTTGCTCATCTGGGGCTCTTAGCAGTTTTTCAGGATCATGGCTTAGATCCATTAATTCCTTAGGACTTGAAAAACAGTGATAGTTTAAAATTTCTTCTTCATTTTATTAGCTGGGATATGTCTATTTTAAAAAAATCTTCTCATTATGTATTTGGTTATTGTGAGGTAAAGTTTGCAAAAGAAAAACAGGATAAATATTTGATTCTTTCCTTTATGGTTCCCTGGCATTTACTACAGTAAGCAATGAACAGTGTATTTTTAAAGATCATTATGAACTCATGGATTTTATGTATGTGTGAATCAGATTTCATTATTATTCCCACTGAGGTTCTAACACTTATCTTCAGGTTGGCTCCTGACTCTCTTTGCTAATCTCAGAAGTCTCTGCTAGCTTCCCTGCTTCTGTTGTGGTAAGATGTTCCAGGTTCCTCACACACTTTCCTGACCTAGCAACAGGACAAGCCATTACTCCAAGAAGTCCTAGTTCCTTCCTGAAAATGGTATTCGGCAACCACAGTCTGGGTGCTGGGGTGCCTGCTACTACCAGGTTGTTCATTGTTTCTATAAGCTGTTTCAGGGGACAGAGAAAAATAATTTTTTAAAGAAAAAATACATCAGGTTCATTCTGACTCTTCTAATTAAAATTCATGAGTACAGGCTTTATTTATAACCACATTGATGTTATCTGTCTCTTTTCCAATACTGAAAGTGCCTGTTCTCAGTGATACCAACGTAACTGTTTGCTTTATCACACACACACACACACACATTCATACCTCTTTGTGTCAGATTATGTGTGTATACATAATGTAAAATCACCAGAAGGAAATACACCAAAATGTGACTATTAATGGGATAAGAGATAATGAGGAGTTCTAATTTTTTTCTTTTAATTCATTTTTATACACCCCAAATTTCTACAATAAACATTATCAGTAGTCAGAAAAGAAAAAAGAATAATCTCATTTTCAAAACCATGGTTGGCTCACCAACTTTCAAGACACCCAAAGTAGCCCTTTAGTGAGCACACAGAATTCTTTAAAGGATATTATGTAAACCCTAGCCTTAGGATCTCAAAACCCTAATACAGGCTACCACTGCTCCCCACCCCGAACACCCACAGACCCTGGCTCCAAAAGTAAAATGACTTACATTCCTCACAGATACGGTTTCCTCTACTATGATCTCCATCTCTGTCCCAGGGTGAACATCACTCCCCAAAGCGAAAAACAAGAACAGCTAAGATTGAAACAGAGGTATAAACATAATTTAATTTGAATTTTAAAATTCTATAAATATATAATTTATTTCCAAAAAAGAAAAGCCAAAGATCATAAAACTTTAATAAAAATCTCAAATTATGTAAAAACAAGTCTTATGTTGAGTAAAGTTATAATTTAAAAAATAATCTTGACTACCTAGAAAAGATACTTCATCACCAATGTTTTTACTCCTAATAAACATCTCTCACAGATATTTATTCTACTATGATCTCCATCTCTTTCTCAGTCATTCCTCAAGGAGATTTGCAATTACTGTACACTGTAAGCATTAACTGTATTTTTTCTGAGTCCTTAGTTTGTGATCTTATTTTCTGTCCAGAGGTCCCATATACTTCAACTCCCAGAAACCCAAAGAAAAAAATGTAAACCTGATCTCCTGTCTGTTCAGTTTCTTATAGCCTTATTTTTCCTTTCTAACGCAACTTCACTTGTCATGTTTCTCATTCCCTGAGCTTGTCATATACTGCTATTTGCTAGAGTTTGGGGAAGAACAAATTAAAGGGTGGGGGGTGGTTGGGAAACTAATCAAGTGGATTAGTTCCATAACAGGGATCCAGGAGCCAGGGGGATCCTGATATATGAGTTCAGCTTACCCTGATACAGAGTCCTAACAGTAAGGACATTATTATGCCTTCTGCACTGTAATGAAAGTTTATTAAGTAGGCGAGGTTTATGGCAAAGGTCAATCTGATAGTACTTTATACATAAAATGAACACTGATAAGAAAAAAGCTGCTGTGAGTCTATTATTGCAGGCAGTAATTAAACTCAAAATCAGTACACTGTATTTCATTAAATCTAAAATACTGCTGGTTGTTACTTATTATTTTATGTACCACTAAGAAAGAAAGCACAGCACCAGCTATAGCTGTAGGAAGCCACTGACTGTAAGATGCATCCAAGTCTCACAGATATTAAAATGTAGGAGGAAAGGGGTGAATTTTAGAATTTATGAATTATGGTGGTTGAAACTGAGGCCACTCAACTTTAAAGATCCCCCTTAACCACAAAATTTTCACAGGAAAACAATCTTATGAATATACTTTGACATAACATTTTTTATTTAAACACAGAGAACTAACTACACGGATGTTTTCCTACAGATAAAAGGTATAATCTAAGGAAAAGAAAAAAATTTTAAGAAAAACAGTATTACTACAGTAGTTAAGGAAAGAATTTTGCAATTAAGAGCTTCTGATCATGGGAAGCTGGGTTCTGGTCTGTCGGGTGACCTCCGTTTACCTGCGAGGAAGTTGGTGCTTTTCCAGGACACAGTCCCAATGAACTCCCCATCTTCAGTCCTGCTTCCTTCAGAGTGTAGCTGTCTGGCACTATAAAGAATTTTGATAACATGGTAAATGTAACTAATTCCTACCTCTTTGGGCAAAAGAATACACTGAAATCATCTTTCTTTGAAAATCAAGAATGTTAAAGAAGAAAACTGCAAAAAGATTATATATATTCTAGTTGTTTTTCAGATTTTCTTACTCTAGAACACATTATCCTTGTTATCTGTACAACAGTGCTAAGAGGCAGCTATGAATGTTCTAGGTTCATACATAATAAAAACCAGAAAGCTGTTGTTTGCAAGGATTATGTAATATTGTGAATTGATTCATGAATGATGGACTAGCTTCTTTCAAGTTTAAAGCTGCTGTGATAACTACCATGAACAGTTTGAGTAAATTAAGTCTAATAACAAGATGCATTACAGAGGTAAGAATCAAGTCTCTGGTTACAATGATAACTGGTGTCACAATAGAATTAACAAAACAAAAACTTTGATAATAATCCTGGAAAGAAGTAACTAGATCAAAACCATGACTAAAATGAGCATCAGTTAATCAGGAAGAAAGATATTTTACTTTAGAAAACAGAGGTGACTGAAATTTGGGGTAAGACTTTCTGTAATTCATAAGGAAAACATCTGGATGACAGTATGGTCTATAAACCAGTTTATAAAAGGTACGTTCAGAATATTAGGTATTAGAAGTCACTGTTTATAAAGTAAATGTGTTGAGAAGGATAAATGGCATGATTATGTGTCAGCTTTTGAAGGCTAACAAAAAGATTTACCTGGACAAAGCAGTTTCCCATTTTTATCAATAGGCCTCAGACAGCTGTTCTCAGCTACAAATAAAAAGATGCTGGTTAGTGCAGCAAACAAACAAAAACCCAAAAAGATACTCTACTGTGTTAACTAGCAAGAAGTTGAAAAACAAGAGACAAAAAAAAAAACAAAAAAAAACCCAGCAACAAAAAACCCCATACAGGCAATCTTCCCTTTATGCAGCAGCATGGAACCATGAGCACACCTGTGCAAGGTGAAACTGTGCAGAGAAATCTTAATCAGAAAAACTGCGATTGCACTGTGACTTGTTAAAAATTTCTGTCAAAACATTAAAACTCTGTCAGTTATATGTGTACAGTGAAATAAAAAAATAGTAAAACTAATATTTACACTGTAATTTAAAACACTAGACATGGAGAATTAAAATGTTTCCTTTGCAAAAAACAGATCAAGAATCGTTTAAACAGGGTCTGCTTTCTTCTCATACAGCTCACAGGACAGGGTGAGCAGCTTCTCTGCTTCCATGTGATACTCTTTCTACGTCTGGATCAGCTTCCAGTATTTTACACTTAGTACTTTCAGTTTCGTGAAATATCTCCAAGAGCTCCTTTAACATGAAGTTTTGTGCCGGCATCAGTTCCTCTGGGATTATCTTCATACTTTTCGTCATGACCACTTTCCTCACTTCTGTGAGTTCATGCTCATTGGCTCCTCTGGCTGCAGACCTTGAGTCTCTTGAATGACAACAGCGTCAGCATCCCCAGTCAGCTATTTCTTCCTCAGTTCCATATACTTTTGTTTCTTGCTGGCACTTTCACTGTTGTTGGCTAGTTTAATTATCCTTTTTTTTTGGTAAAATATCACTTGGGTTTTATCACTGGGAGAAAAGGCGGCCATAAACTACACACTTTGCTGTCCCATGTGGTGAAATGAACAGCAGCCGTGTACTGACCAGTTATGGACATGCTTTAAAGAGTAAAGTAAACTGGTCACTGATTATAGTTCAGTTCAGTCGCTCATTCGTGTCTTGACTCTTTGCAACCCCATGGACTGCAGCCCACCAGGCCTCCCTGTACATCACCAACTCCTGGTGTTTACTCAAACTTATGTCCATTGAGTTGGTGATGCCATCCAACTATTTCATCCTCCGTCGTCCCTTTCTCCTCCTGCCTTCAATCTTTCCCAGCATCAGGGTCTTTTCAAATGAGTCAAGTTCTTCGCATCAGGTGGTCAAAGTATTGGGAGTTTCAGCTTCAGCATCAGTCCTTCCCATGAATATTCAGGACTGATTTCCTTTAGAATGGACTGGTTGGATCTCCTTGCTGTCCAAGGAACTCCCAAGAGTCTTCTCCAACACCATAGTTCAAAAGCACCAATTAATTCTTCAGCACTCAGCTTTCTATATAGTCCAACTCTCAACTCTCATGACTACTGGAAAAACCATAGCTTTGACTAGACAGACCTTTGTTGACTGTGTACATGCTACTTCACAGTGATCTGCAGACTAAAGAGCTTATAGCAAAGTCTGTACTTAGTGTGACGACTCAGTTAATATCTGATGGCAGCTGACATTTGAACCATGCTGCTGGGTAACTGATAAACAATGAAATTCACCCATATCAGAACTGCACAGAGACTACCTAGATTTCAAAGTTAGGTGGTTTTTATGCTTAGTTAGTAAATGGATTAGGGCCAATGTGCCCTGTTTTTGAGCATGCAAAGATTCCCACTTGGTGTGAAGACACTAGGTTTTAATTCCAAACAGAATTCTTACCAAGTTGGATATGAAGTTGGGGAATTCGAAGGAGTGGAGCGAGCCCTCTGAGAGGGCAGGAATGGCATGGGCCTTGGAAGGTCTAACTGTATCTGAGCAGAGCAGAGTCTCTTTGAGATTCCTGAGTTCTAGCCCTTATACTACAGTGATGTGAAGCTAGCACAGAATTCTAATACAATCTCCTTGACAACTGAAACAGCTTATGTTAAAGAGTTCTCCAATTTAAAAAATGCATTTAAAATACTGTTTTTTTTTTCATTTTTATTTTCTTTTGACAAATGTCATGTGTTTTCTATGTGCCAGGCACTGTCCTAGAAGCTGACAATAAGCAAAACAGTCATGGACTCTGCCTGCAAAGAGCCTCATCTAATGGAGGGGATGGACATTCATTGCACAAAACATGGGCTTATAGAGTAAATGCCACAAAGGAAAGGACGAGGTGTTAGAGTAAGACAGATGGACTGAGGCTGTGCAGTCAGGGATGATGAACATTAACATTTCAGCTGAGACCAAAGGAAAGACTGAAGTTAGCAGATGAAGAGTAACGAGGATGGAGTTCAAAGAGATTACAGAACTAAGAAGTCGCAGGGGTGGAAGAGACCTTGTGCATCAGAAAAACCAGGAAGTGAGCACAGAAGCGTGATGTGAACGACAGATGAGTGGAGGGCGAGGTGAGGCAGGCACTGGTCAGATGAAGGGGGCTCCTGTACGGGAGGAGCCCACAGGCAACACGTGACAAAGTACGAAGAGCACAACAAAGGGCTCTGAGCAGAGCGTGACATGACCCGACGCACCTATGCTTAAAAGATCACCTGCTATATAAAGAACAGTTTGGAGGGGAGGAAGAGTGGAAGGGAGGTCTGTGACATGGTAAGACAATGAACTATTCATCTTAAGAAGCCATATATTTTTAGTCAACTTTATTGAGATATACTTTACTTACAGTAAAACACATCCAGTTTAAGTGCACAGTTCAAAGAGTTTGATAAAAACACTCAGTAACCACCAGCAAATCGAGGTAAAATTTGCATCACCCCCCAAATGCCCTCATGTCACTTTGCAGTCAACTCCCCCACCCCCTAGTCCTGATCTGACTCTGTAACTCCAGCTTAGATTTTCTTTTTTGACAATTTCACATTGTAAATGCAATCCTAAGAGTACCACTCTTTCATGCTAGCTTCTCTTGCCTGGCATGATGTCTTTGAGATTCACCAACGTTTTGCATGGGTTCACTTCATTTATTGATAAACAGTATCCCATTGTCTGGAATTTGTTCACCTGCTCACGAACACCTGGATTGTTCCCTGTTTTGGGTTATGAACATTTATGCACAGTATTTGCAAGATTTGTATTTCAAGTTTTCTTGGATGAAAACCCAGAAGAATTGGTAAGTGCATGTCTAAATTCACAGGAAATAAGCTGGCTCTTTACTGAAGTGACTATCATTCCACGCTCCCACCAGCAGTGTACGGGACTCCAGCTGCCCCACGTCTGACATCACTTGGTTTTGCCCGCATCTGAAGTTTTCATCATCCTGCGCATGTCGTGACGCACCATTACAGTGTCACTTTGTTGGCCGATGATACTGAGCACCTTTCCCTGTGCCTGCTGGGTGTTCACAGGTGGAGTTTCTTTCGTAAAGCAGCTTCCCAACTTGAGCTGTTTGTCTTTTGATTAGGTGATAAGTTTTTTTTTTTAATGTATACTGGATGCAAGTCTATTGACAAATCCATGTTTTATAAAATTTTTCTCCCAGTTTGTGGCTTGTCTTGTCAAATGCCCTTTGAAGAAATTTTAAATTTTGCAGTAGTCTAATTGCTTTCTCCTTCCTGATTTGTACTTTTTGAGTCTTTAAAAAAAAAAATCTCTTCCTTGTGGTAAAAGTAACAAAGATTTTCTACGTTTTCTCCCCGAAATTTAATACTTTTAGGTTTTAGTATTTAAATGATGTGAGTTCATTTTTCACATGATGCAAGGCAAAGTTGGACTCGATTGATGTGAGTTTGAGTAAGCTCTGGGAGTTGGTGATGGACAGCGAGGCCTGGAGTGCTGCAGTCCATGGGGTCACAAAGAGTCAGACACAACTGAGCGACTGAACTGAAGGCAAAGTTGGGGTTTCATTTTTGCATTTGTGGCTATCCAACTGGTGCAGCACTGTATGCTGAAATACTCCATAGAAATACCTTGGCACTTTTGTTGAGAGTCAACTAAGTGTGTTTGCATCTGTTTCTAGCTATTTCAATGTAGTTCTATCGAAAACACTTTAGAACATTTCCACATATGATCTCTGTTACATATTCTTCTTAAAAGAGCCCTTAAAAATGTGAAAACTATTCTTAATTCACGGGAGAAACAGGTTGTAGGCCACAGTTTGCTGACCTCTGCCCTATGTATCTACTCTCATGACAACACACACTTGTTGATTTCTATAGTTACAGAGTAAGTCTTGAAATCAAATAGTGTAGCTCATTCACTTCTCAGGAAATAGAGACTCTGAAAGCTACGCAAAGCAGCCAAAAAAAAAAAAAAGAATTCTAAATACTGGTAAGGATATGAAGAAGCTGCAATCCTGATACACTGCCAGTGGGGGTGTAAATGCCTCAGCCACTCTGGAAAACAGCATGGCAGTTTCTTATAAAGTTAAACACAATTCTGCCATGTGACCCAGAAATTCCAGTCCTGTACATCTACCCCAGAGAATAGAAAACATATGACTACACAAATCACAATCTTCACAGCAGAGTTATTCATGAAATCCCCAAAGTGGAAACAATCTAAATATCCATCTACTGTTAAAGAACCAACAAAATGTGATATATCCACACAATGGAATACTAGTCAGCAAGAAAACGAACAAATTATTGAAACATGCTAAATCATGGATGAATCTCAAAAATAATATAAGTGAAAGAAGCTAGTCATAAAAGACTATATATTATATGCTTCCATTTACATGAAATGTCCAGAAAAGCAAATCTAAAGGGACATTAAGTAGATGAATGGCTGTTAGGGACCTGGAAATGAGTGATCTTTTTGGAGTGATAGAAATGTTCTAAAACTGGATTGCTGTGATGGTTGCACAACTTTATACATTACTAATAATCACTGAATTACACTTAAAATGGATGTTTTACCATATGTAAATTATACCTCAAAAAGTTGTAAAAGAATACCTAATGCCAGGTAAAGAGTGAATTTGCAGAATGTTATATTCATTATGATAGAATATATATAAATGTAAAAACATAATATACACATACATATATATAAATGTTAAAATATAATATACACATACATGTATGTATGGAGCATAATATACATAATACAATGTGAATTCAGAAACTAGATACACACCCAGATCAGATATACTGATTGCGACTGTCGAGGGAGGGCGGGAGGGTTAGAGCTGAGGAGAACAACGGGGCTTTATCTGTAATATCTGAAGGAAAAACAAACCTGGCAAGATGTTGACATTTGTCCATTTTGTGTGGTAGATACATGAGCTTTCCCTAAATCACATATTTTTGTATAAATACTCTCCCATATTTTTTCATTTAAAAATCAAAACTAGATTAAACCAAAAGCAAACATAAATGATTACCTAGTTCCTTCAATAATTTTAATTCCTTTATCGCTTTAATTCGGATATCAAACACCACCTAAAATAGAGAAATAAACTAATGACTGTGTATAAGTTAAAAACAATGGGAGGAAGGGAAATGAAGATTATCAGTGTTTGCATATGCAAATTATGAGTTACTAATTACCTGACATTTAACAATTTTTGCACGCTTGAAAAAGAATTATTTCCTTCCCTGAAATTCTTCCACAAAGTCAAAGGGAAAAACTTAGATCTTGGTTAAGTTTTTACCAAATTGATAATAATTGGACTAGAAAAGGCCTCCTACAGAAAACTTTAAAAACTAAAGACATAATAGTAGCAAAAGGCAAAAAAATAAAAAAAACCTCACCTTTCTGATGATAGCAAACAAAAGACACTGGAGACAATCATATTTCTTTATGTCAAAAATGATGAATTTAGGGTCAATAAGCATTAATTATATAAAAATGTACTAATCCAAGAGTACTATTTAAAATTTCTATGTAAATTATCTTATTTTAGACTTTTTTTCTTTTTTAAAAAATTTAGGCTAATTGCCTCTAGGGCACAAAATTGTGGAAATTGAGGGATAAAGATAATCATAGACTCTACTTTCCCACCAGTGCCCCGCTCCCAGATTGTCCCAACACCACTTCTGCTGTGCCAAGACAGAGCAGAGCCGGCAGTAACCGAGGACTGCACCAGCCTCCTGCTCAGGGTCAAAGAGGTAGGTCTCTTGAGCTTTGCAGTGCTGACCTTATAGTCCCCACTACTGTGCAAACAAACATTAATGCACCTTAAGAAACTATAATTTGATATAAAAGAAAACATTCTAAGTTTTCAAAATGAAGTTACAGAAAAAATCTTAAGAGACTACATAAATATAAAAAGATGTTTTCTGAAATTCTGTTTAAGGAAACCAGTATAACAGTCTTAAATGGAAAAAAAATGAAGAAATATCCTTTTTAAGAGCAACTGGCTTTATATAGAGCAGAGTATACCGTAGAACAATTTAAGATAAACTTTGTAAAATCCTCACACCGAAGAACACAAAACCAAAACATATACCTGGCTTAAAAAGTACAGAAAAAACTCTTAAAAATAGCATTTCATAGTTATCAAAGTCAGGAGATTCCATGAACTAATTTCAAAAGGTAACTCTCACATTCTAATTCTAGGCTTTGGAGGGGAAAAAAAGGCACATAATTTCTTGAAACGTGTCAAGGGCTAACAAAGGTAAATAAGCAGTAATCAAATGTTACAAATAAAAAGGTGAGTTCTGAAGATTTATAAGTTTACTGAGATGACTGTTCCAAAAGATTAGGGTACTGCTTTCTAAACAAAATTCTATTAACTAAAAAAGTGTCAGCCACATTTACAGTCTACTCACTGTGTTAAGAGTTGCTGATATTTTAACTTGCTCCTCTTCAGATTCTAATTGGCTTAAATTTTTAACTTGGAGCCAGTTGATCTCATTCACAGTATCGATCCATTTCCCTTGTTTTGTCAACAAACTGTAGGGAAAAAGACATTTAAAAAATGTGTGTTCACACAGTCCTTTTATGGATCAGAGAGGATTGGAAAATTTATGCTTTTCCTTAGGCACCACTTCCAAAATTTTCCACTTAACGTGGCTAATTAAGGTGACCAAGTTATACTGAGTTGAACTTTTGAATGTTGACTATCTTTTTAGGGCAGTGTTAGTATTCTACAGAGTCTATATTCATGATTCCAAATATTCTTTGCCTTATACAAATAATTTGCTGCCACATTTTCCAAAGAGAACTGCTGTAATTGAACGATCAGTTGTTAACTCCTACCTGCGTACTGTAATCACTAGGGGAGCTTGGAAAAGGGCTTCCCTGGCGGCTCAGACAGTAAAGCGTCTGCCTGCAACATGGGAGGCCCGGGTTCCATCCCTGGGTTGGGAAGACCCCCTGGAGAAGGGAATGGCACTCCACTCCAGTACTCTTGCCTAGAAAATTCTATGGATGGAGGAGCCTGGTGGGCTACAGCCCATGGGGTGGCAAAGAGTTGGACACGACTGAGCGACTTCACTTTCACACCAAGAGCCCACCCACAGAATGCAGAAGTAGCTCACCAGCAGGACAGCACACACACTGCGCAGACTGACCCTGGGTAAACACGCCACAGCTAATGGGTGTCACTCACACCACACACACTGCGTATCTGTATTTTTATTACAGAGGTTAAAAAAATCTACTATGAGAGCAGACGGCAGTGGAGTATCTTGTTCTAACAAGATTTTCCTACAGATAATAGTAAAGGTTCTCGAGGAAGGAGTGACTTCTCATTTTCACAGAGGCACTGAATGGGCCAGCAGAAGGCCTCTGTGGGAGTATGCAGCAGAGCCCTCTGGAGAAGGCAATGCACCCCACTCCAGTGCTCTCGCCTGGAAAATCCCATGGACGGAGGAGCCTGGTGGGCTGCAGTCCATGGGGCCGCAAAGAGTCGGGCATGACTGAGCAACTTCACTCTCACTTTTCACTTTCATGCATTGGAGAAGCAATGGCAACCCACTCCAGTATTGTTGCCTGGAGAATCCCAGGGACAGGGGAGCCTGGTGGGCTGCTGTTTATGGGGTCGCACAGAGTCGGACACGACTGAACGACTTAGCAGCAGCAGAGCCCTAAAACACAATTCTACACTTCATTTCAGTGATTCCACAATGGGACTCCACCTTGAGTCAGCAATCCTGAATACGGCAAAGCTTAAAGCACAAGACACTCCCTGAAGACCACTTTCAAATAATGAAAAACTGGGTAATGACAAGGGTGCTAGCTAAAATAGTTAGCACTTACTATGTGCAAACCCTTGTAAGCTCTTAACTCTTTCAGTTCTTACAAGTGTATGAAGCTAGTACTAATTATTACGCTCATTTTACAGAAGAAGAATCTGGGCAGAAAGAGATGAAGTAGCTTGCTTACAGTCATATTACTAGTAAGTGATAAAGCAAAAAGCAAAGCCAGGCAGCTAGTCCCTCCCCACTCCTCACACAGGAGCACAGGCGGGTAAACACAACACAGGTTATTATGCAGCCATGAAATGAGGTGTATGAAGAGACTTCAAACATGAGGGGAAAGCAGGATACAACTATTTACTACAAAGTTGTCACTATGGTGTTTAAAAGAAAGAAAACCTTCAGAACAAGCCCCCAGGTACCCGCACTCAGAAACTGACGGAGGCGGACAGCGCACGTGTGCGCAGTGCATGGACAGGCACAGGCCTGCTGTTCTGGGGCCCCTGTTTTCACCCCTGCGTCTCCCAAGTCCTGAAAGTGTATACTACTTTCTGAAAAGAAACATATAATGAAAGTTCAAATTAAACAAACAAGGTGGGCAAATAAGTGTTTGGAAAACACTTGTTGAAAAGAGAGTGGTTAAGTGTAATACAAGATAAACACAGCTCACAAGCGCCCTGCTTCTCTATGTCACAGCCACTAATAATAACACAGGGCCTCTGTGATCTAAGTGCATTCACAGCACTGATGAAGCAGAAAACTGATTCACTGGTCATAACCTGAAGTCTTCAATGGATGGAAACTGGCGGGCTTATGGTATATGATACACCGATCATAGAAAGTACTGGCACAGACATGGGTAACAAAAATGAAGAGAGGAAGCACTTCTAAACTTCAAATGTGACTTATAGGAATCAAGGGTGCATCTCCCCACATAATTGCCCTACCTGGGCAGCTGGAGAATGGCAAACAGATTCTAACAAAAAACTGAACTGCCTTCTGAGATTCTTGTGAAAAGACAGAGAAGTCATAATACCCTTCTCATGAAAAATTTCAGGAACTTTCTTTGTGAGAATGTGCCCTCAGTCTTAAGATGAGTACTAATAAGAATTATTTGATAGGATTCTGCTTTATTGCCAACTAACCTACACTGTATCTAGCCTATACCTATATTATTCAGTTACCACATTTACCAAATTAAAAAAAAAAAAGAAACCACATTACAATATCATATTTTTTCAGGTTGCCTAACCAAGAACATTCCTATTTATGGTATATAGAACACAATGTCTAGAAATAAAAAGAAATATTTAACTCTTATCATTATTAACATAAAGCTTTAGAGTTCTAAGAGGTAGCACTGTAACTAAAATAACTTTAAGAAGCATTCTCTTTTTAGCATGTTACCTGTTACCATCATGAGAGCCCTGGATTAAAACTGAGCTTCCATTTCTGAGGCCCTGCTCTCTGAATGTCTTTTTCAAGTCTTCCTTGGGAATGGTGGTCCAGTTCTCTTCATCTCTAGATTCAGTGTTGTTGATTAAGATGACTCCCTCTGGAACTGCTAGAGCTGTGAATACAGTGCCTATTTCTGCATTAGATGGAAAGACATGTGGAGATTCTATGAACTGCTGACACTCCTCTCCCTCACTGCTTGTTGCTACATGAAGAACATTTAAAAGCAGAGGTTCACAGTCGCTACCAGTTGGAATCTGGATTCCGCCAACCTACAACAGTATCAAGTCAACCATTAGTACAGTTCATATTGGCCAAAGTTAAATCAACATAGTAATGCGGTAAAAGATGTTCACAGAATTCTCATTTTTTTTTTCAAGTGAAATAAAGTTTTCACAAAATCTCCTTCAAGTATCAGAAACACAGCTTTAGATTTTGAAGCTCTTAGCCATCGTTTACTTTTTAGGAGACAGATCTCCAGTGGAGACAGACACGTGAGTCCTCAGAGGTGTTTAAGACATGAGGAGGACCGAGGTCCATGGAGGGGTGAGACGCTCCTCATCCCTTTCTCGACTGCGCTCCCCTAGTCATCTCCGCCTCTACTCATCATGGCGTCCTGCCCTGCTGAGTCCTCATCCCGAGTCCGGACGGACAATCCTGGGCACCGAGCTCAGTGCAGTGGCTTACACCTCATGCCTGAAGGACACAGACTGATTACTCACCTTTGCATCTAGCTTCTGACACATAGCCTGGCCCCATGGAGATGTTCTACAACTATCCCTGAATGTATGACCAGCACGGATTGGACTTAGAATTTATTGGACATTTCAGCACTCTTCTAATATATGTGCTGTCACATGTGCCGAATAAAATTTTATCATAATAACTTAAAAAATATCCAAAACTCTCAGGACATTTCTTCAACACTTATTTACCTCCACCCCATTCCATACAAAGATGTCTTCTCCGTCAGTGATTTCAATTTCACACAGTGTCAGGTCATCTCCTAGGAAGATGAGGGTATCAGTGAAACTGTTCTTACGATCCTCAAAAAAAAAAATTTTTTTAAAGACAGAGCTCAGATACAAACATTTGTTTGAAAAAGCATTCTCATTAAGGGAAATTAAGAAAAAGGAAGTAATTATGGTTGTTATACTGATATTATTTTTTTATCTTTATTCCTTCCATCATACTCTTTACTTTTTTTTCCTCTTCATTTTTATTTTCCCTGAAATCTTTGTGAGCATGATAGCAGGAATAATGAATCACTTATAAAAGGTCAACTGTACTTGACACTGCGAGTATAGAGAAGACTTACACATCACATGGTCCTCACTCCACCACTAATTAGCTATACAATCTTGTGGACTTCAAGCCTCTATGCTCAGTTTTCTCATTTACGAAATGGGGATAAAAGAATTTTGTGAAATCAAATGAGAATTTATACAAACACTCGTCTTGGTCTTTGGCTCCATAAGTCCAAGATAAATGTTGCTGCTGTTACTGGTATTAATGTTTTATTGTTATTTAAAGGAAGTACTTTTAAGCTCTTAAAGTGCTTTTGTCTTGTTACCAAATCTGAAGTTGAGAACTGGCTTAAAAAACCAAGCTGTATTAAATATTTAAATAGTTTCAAACCATTTTACTCAGAAGTTTGTGGTAATATAAAAAAAATTTCCAAAGTTTTAAAAATTTTTGTTTAGGTGCTAAGAAAAGTAGTAGGTAGGGGGGAACTGGCCAAGAGTAGAAAATCATATGAGCCCCACAAGAAATGCAAATATACAAAATAAGTTGCTGTGTCTTAATATTTATCTTACCATTAAGTGTCTGGCAAACATGAAGTCCTGCTGGTACAAACTTTGCAACACTAAGAACCATATCGCCTTCCCAAAATTCTAACAGCTGCAGGATATGAATGAAAGAAAAGAAGACAATGAAAAATAACACAGAGATTACTTTTCTAGATAAAATAAGGAAGAGCACTGTGCCACTTTCTTTCTGTAGCTGATACAAACGAATACAATAATGCCTACCCAGCATCAAAAATGGGGGAAGAAGGCATTTTTCATCATTAACTTAGTCAGATCCAAAGACAGTTAATCTCACATCCATTAATGATGAAAGAACCTTGACAAACACAAAGAGCACAGTGACCTTCTCAACAACCACCATTTCTACTTAATTTATTGGAAGACCACTTTTATCAGAAGGCAAAGTGATCTGTGTGCCAGCCAAGGAATCCTGGTCCCAAAGAAGAAAAATTATGTGTTTAATCAGCTCTATTCAGGGAGAAGCAGCACACATGAATATTCTAGGTTCTTGAAAGGAATGTCTCCCTTTGTAAATTTAAAAAGTGGCATTACCACTTTATTCAATAGATTAGCAGGGATTTTTTTAAGTTTCTATCTCCAGGAGTCTAAGGACTGTGGCAACCTCACCAAAACAACATCACTCATAAAGGTCAGTCCTATTCAGCCTCTCTTCACAGTATTACAAGACAGTTCTCTTAAAAAGAAACTTCAGGGACTTCCCTGGTGGTTCAGTGGAAGTCTTCAGTGGGAAGACTCCATGTTCCCAATGCAGGGGATCCAGGTTTGATCCCTGGTCAGGGAACTAGATTCTACATGCCACAGCCAAGAGGTTGCATGCTCTAACTAAGACCTGGCCCAGACTAATAAACAAATAATAATAATAATAAAAAGAAACTTCATACTTACACATGAGCACTTAACTGTGTCAGTCGTACAGACGCCTGCCTGTGAGTTAATTCTAAGATAGCAGAGTGTGTGCGGGTGTAAAGCGCACACTCAGTCACATCTAACTCTCTGTGACCCCAAGGACGGTAGCCTGCCAGGCTCCTCTGTCCATGGGACTTCCTAAGCAAGAATACTGGAGGGAGTGGCATTATTAGAGAAATGCAAATCAAAACCACAATAAGGTATCATTTCACACTGGTCAGAATGGCAACCATCAAAAAGTCTATAAACAATAAATGCTGGAGAGGGTGTGGAGAAAAGGGAACCTTCTTACACTGTTGGTGGGAATGCAAACTGGTACAGTCAGCCACTATGGAGAACAGTGTGGAGATTCCTTAAAAATCTGGAAATAGAACTGTCACACGACCCAGCAATCCCACTGCTGGGCATACACACCAAGGAAGCCAGAATTGAAAGAGACACTTGTACCCCAATGTTCATTGCAGCACTGTTTACAACAGCTAGGACATGGAAGCAACCTAGATGTCCATTGGCAGACAAGTGGATAAGGAAGTTGTGGCACATATACACAATGGAATATTACTCAGCTATAAAAAAGAACACATCTGAGTCAGTTCTAAAGAGGTGGATGAAACTGGAGCCTATTATACAGAGTGAAATAAATCAGAAAGAGAAACACAATATAGTATATTAATGCACATATATGGAATTTAGATGGTAACGATGACCCTATATGCAAGGCAGCAAAAGAGACACAGATGTAAAGAAGAGACTTTTGGACTCTGTGGGAGAAGGCGAGGGTGGGATGACTTGAGGGAATAGCACTGAAACATGTATACTACCATATGTGAAACAGATGACGAGTGCAAGTTTGATGCGTGAGGCAGAGTACTCAAAGGCGGTGCACCGGGACAACCCAGAGGGAGGGGATGGGGAGAGAGGTGGAGGGGGTTCAGGATGGTGGGACACGCGCACCCGTGGCTGATTCATGTCGATGTATGGCAAACACCACCAGGGTACGGTAATTATCCTCCAATTAAAATGAATTAATTAAGAAACACACTGGAGTGGGTTGCCCTTTCCTTCTCCAGGGGATCTTCCTGACCCTGGGATCGAACTAGTGCCACCTGCATCTCCTGCACTGGCAGGGGGTTCTTCACCACTGCACCACCTGGGAAGCCCTAAAGTAACAGAGATGTACACTTAAAACACCAAAGGGCATGACTGGCATGAACCTAAACGTTATGACAGTGACCAAGGTCTTCTCCAACTGCAATGTTACCCTAAGCAGGGTCAATCCCCAAGTCTACCTGTATCAACACTGTCAGAGTTGGCTCAGAAATAAACTTTTAATGGAAAAATTGAGAAGTATTAGACAATTTTAGAAATCCTGATCCTGTATTAAAATATCATTCAAATCAACTAAAGTTAAAGAAATTGGCCTGCTTTTCCTTGTACAAGGGGAAACTCAAAAGAAACCTAATAATTTTGATAAATGATACATTTTTCAGAAAATTTATTTATTTCTATGGGGGAGCGCTTCCATTTTCTATTGCACTTTTCCTTGACAGGATGTAGTGTGGGGTAAAGTAAAATTAAGAAAAAGAAACAGTAGGGAAACCAGGGCTGGAGTTTGAGTTCTACTGCTAACTAATGCCTGACCCTAGGCAAGCCATCAGATCTCTTTAAGTCACAATTTCCCCATCTTTAAAATGGGGCTATCTTGTCCTTCCGGAGTAGAAGAATCAAATGATACAATTTATATGAAAGCACTGTAAGCAAAATAAACAGCACTATTATTGTTGTCATTAAAATACAACTGGATAAATGATTTGCAGACCATTATTATAACCATGTTTGTTTTTACTATAGACAGCAGACATTTTCCTTCCTTTAGGAATCTTGTTAATAAATGTTGTTATACAATGAAAGGAAAAAGTTAGTTGCTTTTATTTGTTTAGTGGCTCTTGGCTTTAGGCAACATAATTATCTATCTTTTTACTCCTTTTAAAAAGCAATTCTCTTTCATTTATTTTCCCTGAAACAGACAACCTTATACTCTTTCTCTCCCCCAAATTAAATACACCAGGCTTGCTTCTTCTCTTAAAACATGCTGACAGGACCCTTTGAGTCTTGAGTGTGAAGAAGAGTTCTTTAAAAACACTGACAAGTGAGGGAAGACATTTGGGCCATCCCTCTATGGAAGTGGCAGATGTAGGATTTTCCTAAGCTGCTGTGATAAATAAATAGCTGAATCCTAAACAGAAGTTTAAAAACGAAAACCAGCTTGAGATGGACCTTAATGTCTGTTAAGAGGAAGTGAGGCTAAATTACCTGAAATATTGATTGTCGAAGATCTCCTAAAGTTTTCCTTTTATCAAAGGTCAAATCCCACATGCTTTCTGTTTGAGACACTACTGGGTGCAGAGCCCCATTGAGGAACTGATAATAGGGGCCGAGGTGGAGATGCAATTCAACAGTATTGTTTGTAGAATCACATTCTGCCCTTTAAAGAGGCATAAGAAACACATAAATGCCATGTTTTTATAAAAGATACTGTTTTATCTCAAACCAAAAATACCTGATTTACAATATAAAGTTCTCCACTTAAGTAATTATAATTAACATTCTTTTCTTCCATGCTCCAAGATGTCTCATTTCAGTTTCTCAACTAATAGCTCTGCCACCATGAATTCCAAGGAAAATGGTTTTAATGTATGCTGTGCAGTGTTACTCTGAACAAATATTGACACTTGAAATCTTCCAATCCTGAGATTACCATTACGAACAAAATGCTGGAAATATGCTCCTAACACCGTGGTAAGCGCTGTGGCCCACCTGCTTCGTTCTTTCTGGAACTATTAGCAATTGCCCGCTACTCTTCCCCAGTAGCACACTGGACACCTTCTGACCTGGGGAGCGCATCTTGCAGTGTCATATCCTTTTGCCTTTTCATACTGTTCATGGGGTTCCCGTGGCAAGAATACTGGAGTGGTTTGCCATTTCCTCCTCCAGTGGACCACGTTTTGTCAGAACTCTCCACCATGACCCGTCCGTCTTGGGTGGCCCTGCACGGCATGGCTCATAGCTTCATTGAGTTACGCAAGCCCCTTCGCCACGACAAGGCTGTGATCCATGAAGGGGTTACAACTTCTATTTTCCTCCTTACTTCCCCTAGACCTCACAGACTCTCCCATAAACTATTTGAAGTCAGCCTCACGATCCCTGGAGTCTACTCTCTCCAGGTCATATGTCCTCAGCAGCAGCCTTGCGTCTGCTACACTTCTGAATCCATGGAGCTTCCGTGAGGCAATGCACCAAAAACACTCCAGAGCTCAGTCAGTGGAGAGCTAGAGGACTCATCTGGCTGTAGCCACCACTCAGGTACCTCAGGCACAGTTCTGTGAATGCGGTCAAAGACACATTAGCTTTTGATGACCACAGTATAAAGCTTAGCGCTGACTGACTAAAACCCCCCTGGGTTGTTCCTGTTTTTAATACTAACTGCTAATCCACACCACTCATGGAGGTTGGTTATTTTTCACACTTCAGATATTTGACTCTGATAAATTTTTATATTTTTAGTGCCTTGAGTTTTGCTGAGATCTATTTCCTTAGATTTTAATTTGCTGTTCAATCAATTTATTTTTTCTCAGCTTTAAATCAATGATAAAAATGTTGAACACATACCTGCTATGTATGCAGCCCCTTGGTTCTATAAGAAGACTGTAGGAACATCCATTTCCCTAATCCAGTACCCTATGGACCCACCAACCCAGAAAACAAATAAAAAACCAGTTCTTCACGGTCCAAGGTTAGACCTCAAAAGAAAAATGTTGAGATCATCAAGTTCTCACAAATCATCCACTTAATAACCCATTGAAGGTTTTCGCCCAAGACTGACAATGAGCCAAACAGTCTGCAGACCCCACATTTCCTCCCTCCTGCCCGTCTCTGGTGTGCTGCACTACAGGCCAGTTCTCCACAACTACTTACACACGACGGGGAGTTTTCATGACAGACTCTGTCTGTGCTGAGGAAATAACTCATTCAGTACAATTGCGTGCTCAGATTTCTCTAGTTTTCTTAGACTCTGATCCCTACTTAACAATGGCCATTTAAGTGTCACTATTTCAGATAAGGGTAATTTCAAAGTAAAAGATACTCTCAGTATTAAAATTCAGCAGCTTATAACAAGACACTGGCATTAAATAGTTGACTTTTTTTCTTCTTTAATTTTCATTACTGAATACTTAAGACCTCAATTATGTCTTTGCTCCCCAGAAAAACCATTCAAATTCTAAAAGTAACTTAAAATTACCTTTTTATTTGTAGTTCAATGTTAGCTGCATCCATTTCACTCAGCAAATGACATGGAACCTTATATCGTGGGTTAGCTCGAGCTGTGAACAAAACTTTTCATTAACTTGGGCTAACTAAATAAAATCTGGTTGCTAAAAAGGAAGTATGGAAAACTATAAAGGACCGTGCTGGGAGCTAGGAAAGCTTCTACAATCTGTGTGAATATAAATTTTATCTGGATCTTAGTTTTTCCATCTGTAAACTGAAAATATTAAAACATAAAAAAGGTAAACAGTTCTTTAAGCCAAGCTAGAGAATTCCATTTCTTCAACTCTTTTTATATATACTTTTTAAAAAGAACACGTGCTATTTTCTTCCTGATATCAAATGATCATTATAAATAAAAGTTCTAGAAATGATGTTTTTTAATGTAAAAGAAATAAATATCACCTATAATTGTACTCCTAGGGAATACTGCTAAAATGTGATCTATATACTTTTTTTTTTGAGGATTTATATATACTTCTGGTGTTTATTCTACACAATGTGTCTGTATATACACACACATACACCCCACACCTATTTAAAGCAATTGAGATTATAGTCAACAAATATATAACTCGCTTTAATACACTGTGAATATTTTTCCAAAGCTTTAAATGACTGCATGGTAGCCCATTCTATAAATAGTTTAATTAATCCACTTCTTGGACCTTCATGTGATGTCCAGTTAGTCATTACTACAAAGTAACAGGGGTAACAAGTATCTCTGAACTAAAAATTTATACACAGTTCTGATTATTTCAAAACAAATCTATACAATTATTGGCTTAAGGTTTTTAAATACATACAACCAAACCAGTTGTATTACTTTATATACCTACCAAATGTAGAGGAAGTGCTAATTGTTGAGAACCAGATTAATAGAAATACTTGATTTAGGAGGAAAAAAGTCACTGCTGTTATGATTCATGTTTTTTGGTTATGGGCTAGATAGATCTTTTTTGGCAGTTTATTGGTTGTTTGTATTTCTTCTTCTGCACATTTTTATATCCTTTTTCCAACTTACTACTGAGCACAATGGAGTAAATTTAAGAGCACTCTACAGACAGGGAAAATAAATATGTTATATATTTTTCTGTTTTCCACTAGCTTGTCATTTGCCTTCTGGCATTGTGTAATGTGGTTGTTTATGTGGGCTTCCCTGGCGGCTCAGATGGTAAAGAGTTTCCCTGCAATTCAGGAGGCCAGGTTCAACCCCTAGGTTGGGAAGATTCCCCTGGAGAAGGGAATGGTTACCCACTCTAGTATTCTTGCCTGGACAATTCCATGGGCAGAGGAGTCTGGCAGGCTATAGTCCAAGGGGTCACAAAGTGTCATAAGCGTTAGTCACAACTAAGTGACTAACACGCATACACAATTAAGGTTTGTATCACTCTTCCTTCATTTTTTTTGTTGCTTTCAAGTTAAGAAAGGTCTTTTCTATCTTAAGATCAGAAAAATATCTACATTTTATACATTTTAAGGCTTCTTTTTTACATAAACATTAAAGAAAGTATAATTTCATGAAAGGGACAAATATTTGTACTAACTGTTAATTCAAGTGATGAGCAATTAACCAACTTCCCAGTTATATTTACAGAGTAATTAATTTTCCCCCTATTTATCTGAAAGGCTACCTTTTAATGGATTAAAATCCTAAAAATACTTAGATCAGCTTCTGGGCTTATTGCTCAATGATCTGTCTACCTCTGCATTAGTGCTACATTGTCTTAATTACTACAGCATTATAAATATGTTTACACTGATAGAGTAAATTTTCCTTTAGCATTCTCTCTTCAGTTTTTATTAATTTATCTTTTGAGATAAATTTTAGAATCATTTTGCCAAGTTCCATCCCTTCAACCCCCTAAAAAACCATCAAGATTTTGGCTGGACCTTTGTTTAAGTCCTAAGCTAACTGGAAAATCATCACTTAGTACATATTCTAATTATGTACACACTGAAGTTCAATTCAGTGAAAAAAATAACATGTCATCTGAAAAAACTGATATCTATTTCTACAATTGTGAAATCAATTTTTCTTCAATATTTTTTATCAGAACCATTACCAGATTTTTTCCCCTCAGGGGAAAAAACCTTTCTGGTCAATAGAACCATTACATAATTGTTACTGTTTCAGGTCCAGAGAGTTAATTTCCTTTGATTCACTGCAAATCAGTAACTGCTTTATTCTTATTCTTTATAAAAATGATCACTATTCTCATTCTCTAAGAACAGTATCCTCATCTGTCATGATTGATATGTCTCAATCTAAACAGCTTTCCTTGTTAGGATTTTTCACTTTTGCATAAATTCTGGGAAGTGATTTTAAAAAAGTCTTACAGACTAATTAATGTTAGTAGCTTAAGCTCAAAAATTTATCATTGTGGATCTCAGTGTTTAACCTCCACCATGGTATGAGTTCTCTTAGAAGATTCAGCAAAGAGGGCTTCAGAGATACTTCAACTGCTTAAAGACTTATTACCTCGAGGAAAAGGAAAAAAGAAAATAAAAGGGAACACATGAAAATAAGACCAAGGCCACTTGCAACCCAATGACAACACATGCCCAAATTGCAGAGACAAGCCTGAATGGAGAACAATTGGGTCTGCCCTGCCCACACAACAAGAAAACATGATGTGTGGAAATGCCATTTTGAAAATTTAACTATGGCCTCATATTATTACCCAGTGGAAAAAAAAAAGAAATATATCATCTTTTTAAAATGACAAAATGCTGACTTCCTGGTATAGTCCTAGTTAACTTGAAAATATTTTAAAATATTCCAAGAATAAACCTTCTAAAAGGGCAAAACTTCAAATAGCACTCAATGTTTATCTTCTACAGTCATCAACTTAAACAGATAGGGACATTTATCTTTCCATACCTTCAGGGGGTCTCTGCAACTGGGATTTCCGATAAAACAGCATGTAGGCACTTTCTTTTCCTTGAAACTGCTGTTCAATATCCTTTTCCTTGATTGGTTGGACTCTGGAATCATTTATATCAAACCAGTGGGGACAGGAGGGTCTATCATTTAATCTTGAGGATTCTGAAGTAAGTGTCTTGAAAAGTTGTTGATCATTTCTTTGGATATCAGACTCAGCCTGGACAGAAGAGTCCTTCAATAGACGAACTGTACTTTCATCTGAACTGAGCAGAAATATCTGAGAATGAAGCTGCAAAAACTGTACAGGAACAAAAAACAAACATTAGGTTAACAAAAAAAATTTTCATTGACATGATTTTAAAAATTTTCCTTTCTGTGTATGTCAACTTTTTGGCCTGGCCAGTTAAGAGGGAAAAAAATTTCATTTGGGCCATAATAAAACATTTAATAAAATCCAGAGTGCTTTCTGTTGAACAGTCTAATAGCTATATCCAGGGAGAAAGCTGCCATGACACAATCTTTTTTAGTGTTTTGGTTTTTTTTTTGGACATCCCTACCCCTGGGCCCTAGCCTTTCAGCACATGCCCTGTGATGACACAATCTTAAACATGTTTTAATTATATCTCAATAACTGTTTTAATGCTGTTTTAAAAAGTCTTTACTGAAACAGATTACATAGAATAAACACTTTCAAAATGTTTAAAGCAATCCAAACAAAGCACAAAACAAAGGAAATAGAAGATAATCCTGACAAGACTATGGGATACAGTCATAATTACAAGCTTACATGAACTAAATTAAGTATTGTCTTTCCTGGAAGCTGACAGGGTATATAGCTCAAGAAATCAAAACAGTGAAAGGTTAAGCCATAATCTCAAAGATGCTCAAATTCCTCCAGCTAAAGGATTAGGAAGAAAAAAACTTTTCTTCCCCAGCCTACCCCAGCTTTCCACCCCTACTCCACTCTTCTCTGATTCCCTAATCTCTACATGGCCTGTATCACTTCCTTTTCTCTCAGCACAAACTACTTCACTTGGGGGCATATGGAACACTTTCTTAGCTCATCGAACAACACAGAAAGGTGATTTTCTCATTTTTCTCTTGGAAAGGAAGAATTTATAATGATGCATACTCTCTGATCAAACAGATGACCCAGAGGTAATACTGTTAACACTATATAACAGACGGTAATATAGTTTTGTAGCTAAGTTACAGTAAAATAATAATTTAAAGTACAATAAAATAATAATTTGAAACCTCTGAGTAATTAATACTTTCCATATAGCAATTTTTTTCTTTGTTCGATAGTTGAAGATTAACTCTTTTAAACCTCAAACTTCAGTGTAGTCTGGTCCCAGCAATGGCAGAGAATTTTATTATTAGACTAACCCCACTGATTAAAAATCATAAACTTTAAGCAAAATAAAGAAAACAACTGTTTGAAGAGTAACCAAAAACAAAGTGGGGGTGGGGGGGGCATTACCCTTCAAAAACGGAAACGAGCTAGGTGAGCTCCACACTGACCTGCCACTTCCCCCTCTGCTGCACAGAACAATGGAGAAGAAAGTTCAAGTGAAGAGCAGGAGTCCTACTGGACTCAGGAAGCAGAATTTGAGAATGCCAGAGAGGCAGGAGAGTGAAAGACAAAACTCCAGAAGTAACCCTCTATCAAAACCTCCTCCCATCCTTGCCTGCTTTTTCTTTTTTTCCCCTTGGCTAACTTTTGAATGGCACATGTACAGTCTGAGACTCAAGGAACTGAGTAGAAAGCCACAGGTGGGAGATCCAAGATATGAGCAGAGATTTTGGCCCCCTGCTGCTGGACAGGAAGAGCATGGAGCTGAAGTCCTGCCAAGTCTGAGGCATACGACAAACACCTCAGGCTTTCCACTGGGATTCTAGAAGGGTCCCATCTTAGGTCAGGGATTGGTAAACTTTTCTGTAAAGGGCCAGACAGTAATATTTTAGGCTTTGTGGGCTAAGAGGCAAACCTGAGCACATTTTTAAACATAACTTTGAAAATGTAAAGACAGTTCTTAGCTGGGGGCTGTACAAAATAGGGCAGCAATCCCTAGCCTGCCCATGTTTGCTAACCTCTGCCTTAACAGGGAGGATCACGCAGGCCCCAGGACTAACAACTACTCCCCAGGACTGTCAGCTAAACCACAACAGATCCACCCTACCAAAGCCCCAAATGAAGCTTCCACAGAATCAAGGTGATTCAAAATTACTTAAGGGTCTGTTAGATTATAATGAAAAACTCTTATAATCCACAGCCTCTAAAACACATATTCCACAATGTCCAACAAGTAATATGAGTATATGGCATGCAAAGAAATAGGACAATGTGATTCATAATAAAGAGATGAGACAATCAATTCACAAGAGACAAAAAAGTGAATACAGACCCAGAAATTATTCAGATGTTTTAATAGTAAAGTTATTGAAATACATAAATTTATAAAAGGATGTACAGAGTAGGTTCAAATGCGGAATTTCAGCAAAGAAACGGGCATTTCAAATAAGACTTAAGTGAAAAATCTACAGCTGAATAAGACAATAACTGAAACAAAAAAATTCATTGGCTGGGCTTGACAGAAGACTGGATACAGCAGAAGACAGGTCAATGGATGGAAATTACCCAAACTGGAGCCAAGGGGTGGGGGGAAACCCCACAAAACCCTACGAGAATATCTACGACCAGTGAGGAAATACTGAATAGTCCAATATATATGTAACTGTGGGTTTGGAAGAAGAGAGAGATAATAGGTCAGAAAAATAAATTGAAAATATAATGGCCAAAACTGAAGAAAGATTTCAAGCCTCAGATATAAGAAAACTTAGCAGATACAAAGCAAATAAACACAAAGAATGCCATACCAAGACACATTATTACTAAACTGCTAAAGACCAAAGATAAAAAGATCTTAAAAGTAAACAGAAAAAAAAGACATGTTACATTTAAGTGACACCGACTTCTCAGCCAAAATAAAGGAAGCCAAAACATAATAAAATGACATTTTAAAGTGCCGGAAAAAACCAATAAAAACTATTAACCTAAAATTCTACATCCAGCAAGAATGTCATTTAAAAAAATGAAAGCAAAATAAAAATATCAAACAAAAACTGAGAATATTTTTGCCTGCAGTTCTAGATGCCCAGAAAAACACTAAAGGAAGCTCTCTAGGCTGAAGAGAAAGGATATTAGATGTAAACTTTGACATGCAAGAGGGAACAATAAACACCAGAATGGGTAAAATAAAACATGATTTTTTCATTAATTTCTTTAAAAGTCACTTAAATATTTAAAGGAAACACATACATACATACAAACACATGGTGCATTTACAAATAACGGTAAGATACAAGACAACAGCAGAAAAGGATGAGTAGTAAAATGGAATTATACTACTGTAAGCCTCTTACGTGGTACATGAAGTGTTACACTATTGGTTTGTAAATTACAATACTAACTTATGTATAGTGTAATCCCTAAGTTAAAAAATTAAAGAACTACAGCCAAAAAGTCAACAGAGGAGGCAAAAATAAAACATTAAAAATTACCTGATTAATTCAAAAGGCAAGAAAGAAAAAAAAGGGAACAAAGAATAGAGGAGGCAAATAAAAATAGAATGGCTAGATGACGAATTCAACAACTATACAAATTAATACATTAAAATTAAATGGACTGAACATTCTAATTAAAAGGGAGACTATCAAACTCTATTATTTGATAGAAAACAGATGAACAAAAGAAAAAAACAAATGCAAAGCTGTTTCTTTGAAAAGGTTAATAACCTTGATAAATCCCTAGCAAGACTGATGAAAAAGAAATTTAAAAAACACAAATTACCAATATCAGAAATGAAATAGGGTCCTATAGATCCTACAGATCTTAAAAGGATAATATGGTAGTATTTCAAACAACTTTATGCTAACAAATTTGACACTTTAAGAGGTTAAACTCCTTAAAAATCAGTTTTCCAAAATCAACAAAAACCAACTTCATACTGTTTATTGTACAATAGACACACTTGCATTAGAGAGCTTGGTGCAAAGTAGGGAACAATACCAAACCAAGTAGATTCGAAGGCAAGGACCATGACTCAGACGGTCAAGAATCCACCTGCAGTGCAGGAGACCTAGATTCAGTTCCTGGGTCAGGAAGATCCTCTGGAGAAGGCACGGGTTATCCACTCCGGTATTCTCGCCTGGAGAATCCCGCAGATAGAGGAGCCTGGCAGGCTGGGCTAGTCCATGGGTCACAAAGAGTCAGACACGACTGGGTGATGGAGCACAAATCAGCGCTAAGAAGGAAATTATGACTTAAAAGCATGTTTTATAAAACAACTGAGATGCCAACCCAAGAAGCTAGAAAAGGATGATTAAATTAAATCCCGGAGGTGAAAGGGAGGAAATAACTAAAAACAGAAATCAGTGAAGTTGAAAACAGATGAGTAGAAAATAAAGGTAAAAGTTGTTTTTTGAAAAGCTGTTTTATTAAAATTTGATAAGCCCTAAGGCAAGACTTATGAAAAAAAGCAAGCGAACACAAATTACTAATTTCAGGAATGAAAATGAAGAACTTAAGGTCCTACAGACACTAAAAAAGATAATATGAGATATTCTGAACAACTTCATGCCAATAAATTTGACACCATATATAAAAGGACAAATTCTTTTAAAAATATAATTTTCTAAGATAATCCAAGAAGTAATAAAAATGTAACTCTACAAACAAATTAAAACTATAATATAAAACACTCCCCATAAAAACATTTCAGGTCTAACTAGCTTTATTAAACATTTAAGAAAGACATAATAATCTCAGAAAAATTCTTTCTGAGAATTTTAATATAAAAAAGTGAGAATATAAAAAAGAATATAAAGAATATATAAGAATATATAAAAGTGAGAATATAAAAGAGTGAGAATATAAAAAATATAAAAGAATATAAAAAAGTGAGAATTTCCCAATTTGAGTCCTAACTCTGATAATAAAATCTGACAAATATACTACAAAAAAGGAAGTTAAACACTCAGATCTCTCATAAACATAGGGACAAAATCCTTAATAAAATATGAGCCAAATATTAGCCATTTCCTTCTCCAGGGGATTTTCCCAACCCAGGAATCGAAGCTGGGTCTCCTGCATTGCAGGCAGATTCTTTACTGACTGAGCTACAAGGGAAGCCCAATATAAATAATAGAAATGCATAAAACTATGTCATGATTAAATGTGATTTATCCCAGAAATGTAAGATTTGCTTTAACATTGAAAAAAGTCAACAGAATTCACATTAACAGAGTAAAAGAAAAGAGCCATATGGTCACATCAATAAATGTTAACAAAGAACATTTGATAAACTTCAACCTCTATGCAAGATACAACTATCAGCTGCTTATAACACACCCAAAAGGAATCTGGGTTCACTGTGACAAGGGGCATAAAACTTGTGGCCTTCCTATGATCAAATACTCTATACGTGTCCTCTGCACTTCATGTGGCTGTTGGGCAGGACCAGTGGGACAAGGTTCAATATTGGAAGGAAAGTTGCAACATTTAGTGAAGTTTGCTACTTAAGAGTCTGTCCAGCCCATGAAGGCATGGGCCAAGAGTGGTCATAGAAATATAAAGGCTTTGAAAGAAAGAGAGATTTCAATTATTTATGCCATTCTGGAAAAGGCAAAACTATGAATACAATAAAAAGATTAGTGGTTGCTAGGAGTCTGGGAGTGAGGGGAGATGAATACATAGAATACAATTTTTTAGTGCAGTGAAAATACTTTGTATGACCTTATAACAATGGCTATGTCATTATACTTTTTTTTTGTCAAACCCACAGAATGTAGTACTACTTACCTTCATTAGAATGAATCCTAAGATGAATTGTGGACTTTGGTGATTATAACACATCAACAGAGTTCATCCTTGATTTAGGAAAAACAAGCTAACCAACCAACCACCCTGATGAATGATGTTGACAACATCTATGCATGTTGTGAGGAAGGGGAATATGGGAAATTTCTGTACCTTCTTATTAATTTTGTTGTAAAACTGCTCAATAAACTTATTATACAAATAAATATACATGTTTTATATATATTGTTTACTGGACTGTGATGTAAAATATATTTTTTAGGTCAAAAAAGTTTGCAAGCCACTGTAGTTAAGTTATATTGGCAAATAAAAGCACAAATTAGCTTCAAAGGAAAAAAGAGATAAAACTACCAGTCAACTATGAGTAAAAGCTAACTTTCTCAAACTTATGAAGAATATTTTTATTTAAAAACAAAACATTAAAGTCCCTGCAGAGCTGATAACATACTTAATAGTAAAATACTGAAACATTGATCCAATCATTTTGATTGAAAACCTAAGACTGTCTATGAACTCAGGGTCAATAACTTCATTTATAAATTGTGGTCTAATTAAAAGATGAACTTAAACACAGACAGAAGCATATAAGCACCTTGCTTCTACAAGAAATAGCTCTAAATGTTTACTACGTGTTTTGTTGCTTTGCTTGTTTTCAGTCAAGTTTTTGTCTCAATTCTAGCATTACCAGCTTTTGCTCATCTTATGGACGAGGAAACCAGACTGCCAACTTTAGTAGAATTGTGTCAAAGAAAGAGCAAGTGAAATGTGGATGAATGCCAGAAGACATTTATATAAGTAAGATGATAAGCCTTAGAATAGGAACTTTGCATATACACAATGGAGTATTACTCAGCTATAAAAAGGAACGCATTTGAGTCAGTTCTAATGAGGTGGATAAAACTGGAGCCTATTATACAGAGTGAAGTAAGTCAGAAAGAGAACACCAATACTGTATATTAATGCATATATATGGAATTTAGAAGGACTGTAACGACGATCTATGCTAGGCAGCAAAAGAGACACAGATGTAAAGAACAGACTTTTGAACTCTGTGGGAGAAGTGAGGGTGGGATGATTTGAGAGAACAACATTGAAATATGTGTATTACCACATGTAAAATAGATGACCTGTGCAAGTTCAATGCCTGAAGCAGGTCACTCAAAGCTGATGCTCTGGGACAACCCAGAGGGATGGAATGGGGAAGGATAGGGGAGGGGGGTTTAGGACAGGGGACACACGTGTACCCATTGCTGATTCATGTCAATGTATGGCAAAAACCACCACAATATTATAGAGTCATTGTCCTCCAATTAAAATTAATTAATTAAAAAAAAAGAATATGAACTTGGTGACATTTTTTGCTGTTGTGATTAAAAGCCCATTCTCTATTCTTCTCTTTCTTGATCCTATGATAAATTACTAAGTCATTTAACTGAATTTTAACCATTAAGAAAAATACTAATTATATTTCTACCTAATTTAAATTTCCTTCTGCAAAGAAATTCATGTTGCCAAGATCACAATAAAATTTCTAGGGAATGGAACTTTCTAGAAGGATGTCATGAATACCTTTCGCAGTGGTCCATACTGTTTTCGGTACTTCTTATTCCAAGATATTCCTATCTTCTTCAAGAGTTTCTGGCCCAGCTGATCAACGGGAATTAGATTACTCTCCTCCTTATGAAAGAAAGAAAAGTCATTTAAAAAAATCTGGTAAGATTTAAGTGCGATAGTTATGAGTTCAAGGGACCAACAGGATTAATAAACAGGGCCTGTAATAACAAACAAGTAGGTGGATTAACCAAAAGTATTTAAAAATAAAAAGCTTTTAAAAATAGATTAAGCCTAAGTTTAGAAAACTTGAATTTTGCCACTTTCTATGTGGTAACGTTTAAACATTTCAAGAGCAACACCCAAAGAGTATTTAGAGATTTGGTAAATTTTTGATATTGTGTGGGATTTTTAGAATAAATACTTTCATGCAAAAAGACTACTGGTCTCTTATGAATGTTCTGAATTATAAACAATTTCTAAAAGGGGGTAAGAAATGACTATTTTGAGCTGAAATCTGTCCCCCTACCACAAAAATTCATATGTTGAATTCCTAACTCTCAAAATTTTAACTGATTATATTTGGATAGGGCAGTTAAAGAAATGACTAAGTTAAAATGAGGCCTTTAAGGGTGGGCCCTTATCCAATCTAGCATCCTTATAAGAAAGGAAATTTGGACACACAGAGACACCAGGGATGTACATGAACACAGGAAAGGCCAAATGAGGACACAGCAAAAGCCAAACAGAGAAGCCTCAGAAAAAACCAAATCTGCAGACACCTTGATCTGGACTTCCAGCCTGAGAACTATGAGAAAGCAAATTTCTGTTAAGACACCAGTCTGTGGGATTTTATTATGTCAGCTCTAGCAGACTAATACAGTAGCCATAGACCAATATTCAGCCTAGGTCCCTAGAAAGAAACTGAGAAAAAAATGTTCATTAATAATGAATGAATAAATGAAAAGAGACTACCATCTTTACAACAGGGTAGGAGGCAAACCGGAGAAGGAAATGGCAACCCACTCCAGTCCTCTTGCCTGGAAAATCCCATGGACGGAGGAGCCTGGTAGGCTGCAGTCCATGGGGTCGCACAGCGTCGGACACGACTGAAGCGACTTAGCAGCAGCAGCAGCAGGAGACAAACATTAAAAGTCATACACTTGAGGTATTATCAGTACTGGGAATGAAAAAGGGGACATAACTTCAGGTCCTAAAGACATTAAAAGGATAATTTGGGAAAAGAGTAAATTCCAAAGAAGTATATACAGTATATCCCAAGTTTATTTAAAGTAACAATAATAATAGCAATAATAATACCCCAAAAAATCGTGTAACCCAATCCTAACATATCTATACAAACACAAAAGAAATAAAATGCAAAGAATATATATCATAGTGCTAACAGTAACCAGACATTTGGTTTAAACTTATTTTCTTTATATACTTTCAATTTTTTCCCCTCAAAATTTCTACCATTCGTAAGTATTTCTTTTATAATCAGAAAGCCTCTAATAAAAAGTTTTCAACAGACAGACAATTTCCCCCAAAAAGACTATGAATAATAACAGTATCACTTCTACCAACTAAATCATATAGCTGATATATACATAAACACAAACATATATTCTTTCCACCTGTAGTAAGATTGCTTTTAGAATCATCAATGGATCATCAATCTCCTCTTTATTCTGAATATCTTCCAAATTCACATCTGGTTTACTTTTGTCCTCCTAAAGAAGGAAAATAATAAAAAAAAGTTTCTATCACTAATCTCTTAAAAAGTAATTAGCAAAACAGGAATGTTTGTGCCTCGGAGGTTTCAAGATGAAGAAATGATGATAAAAACATCATATTAACTTGTATGTGCTTTGGAATCAGGCAGTCTGGCTTTGAATTTCAACTGTGGTTGAATAATCGTAGACAAATTACCTAATCTCTCTAGCATTTCTGTAAATTGGGACTGCGAGGTAAATAAAGCTTCTAGCACAGTGGTCCCCGATCTGGACACTCCCTCAGTCCCCTTCTTTCAGAGTTCCATTTAAGTTTCATTATGCTGGCTCGATGACTGACTCATTGGCCCTTGGTGACCTATCACTGGTCCCTGGTGGCTCAGAGGTAAAAGAATCTGCTTGCAACACAGGAGACATGAGTTCGATCCCTGGGTAGGAAGACCCCCTGGAGGAGGGCATGCATCCTGTATTCTTGCCTGGGAAATACCACGGTCAGTGGAGCCTCTCAGGCTGCTGTCCGTGGGGTCGCGAAGAGTCAGACACGACTGCAGCACTGAGCACACATCACCAAACAGTCTCCAGCCCCTGGTCCCTCCCTGGTCAGGGGAGGGGGCTGAAGGTTCTAACCCTCTAACCATGTGACTGGTTCCTCCAGTGACCAGCCCTCACCCTGCAGGTAACTTCATTAGCATAAACTCAGGTATGGTTGAAAGGGGGTCATTATGAAAAAGAAAAGACATCCTTATCATTGGGGAAATCTCAAGGACCTCTAAGCCAGGAATCCAGGACAAAGATAAAATATATATTTTTCTATTATACCACAAAAATAGATCCCAGCAAATAGCTAGAAACCTGAAAGGGCTAAGCTCTAAATATAAGCATGATCTACAAACAAACCCCTCTCCTCAACAAAGGACAATGAGAAACTTGCTTGCTTTGACCTTGATACTAGATGAAGGTGGAAATACACTCCCTCTAAAAATCTATAATCACAATAGGTCCTCATGTGAGTTTGTGGCCCAAATTCATACTAGTTGCATGGCTCTAAAACACAGATCTTATCTTCAAGGTGTTAAAGCTTGGAGGTGACGACAGGCATGCGGTAGAGACAGACACATATCTTTCATGGGAGGTACTTTTAACTCAGGCTTTCAATCACTCCTGAACTGTGTTCTTAAAAAACAGTCAACCAAGTCTACAGCCTAAAATAACAAAATCACAAGGAAACACATAGAGTCAGCAGATATCCAAAGACCCACAGTTTTCAGATATTGCAATTTTCAGGTAGAGAATAATAAAATAGTGTGTTTAAGATGTTTAAAGACATTCACAGGCTTCCCAGGTGGCCCTAGTGGTAAAGAAACTGCCTGCCAGTGTAGGAGACCTAAGAGACGTAGGTTCAATTCCTGGGTTGGGAAGATCCCTTGGAGAAGGAAATGGCAAACCCCTCCAGTATTCTTGCCTGGAGAATCCCATGGACAGAGGAGCCTGGCAGGCTACAGTCCATGGGGTTGCACAGAGTGGGACACAACTGAAGTGACTATGCAAAGACATTCATGGCTAAGAAACAAGAGATTTAAAATGGTAGGAGGGGAGAGGTAGGCTGGCATCGCCCAGGATGTGACACTGGTGCAGGGGGCATGTGGCCTGGGCAGAGTTCTCCTGCACTCTGCCAGCGTCCAACCTTGGTCTTGTGAGGACAGGCTGGTTCTGCAAGCACCAGTCCCAGGGCTGAACTGTGAGAGTTACTGAAAAGCCTTTGTCCCACATCCTCAGATGTTCAAAGTGATATAAACCATCAAAGAAACGAAAGCCCCCCCCCCCACCGCCCCCGCTTTGGAAGGCGTAAGTCAGGCTCCTCTTAATAGCCAGATCTAGGGCCACATTCTGAATAATTAATGACCTCCATGCAAGAGGGAAGAGCTCATCTTCTAGCTGGGCTGAGAGAGACTGAAATTTTGGCTTTCACCCAAGGAACATTATGTGAGACAGGTCATTTAAAGTTGTTCCTTCAGATGGCACCTAGCAGGGAAACTTGCAAGGGAAGAAGAAATCACCAAAATGAAAGCAGAAAAACCAATACCTGCTTGTGCTTACAGTATTTGGAGTCCTTTGTCTCTAGGCGTAAGAGCGCTCTCAGGATAATGGTTAATAAGCAGACAAGCAGTGTCCAGCAGGTATGCCTACTGAAGCTGAAACTCTTAGAGCGCGCATCGTTATTCGAATACCATAAACTCTAGATAAAAAGTGAGTGATTCTTACAGAGTGGAATAATAATAATAATAATAAAAGATAGACGCGATGCTTCACAGAAGCCATGAATAAGGAAATATACAAGCAGAGACAGAAAGCAATGTTCTGATTGCTCTTTAAGTTTCAGGAAGACCCTGCTAAAGTACCAGAGCTTCAGACCAGAGAAGCACTGTAGAGAGCTAAACCAAGTAAAAGCACACCTGCCTGCCCTTTTGAGTCATATAATGGAACGGAGAGAAGAGCGTGATGCTGTTAGTCATTTCCGAAGAAATGAACACAGAATTGTTGAGATGTCCAAGGAAGAACAACTCAAAAGGAAGATATGGAACAATCACTCCTTTTGAGCTACCTCACCGCACAGTGTAAAGCTACCTCTGTGTGTGATGTCAATGATAAACTTAAAAAGGAAACTGGAAATAAATACTTCACGCATCAAAAGACTGACAATAAATCCCGCCTCCTAGAGAAGTACCTGAAATCTGACACTGGCTGAGCAAGACTGAGGAGGGCCTGCGGCCAGCATGGAGGACAGCAGAGACACAGCCCCGAGGCAGAAGCAGAACTGCATGGAAGGCAGGAGCACTTGCCAAGGCTGAAGAGAGACAGGGCAACATGGGAAACAAAGGCTACCACAGAAGCATAAGTGGAAGGAAAAAACCAGGAACTACAAGGGAGGAGGCAAAGAGAAAAGAAAATAAACTATATAGTAACTATTTATGAGACCTGTTCACAAGCTTCTATGAGGCTCTAATAAAAGGTTCAAATTCATCTTTTAGAGAGAATGAAATAAAGTTAATATAATTGTTTGAAAGTGGGAGCGGCGGGGTGGGGAGAGAACAGCTGCTTGGAGAGAAAGATTCACTTATCATGGGGCCTGAAAGACAGTGGTGTGAAGGAAGGTAACAGGATAAGAATCAGCAACTAAGGGTGGAACATGGAGGGCAGAACTAGACCGGAGGAGGTTAGATGTGCATCACTCTGACTGAAATGTGCCCAACAAGCTTGTGTCTTGGCAAATAGGCACAAGCATTTGAGAGATGCTTGTATGGCTTCCTAGAACCCAAAACTGGATAAACCCAGTTCTAGAAACAAAAGAAATGGGAGGTTAAGGATAGGAAAGAGTGAAACAAAACTGTCTTTTTCAAAAAGCAAGATGGTTGATTATAAAGTCAACATACTAAAAAGATAATTGTATTTCAATATACCAGACACAAGCAGTCCAAAAACTACACAGAATAGACACAGTACCACAGAACATCTCCCTGGTCAATATTTTCCCAACAGAACAGTTAGATTTTAAATATCCAAACTTCACAAAGCACAATTATCTCTCAGTACATTCTATGTATAAGCGACAGAGCACCAGGAACACAGGGAGATGTTCTGAAAAGCAAAGTGAGTGCCAGCAAAGGGAACACGCATTTGTCAGTACTGCCAGCACTCAGGGGGCTTCCCAGGTGCTTCAGCGGTGAAGAGTCCACCTGCCAGTGCAGGACATGCAGGAGACCCAGGTTTGATCGCTGGGTCAAGAGCCCCTGGAGGAGGAAACTGCAGCCCATTCCAGTATTCTTGCCCAAAAAATTCCACAGACAGAGGAGCCTGGCTACAATCTATGGGGTTGCAAAGAGTCGGACACGACTAAGCACATACACATGCGTGCACAGCACTCAGAGAAGCTGTTACCGCAAGTGGAGCAATTATTCATTCATCGTAACATTAACTGTTTGACAATCAGGAAGGTATGTTTGAAGTATGCCACATCCTAACATGATGGGTTAGAACTTATATATTGGTGTTTTAGTTACATTTTAGGAAATTGGTTCAGGGTTTGGGGCTAGCATGTAATATATTACAATTTTTTCCACTGCAAATAGCTGGAAATGGACTCTCAATGAGTGCTTTATTTTCTAGAGAAAATTATAAAACTTTTTTTAGACGACACTAAAGAAGCTCTAAAAACCAAAAACATATGTCTTATTTACACACGTAGATTCAAAACCCTACTACTTTTATGTGTACATACGTGTGAGAATATTGACAAGGTAACTCTAGAAATGTTCAGAAAAGCATAAAAACCAAAACACTCCTGAAGAATAACACCACAGAGAGACTTTCCCTACCAGATAACAAGACTTACTAATACAGCTACAGAAATCAACAGTGTAGCATTTGCCTAGGAATAGGAAAAAAGGAACAATAACAACAACAACAACGGAATACAGAGCCCCAATATGGACTAAAATAAAAATAACAAATAATATAACAAAAAAGAAAAAAAAATAATAGAACTGGCACTGTAGATTGGTGGGGAAAGAATGGAATATTAAATAAATGGTACTGGGAAACTGGGTTCCCAAACAGAATAAACATCATGCCATTCACAGCAAAGCATTTCAGGAAGACTGAAGTCTCATTTGTAAAACACAAAGATGACAATATAGAAGGACTATCTTTGTTTGGTGCCATGAAAGACAAAGAAAGCTGAGGAATGGTTATTGATGGCTTCCTTGGTGGCTCAGATGGTAAAGAACCTGCCTGCTAATGCAGGAGATGCAAGAGACACAGCGTTCGATCCCTGGGTCGGGAAGACCCCCTGGAGAAGGAAATGGCAACCCTTCCAGTATTCTTGCCTGGAAAATCCCATGGGCAGAGGAGCCTGGCAGGCTACAGTCCATGAGGTTGCAAAGAGTCGGACATGACTGAGCATCTAACACTTTCACTTTTCAAGACATGGTAACTAAATATAATGCATGTTTCTAAACTTGACACTACAGTGGGAAGAAACTGCCACAAAGGATTTGGATGAAACAGGTTAAATCGGAATATAAAATATGTACTAGGTAGTAGCCAGAAAGATAAAGACCATTACAGTATACTAACACATATATATGGAATTTAGAAAGATGGTAACGATAACCCTATATGCAAAACAGAAAAAGAGACTCAGATGTATAGAACAGACTTGTGGACTCTGTGGGAGAAGGCGAGGGTGGGATGTTTCAAGAGAACAGCATCGAAACATGTATATTATCTAGGGTGAAACAGATCACCAGCCCAGGTTGGATGCATGAGACAAGTGCTCGGGCCTGGTGCACTGGTAAGACCCAGAGGGATCAGGTGGAGAGGGAGGTGGGAGGGGGGACCGGGATGGGGAATACATGTAAATCCATGGCTAATTCATTTCAATGTATGACAAAAACCACTGCAATGTTGTAAAGTAATTAGCCTCCAACTAATAAAAATAAATGGAAAAAAAATATGTACTAGATAATAAATAGTATTGTATCAGTGTTAAAGTTCTTGATTTTGATCTACGGTTATGTAAGACAATGTCCTGGTTCTCTGGAGATAAACACTGAGGAGATTAGGGGTAAAGAGGCCCATAAAACTTCAAGTGGTTCAGCACTAATAATGATAATGTTAACTCTGTGTGTGTGTGTGTGTCTGTATACAGAGGATGGGCTTGCAGAAATGTGGCAAAATGTTAACAACTGGAGAACCTAGGTGAAGAGCAAACAGGAGGTGTTTAAAAAATTTAAACTTCTATCTGTATTAACTTTTAATGCCTTTAAGAGTTTTCTACAGTGAACATATAATAAATGACCAAAAAATAGCCTCACCAAAACAAGGCTAGAAAACAGTTGCAAAGATACTCTTAAACTAATTTCTATACTTACTTGAAACTGCCAGTTTCCCAGATGATCGACATCTTTAATGTACACGTGATAATGTCCTCCATAGCAACCACCTTTGTGTATAATAACTGAGAAGAGGTCATACATATATTCCAAGTCATCTAATTCACTCTACAAGAAAGAACATAAACATTGTTATAGTATACCTAAGACAGAAAGATATATAATGGAAGAGGAAAGAAGAATTTCAACTATTAAATAAGAAACATCACTGGTTAGTATTATTATTTAGGGTAAATAAACATAAATTTGAATAACCAGTTTTAAATTTTGAAATACGTAGTTCTTTGACTGAAAATACCAGTCATATTACACCAACCAAATTCTGCCTGAGTTAAACATAAAAACATATATTCAATCAAGATGCTGTTTTTATGTACTTTGGCTAAAATCACGGAAGTCCACATTATAACACAACACATATTACCCTATCAGTGAGTAAGAGAGTATTTTAGCAAGAGAAAATCGTCTCATATTAAACCTATTACACTGGTTTATAAAGGAGTTCTTCAGCAGTTGAATACATTTTAACGAGATTGTCATGTGCCTCAAAGTCAGAGCTATAGCTACTATGCATATCTATTACCCCTCCAGACACTTCAGTAATCTGCATAAAACAGGAATTTAGCAATTATGAATACCAGCTGGTTTTGTTAGAGGCAGTTTAGTGGAATGAAAAGTTTTTTTTTCAGTTATCAAATCTGTGATCAATCTTCTCTATAAGTAATGTGTTCTATAACTGTATAATTATAAACACCTATATGTGCATGCTCAGTCGTGTCTGACTGTGTGACCCCATGGACTGGAGCCCACCAGGCTTGTCTGTCCATGGAATTTTCCAAGCAAGAATACTGGAGTGGGTTATCATTTCCTACTTCAGGTATGAACACCTACATGGGCATTAAAAAGTAAAACCTACTTTAGGTTTAAAGATATCTGGCATATGTGATGCTACTTAAGGAAGTGTCAATTATTTAAGGAACTCATTTTCTTAAATTATACTTTTTAAGTGAGCAGCATTTTTTAAATGTCATTTTTCAAATGTCTGATTCAGGCAAAAACCAAGAGAGATGTAAACAAAGATGATAATGATATTCATTAATATAGAAATCAAAAAGTAAAATTACTGTGAATTTCTTAGATGCTCAATGTCTTGCTTTTTTCAGTTTTGTTATTTCAACATATGTTAAAATCATGTAACAAACTACTTTTTGTAAAAGGACGAAAATTTTTCTATATGAGATAATGGAAGTTAACTAAACCTACTATGGTAATCGTTTCATATTATATGTAAACCAAGCCATCATTTTATATACTTTAAACTTACACAAGTGATGTGGGTCAATTATTTCTCAATAACACTGAGACAGGGAGAAATAACTCAATTATTTCAAAAAGAATTTTTTTTTTCAGGCAGCAAATAGGAGCAGGGAAAAGTACCCTGGAAAACCTGTTTATTCCATGTATGCTGGTAACAGGCTCAGAGCCAATACATTAGAACCTTTCAATGCAAATTAGTATAATTATAAAACCCAAAAGCTCAGTAACTAGGCTGAGGAAGGTCCACCTGAATTTAAAACCCCATTTAGAAAAAGATTACTTTGATACACAGAAATTCTATAGCTGGCTAATTAATGTTCTGGTCTCAAACACATAAAGAATGGTTTTTAATAAGAAAAGCATCAGTCTCATCACTCTAATCTTGGCAAGTATAGCAATGGCACAGAAAACATTTTTAAACAGCTTATAAAGTAGGCTGATTATGTAATTAATTTGTTTTTAAACTTTATTTTCCCCCAAGTCTTAAGGATTACAAATTCTACACTAGTGACATTCCAATTTCTCATTCGCTTTCTAAATGTGCAATTCATTTTTGCATCTAAAGTAAACTAGATCCAAATAGGAACATACTACTGAATGGTAATTTTTCCTATTGCAGGGTGTTTTCTAATTCTATTCTTAAACTTTCATTTCAAAGATTTTTGAAGGAGAGTTTAGGGGGGAAAAAAAAAACTAGAAATAAATCCCTACTTGGACATTAAAAAGGACTTTAATAAACTAGTGGTTCTCAACCAGGAGCAATTTTACCCACCTTTCCTCTCCTCAGGAGACACAGACATGTGGCAAAGTCTGAAGCCTCGTCTGTCACTTCTGGGCATAGAAGCAGGAGATGCTACTGACACCTACTAGGCAGAGGCCAGGGATATCACTTAACATCCTAAAATACATGGCACACCCCACACAACAGAGAACTATGCAACTCTAAGCGTTATGGGGGCTTCCCAGGTGGTGCACTGGTAAAGAATCCAGCTGCCAACGCAGGCGACATAAAAGACGCTGGTTTGATCCCTGGATCAGGAGGATCCCCTGTAGGAGGGCATGGCAACCCACTCCAGTATTCTTGCCTGGCAAACTCCACGGACAGAGGATCCTGGCAGGCTAGTCTTTGGGACCACAGCGTTGGCCACGACTGAGCAACTGAGCACACAGGTTTAAACAGCGCCAAGGCTGAGAGGCTGCACGCTAAGCAAACTGCAAACCAGGCCAACACGGGTGAAGAAAGAATTTCAAAACAGAATAGTTCAAACCTGTTCACAAAAAGGCTTGAGATTGATCCGGAGAGGGAATGTGTAACAGCTTGTTTCCTTGTATCGTTCACACTTCACAAAATCAAAATTAAATCTTAATAACGAAATTGTAAGAAAGGGAGGCAGCTTACGTAGTTTGGCCGACTGTCAAAAGAAAAAAAATTTAAATTTTAAAAACTGAATTATATAAAAGAATAATGCTTCTTAAGGTATAAAAAGGTAACTTATGACACAGTTTTAAGAGAAATATGTCCTTAAGTCACATAACTAATCATTGTGGATTCAATAGAGCTCTTGACATAAACTCATCTATTTTATGGCGCTAAAAGTTGACATCGCTCACTTATGCTTACACCTAAAAATTTACAATGCACTTGTATGTTTTAATGTTGCTATCCTAAATAAAATTAAAGCTATGTGATGAGGGTGCTTCCTCCCAAACAGTGCTTCTTTCCTCCCCGAGCCCTGACCTTTCACCTTTCCCCTCGGTCACTATCTCGACTTTACACAGCTCTTATTTACTAAAGAGCTAGAGCTCTTTCACCTTCGACCTAGGGACTGTTTCAATGGATCTGAATCCTTTAAATTATATGAAAATGGTATGTATATTTGTGTGTATTCTGGGGAGAAGATCCACAGCTTTCATTAGACTTTCAAAAGGACTCTAACTTCCCAAACACTGAGATCTATTGACTGGGGTTTTATAGTTACTGTCCTTAAAAGCAGATAGTAAAATATTTTTTATTTTAATGTCTTGCTTTAAAACAAAACACTAAATTGAGTTGCTTTTTAAAGGCATGAGCTTTTCCCAAATTCCTTATTAATGGCAATGTGAGGGGGCAAAAAAAATCCTTCCCCATATATAAAATTATCCATAATCATAAATATCTAACATTCCTAAAAATATATAAGACAGCAATTCTAGAAATCTAGTGGGTGAAAAAGAAATTAAATGAAAAAGCAGCAATCTAACAACATGGCAGATATTTACACGAGCTCAAAAAAATGCATCTAAAAAAAGTGAGTAACTCAACTATAATGTGGTGAGGAAAGAAAGACTGCCCAGAACAACCAAGCCTAACCTTAGAATACAGTAAATCTAATGCAACTAGAAAGCAACTTTAAAAATATCAAAATAAAAAAATTTTCACTGAAAATGAATTAAACCAATGACATAAAAGGTGCATACAAGAATTACTTTTGTTTGGCAAAAGGTTCTTATTTTACTAATGTGCAAATTAGGTTCAACCAAAACTAAGCATGTGTTTGTCTTTCCATGATGCTCCATCCTCTGAATTTTATATTTATTTTATTAGGTTGTAGTTGTAACACCAAGGAGGAAATACAATGTAAGTAAGCAAAAAATAACCCTTTCTCTTTGGGTTTATAAAAGGGCAAAGGCTAGATGGAAATAAATATTAAACAATATAAAACTGTTTTCAAATCCTGGTTTCAGATCCCACTGTGAAAGCTACAGGCATGGAGTTTATTGTTTTTATCACATTTTCACCTACAATCTCCAGGATCCAAATCAATACCGTGTGCTGTCTAAATCAACCCTCATTTTCTTTGTTGGAAAATTCAATATTGTCACCTCTAGGAATAGTGCCATCACTCTGTCTTAACAGAATAACTGCAAAGATACAACTTTGGTGTTAGTTCTTTAAGTCAGGGCTCAATAACCACTGGTTCAACTGAGTTCAAGGTTATCAGGTTAATGAATAGCCTGTCATATCATCCACAAGCAGTGAAAGAGTTCCTACTACAGGTAATAATAGCAGCTGAGTTGATGCCACGTTGCAAAATAAATCAGTTGCTTAAATCTTGTTTTCTTTTTCTTCTATATTTTGCTTTGTTGTATGAAGAAAAACCCTGATGTACTCTGTCAAGTTAGGTACTTTCAATGGGGGGAGAAGGAAAGGCCATATTAGATTTGTTAGCATCAAGGAAGATATCTATCAACATATATATCAATATTGTACAATAGCTGCATATGGAAAAAATAAATCTGTTTTCACAGTGGCAAACCAAAAAACTGAAAGCTTCCTAGTTGGCAGAAAAAAAAAATATTGCCTTCTTCATAATAGTAACTTCCAAAGGAACAAAAAAAAAGGTTTATTTAAGAAACACTGAGTCACAAATAAATTTTTCCTGGGAGAGACAGAAGTTGAGTGAACTGTGAGGTTGAAAGCTTAAAAAATACTGTTAAAAAAAACTTAAAATACAAAGATATATACATATACAGTGTAAGGAAATGTCTTTTCAATCCTTAATACTGACTAAAAGCTTCATGTGCGTCTCATACAAGGTGACCTCACTTGACAGGTGTCCCTGCTCCGAGCACCACACGCACACCCTCAGAAGGGGCAGGGGTCTGTCTCTACCTTTGCTGCTTTAACCAGCCTGTCACAGTTTCCACAGCGGTATAAGTTGTCATAGTCAAAAACTTCCTCCTCTACATACATGTTCCAGAGCGCGTCTTCCAAACCTGATACATTTTTAACTGCTACTGTTAGATCTAGGAAGTCTTCCTGAAATACACATGAATATAATATTGAAAATACAATTCCACAGAGGTTCACAAACAGATCACCAACTCAAACATACACTGGGAATAATCACACATATACTTTTTTCTAAAACACACATGTCTTTTCTATATATGAAGGCACAGATACGGTGAGATTCATAACAATAAATTATTCTTTCTCAACCAAATTATAACTCAGCTTAAAATATATCAGGAGCCAATTTATGAGTTCACTGGAGATACAATAAAACCTATTTTTATCAGGAGATAAACCACTGAACTCACGAATTGAGAAGAGTGTATGCGCAGTTCATTAGTACTATGTTAATCTCCAAGCAGGCAGAGCAAGGCCATGGTTGGACTCTCTATTGTAAACTCTGTTTCCCCCTCTTCTGTTAGGGTTAGTTTAAGAAAAATAATCATTTTGAGCCTGGACACAAAGGTATTTTCATGAAAACTAAGAGGAGGATATTTTCTAAAATGTGAGTCTACTAATTCTACTAAAATTACCTTTGAATTACAATGTATTTCCAATATTAAACAGACACAATTTGACAAGTTGAAAGCACATTTATAATTTTGCATGTGTGGTTGTGCAATAGCATTACCTTGAGGGATTATGGGTATCGTAAAATAGCACTAGTTAATTAGTTTATGGTGGAATTATAAAGCAGTAAGACTAACATTCTTACATGGTTTACAAGATAGATACATGAAAAGTTAATGCCTAATTTATAATGTGCCTTCGCATACATTATGTTTTAAAATTACTTTGTGAATCATTACATTATAGTGGTCAATCATATAGTAACCCACATACCCATAACATCTTAATATTTCCAAACGGGCTGGCCAAATCTTCTATTATGATACACAATAAGGGCTCAAAAGTCTTTTTTATGCCCAATACTTTCATTAGAAAATATAGAAAAAAAAAAATATATATATATATACACTTCAAAAAGGCAATTAATGCAACATTTAGCAAATGGCATTTAATTTTTTACTCATACAAACATATAAACTTTCTATAATTCTTGCCATAAGAAAAGAAGGTTTTTATTAAAGGACATGGTTCAGTGATGAAATCATTTGTTATATAAGATATGTAGTGCAAGCAGTGATTATTAAATTTACATAAGCAAATTTCTATCTAGATAAAATGGACAATCTGTTATGACAAATAATTGAAGGTTGTACCAGTTTAAACAGGATTATGATAGCTTTATATATATAATATTTAAACATAAGCACACACATACAAACGAGCTTTCTGAGGGACATCAATAAACTAAATCCAATATTTAATTACAGATTTGTTAACTTACACATCCCTCAGTGTTCTCTGTGTTTATTACCTAAGTGACTTACTTTATGATATTCCAACCACTGACCCATGACTATATTGGCTTTTCTCATGATGCCACAGGTCCCTACCGTAAATATTCCCCAAATCTACTTTCTAAATATTAGAGCACTAAATAGAAGATTTAAGCTATATCTTAAGATATCTACTTCTTTCAGTTTACATGGAGAAATCTGGATTATAAACTTATAATCTGGGAGCATCTAGAGTACAAGAAAAAAAGTGATAGCTATTTACAGTAATAAGCATGTTAATCCTCACATGGTACAGATCACAGATTTAATTACATGACTTATAATTTATGATTTAACTTATTACTAAAATACTCTTGCATATTCACCTGCTTTTCACTGACATTCTTACATTCTTTACAAACAATCTGGTTAACAATGGTTCCGTGATATAGACGGTTGATGAGGTCATGGCCGGAGGTTCCAACTAAAGAAGTTTCCAAAGCACTAAAGAGAATTCGATTCAGTTCCTGCACATCATGTTGCCTCATTTCCTATAAAACAGGTAACTTTTAAATGTAATTTTGTGCTTCAGAATTTTAAAAACAGATTTTTTAAGTGATATTAGTTAAAAAACACAAGACTTATTTAGAAATCCAAAGGCAAGCCTCCATCAAATGTAAGGATGACTAAGCTAAATGAGCCGAGAGCAGGTTAAGAGATCACCAACTGTTCTCACTTTTACTACAAAATGAAAAAGCAGACAGATGGTGTTCAGTGAGTACATATAACTCATGTCACCTGAGAACAGGAAAGTGCATCTGTTCAGCAGGAAACCACGCACATGGCCGTGCCAGAGGAGAGGAGAGGAAGGAAGAGAACAGGCAGAGAAGTCAGGCAGCGTGTGCACAGAGAAATCGCAGATCAGAGGGACGGGTAAACACTGAATCATCGTTTGAGAAGAACTAGAGCTTACTGCTTTGACGTGTAGACCAACAAAGCAAGACTAACACACTGCTATGGAGAAAAATCCTGATGGAATCTGCCTTAACCTGCAGATCAATTTGAAAGCCACCGAGAAATCATTGTTGTATGAAACTGTGTGTGAAGAGGCTGAGAACCATTTATAAATCCAAAGTCAGGGGCACCAACACACAGGAGTGGAGAAAGCAAGGAAGAACCAGCACAGGAGCCCGAGAAGAGCCAGGGAGGGGAGAGGCAGGACAGTGAGGTCACGAACATCAGCAGGCTGGGGAGCGCTACTACTGAGGGCTGTGGGGAGCGGAGCAGCACCTCCTGGGCTGGGCACACGGACGCCGTGAGTGACTGTGACCGCAAGGGTAGAAAGGAGGGAGAGGAGCAAATGGAGGGTGCAGAGGACAGGGGTGAGAAGATGACTGTGAAGCTGTTTCATGGGAAGAGAAGCTGATAAAGGGATGAAAGCTGGAAAAAGATGTGGGACTTCTGACACACAAGACACTAGGTGATATAAATTTCTCCAATATCACTGGCTCTGATGGGACAGAAAGTTTGCGGAAGTTTTCAAGCTCTGTTTCTGAACAATCTTAAGTTTGGCAAAGGAGAACTCTCTACCACTGCAGGTCAGTCTGACAGGGTTTCCTACAAGATTTTATTTAGAAATCAATCAATCAGGTTTTCACAGCTTTAAGAAGGATGAAGCCAACAAGAGGAAGCTCTTTATTTAAACAAAGAGAAATCCATCAACTGATGACTAGGTTAAAAGAAGCCAAAACACTGAGGCATATCCATCTGATAGAATATTATCTGGTAATAAAAAGGAATGAAGTGCTGAAACATACTACAACACGAATGAATTTTGAAAACTTTACGTGAAAGATGCTAGCTACAAAAGTTCACATATTGTATGAAACTATTTCTGTGAAGTGTCCAAGTTCACATATTATATGAAACTATTTCTGTGAAGTGTCCAGAAGAGGCAAATCCACAGAGAGAGAGAGGAGAAAAATGGTGGCCAGGGACTCAGGGAAAGGGCATGCAGGTCCGAGGAGGAATTAATGGTTTTTGGTGAAAAAATGTCCTAAAGTTGACTATAGTGATGCTTGTACAACTCTGAATATACTAAAAAACCAATGAACTGTACCCTTTCAAACAGTGACTCTTAGGGCATGTGAATTATATCTTAATAATTTAAGACAAGACAATACCTTTAAAACAAGGACAGAAAAAGGAATTCACCCTAAGCACCTGCCCTACACCAGAAACATAACATACACTCTTCAGGGAATGTATTATACCCTATTTTACTTCCAAGCCCAAACCTGACTTCTTCAACCACATAGCATCCAGCTAATTAGTGAAGCAAGAGTTCACAGTTTATTTCTGAAGGCAACATAACCTTATTCTGATCATTGCCTCTTTAAATTCTGTGGTGGTCTCCCACATCTTCGTCTCTGCAAGAATACATCTATGCCATAAAAAACTACAGAACTCATTTTAATTTTGTACAGTGAACAGCTCATCAGTATTGACAACGTGCATCTTCACTTAGTGCTGACAAAGGTTTAATGTTTGCATATAGTGAAATATCCTTTAGGAATGTAATTAAAATTAACAAAAAAAAAAAAACAGGAGGAAGTCCATACACACAGGAGGATACAAGAAGAAAATGAAGCGAGACAGGAGAAAGGCAGGACAGGGAAAATGAAAAGACCTGCCAAGAATGGTTTCACTGTTTTGCTTGAAGAAAATGTTCAAAATTGGAATACCCAGATTCAAACACATAAAGGCAGATATATTAACTGCCAGTCAGCTTTTTAAGTTGATAAGTGGTTTGCTATAAAAATGGCCATTTTCCATTATCATAACAGGTATTACATCTCAACTACACTATACAAAGTGTAGAAATGATAAAAACCAGCTCTTATAAACATTCCTCCCTGTATCCACAACCCCTTTCCCCAATCCCAAATGACATCCATTCATAAAATCCTGGGTAACAGCAAATGACTAAAATGTATTTCTGGCTTGTAATTGTGTAGTATTAGAAGTAAGTATTTAAACAATATCCTGAGACCATAAGATAAAATTAAAGGAAGCTAGATAACATTAAGCCAGTGTTCACTCTTTATTGCTGGTAATATTTCCCTGGAAAGCTGACCTTCGTACCTCATCACTGGTCCACCCAAAGCTGTCAGTGAGGTCGGCTGTAGATGCAGCTTCCTGGTCTAAGAGCAGAAGCTGTGCAAACAACCGCTGTAACTGCAAAGGTATGATTCGGACCTGAATGAGAAACAAACGTGCTCCTAGATGAAATCTTTTAAATGTTGGCTGGGCCTTTTTAAAAGAACTGTGTACTAGTGTTCTCCTATCTCCTAGTCGATTTAGTTCACTCAGGAGAAAATTTACGAATACTGTGAAGGATGAACACATTTATTTTTCTTTGAAAATTCTAATTCAATACAATTCTTAGCTACCTGGAACTCTCTACCTTGGCATAGTACAGAGTAATATTAAAACCCAAACCGGCCCTAATAAACCACCCCATTAATCACAGATTGACAGGAACTTCAGTCTCCAACAATTCATCCTTCCTCTAAAACAGCTCAGATACAGACATACTCCCTATGAAGAACTTTCCAGCCACAAAAATCTCACAGGGCCGGCTGCACCCTGCCCTTGCTTTCTTCCTGCCAGCACCACACCCGTTCTGCCCCTGTGGTGTAGGCTGGCACTGAGAATGCTGCTCAGAGCCTGCTCTGAAGACTGGACTTAAGTATCTCAAGTGAGAATATGCCAGAAACTTTATGGCAATTTTGCATCGTCATAACCTTTTTTTATACCCAACAAAAGTCTGATCTGCAACAGACTGAGAAAAAAACAAAAAACAAAAAAACAGACTCTTTGCCATACATGGAGTTTGAAAGACACTGGGCTATTCATGAAACTCTTACTAATATAAGTACAGACTGTAGTCTGGGGGTGATAAATTTCTGAATGATATTTAAGCAAGGAAGGAACATGATTAGATATGCACTTATAGTAAGCCAATTCCTCAGTTTATCTCCAGAATACCAAACTGAGAGACCACTGGTCTATATTTTTGTTCTTGCTACATGTAACTGCATTAAGTGGGTTTTTTGCTAAGCTACTGTGGATGATTTGCAAATGTCTCCTTAGTGGAAAGTGAGGCTGTCTATAAAACAGCAGCAGCATTACAATTGCAAAAGCAATTCTCTGGAAGGGAAATTCCCTTACCAGTAAGAAACAGGGCAAGGTGCTCTCTAAAATAAAGATCATAATTTGGTAATGAATAAAATTACTGATTTCTATGAACAAGGAACTTAATTCTTTCCTTAAAATATCTCCTTACTATTTCAAAAATCCCCTGTAAATCATGGATTTAATACCTTTGCATCAGGTTTATCCTTGTCCTCTAAGGAACCAAGCTCTTCCGGGCCAAGAGAGAATAAAGCTTCTAAACAAAAAAGTAGAATCAAGAAATATAAAGGACATTATTTCATTTTTGAAAACTGTTTTAGAAAGCCAAGGCCACCAGTAAGTAAAAATCAGCTAAAGATTCAGAAGTAAGATTACGACAATATTTATATCCCTATACCACACATTTTGCTTTCTGGTAACTTTACTTTTGGGCTTCCCTGCTGGTTCAGTGGTAAAGAATCTGCCTGCCAATGCAGGTTCGATCCCTGGGTCAGGACGATTCCCTGGAGAAGGAAATGGCAACCCACTACAGTATTCTTGCCTGGGAAATCCCATGGACAGAGGAGCCTGTAGGCTATAGTCCATGGGGCTGAAAAGGAGTCAGACAGGACTTAGTGACTAAACAACAGCAACAACAACATTACTTCTAACCACTGACTATAAAGTGGAAGCTAAGGTTTCAATATAAGAGAGCAGTAAAAGGAAAATCATACAATTAAAAACCCTGCAACATCATAAATCTTTGGTGGATTCCAGCTGCCTATGGCAATGGGTTCCAAAGGCCACATGAGTAGAATTAGGAAATATGTAATAGGGTTACAACATTTATAAGCAACAAGTGAGGCTGCCAACCACTCTTTCATAAGAAAGAGAACCTTTAACTCTGAGATCATGCGTTTCTCTTTTTTGGTATGAAAAAATCTTTTCTGCGTCATGGGTAATAGCAGATGGTAGTGAGCTTACCTGGAAAAGAAAAGTTGGTAATCCACTCCTGGTCTCCAGAATTTTCTTTTAATTCAGTGTCTAGGAATGTCACCCAATGGGGCACATCTGAATCGTTTGGGAAGTCTGTATTCAGATAGGAACTCCTACTCTCCTACTATATCAGAGGAGACTCTGATCTACTTGAGGGAGAAGGGATGGAACAGATTTGTCTTGCACTGAAAACCACTACTGCCTTACTAATTACTGTTACATTCTTCCTGAGTTCCCAGCAGGCATTGGGGGAAAAAAAATACATGAAGGTTGTATACACAAAGGTTAAATCATAAAAACCATAGAGAGACTTTTACAATCATCTCCTACTATTCCCAGCTACACTGACCTGGGAGTGCGGGGAACCAAAGTTAGTTCTGCTCCTTTAAAAAGGATTCCAAAAAGTTTCCCTCCATTCTGTCAGTCCTTACCCTTTTCCAAATTATGCTTCCCCATCAATGAGCATCAGGATTCGTGCTAAGCCTTACAAGTGCACAAGGCACATTAACGTGTCAACCCACGTGCTTGGCCAGCCACCTGCTTTGCTAAAGAGGGCCTGGGGTTTTCAGTCCTATCCTCGCTTAGCGGTACTCTCAGCGACCTGCCTGCCTTCCAAAACAACCACCTTTCTCAGTCTTTTTGGATTATTTATGAAAGTATTTTGATTTTTATATTTTTATTGAGTATAGTTTATTTATATACAACTGTACAACAGCACGACAATGTTGTGTTAGTTTCTGCAGTACAGCAAAGTTAACCAATTATATAGTCTCTTTTAAAGGCTAATTTTCTACTTCAAGTTGCTCTTTTAATTTCAATTATACTAAAACTTAGGAAAGATTTAACCTCCCTAAGAATCTACTTATTCATCCTGCAAACTTTTAATAGTGGAATTACTGAATGCATTCTGATGGAGTGGATGGAGTCCAAGATGAAAAGCTACACTCTTAAATTCCAAATTCAATTCAAACCATTATAAGGCCCTAGGAAGGGGTGGATGATAATTATACACTAAATCTCTGAAGGCAGGAAGTCTTTTTAAGCTTTGAAACAACAAAAAATGTCACAAAACTTTGCTACATTTAGTAGTGGTGGGAAGGTGGTGAGATAGTGAATAAAAGCCAGGATGTCTATCCTCAGAATACGGAGACATGTGAGGAGCTGAGCTACAGTCATGGAGATTTGTAGCTGGGGACCCTCCAAGGCCATGTGAAGGTAGAACGTTAGCACCAAAATCAAGGGAACAGACTGACATCCCTGCAGAGGAAGCTAGTTGGCAAAGAAGGGATTTGGGGACAAACATGTGGAGAAAAACAGGGGCAAGGAATCAAGGGTCCAAGGAGGTAAGGTAGCTTCCTGTAGATGGTTTCTAGGAGATTCCCCCTAGATTCTTAAAGTAAATCTGTTAATTGAGCTATTTTGACTGGGTTTCTATTCCTTGCACATGGTCTGTTATCTAACACCCTGTATCTCTGGAATTCAGAATTTCCAGATTTTAGAAAGTTATTATGAAAAAGGGTTATATATGTTAACATTACATCCCCAGGAGGGTGTGGGACTAATAGTATCTATTAACCAATATTAACCTTCATATTCCTGTAACAAATGTATGACCCACGTGAGATAATTAAGACTAGAAACAGTATCACATCAGGTCAAGGTCTGAGGCCAAACAGGTTCAGATTATTAGATCACGTTGTTAGAATTTTCTGGATTTCAGAATTGCCTATAAATGACTATAGTTTGTATGAATTAATATGACAACACCTCCCCACTCCAAAGAGAAGCATATAACTGCATTGGGTAACTCTGGTTTAAGTGTTTATTACTTTGAGAAGATTAAAAAAATACAAATACTGAAACAATAATGAAGACTGGCCCTCATGACAAAATCGTCTTTACGTTGTATTTTAAATTACGCTAGTCAGTCTCTTAAGTCAGGTCCAACTCTCTCCTAACCCCATGGGCTGTAGCCCCCCAGGCTCCTCTGCCCATGAGACTTCTCAGGCAAAAATACTGGAATGAGTTGCCATTTCCTTCTCTAGGGGCTCTTCCCCACCCAGGGATCAAACCTTCGTCTTCTGCACTGGGAGGCAGATTCTCTACGACTGAGCCACCAGGGAAGCCCCATATTCTAAATTACAGGAAGGAGTTACAAAAGAAATACATTGCTTAATTTTTAGTTTGTTACTGAACATTACTGTGATCATACAGAAAATATTCATAATTTAAGCTTCACATTTCTCTGCAGAGAATTATCAATTTATGTCCCTCACAGGAAGTTAACACATACTGTGGAATACACATTTAAAATAATTCATCTACTTGTGATTCTGCATGATTAATTACATGTAGAGATTTGGGTACATATTACTAGCCAAACGCATGTAACATATCATACCTCTGAATTCAGGTGTGAAATGAAGAGTCTGAAGAAGGGAATTGAGGTAACAGGTTCCACCCTGATTTCTGATTCCACTTAAATTGGTGAATTCTCTAGGAGCAGGTGGCTCCAAAGCTTTGGTCTTTAATTTCTTCCCTTTTCCATAATGATTATTTGACACACTGGAATAATCTTCTTCAAATAGGTCCCCAAACATTGTGAAACTAAATACTACCCTTAAAAAAAATATGACATGTTATATAAGTGTCTTTATTTTTAAAACAGAATTTCCCCACATCTCCCCCTTGGGAGTATTTTAAGTTGATCCTTAAGAAGTCTGGGCTTCTCCTTCAGTGGTAGCAAATGAAATCCCAGGTAAGGCAGTTAACCTTGTGCCAGGTGTTTATACTCCAGTGAATAATCTGGTCATATTTTGTAACCCCTCTACATATGCTGATTCTTTCCACTGTCCAATACCCTTTATGCATTGTTCTCACTAAAGAATAAATTCTTATAAGCTAAAAAAAAAAAAAAAAAAAGAAGTCTGGACTTTGCAGGCAGCAAGACCTGAATTTTTTTCATCCCTGTTTCACACTACCTGTGTGACCTTGGGCGAGTTCCTTAACCTGCATTCCATGTAAAAATGGGATACCAACTATCATGCAGGGTCATTTTTAAAAAACCAAACAATGAAAGAGAGGCATTTAGTTTACAGGGTTTAGCCCATAATAAATGACAGCTTTTTTTTTTTTTTTTAAGCCATACTGATATCACTAATGAAAAAAGAAAAAAAAACCCATCAATACACCTAATCCGCTGAGGTGGCAAAGTCAATCCTAGATTCTGAGCCTTGACAAGAGCCTGGGGACTGTGAATCACTTCCCCAAATCTCTGCTTCTCACACTCCTTGTACCAGATTGTGACAGCTAAAAAAGTTAAACAGAACAAATTAATCCGTACAGGAATTTAATACCGGCCCCAAAGGTGGAGAGCCCGGAGTTTCACTGGTGGAAAAAAAATTGCCATTTAAGTAGTCGGGCCTCAAAGTCTTACAATATTTATCCAGTGATCTCGATATTAGCTCCTGGGACGTCAAGCATCAGCTCAAGGTCTCCCTCACATCGGTTGTGGAGAAGGGTTCTTTGGGAGATGAGAAACGCAAAGGGCCTAGCCCAGTTCCTAAGTGACAGGAAACGCTGAAATAAAATTATTTTCCTTTTCAATCCGTTCCTCAGAAAAAAGCACAAAAAAATGGAACGTGAAAGTGTGGCCTCGAGCGCGTGGTCTGGATTCTGGTCTCCCCCACGCCACGGCCGAGGCCAGGCCCTCAAGTCCTTCCAAGCCACCACGGTGCCTACGGGTGCGAGAAGAGGTCCCCGCAGCGGGGAACCGCAGACCCCCCACGCTGGAGGACGCCGCCTCTCGGGGCCGGCCCGAGCAGCCTCTCGCCTAGCCCGCCTCAGGCCGTGCTGCCCATACAGTCCCTACGCCCGCCTCGTCCCTCCCGAGAGCCCCGGCCGCCGACCCCACTTACAGCCTAAAGCCCAGACCCCCGCCCCGGACAAAACTCGAAGCGAAAGAACGCGCCGCAACAGGGCGCCGCCATGATTGCGTATGCAGCTTTCCCGCCGCTCCGTGCGTGAGTTATTTATGGAACGCGCGGACTACTTCTCCCAGGATGCCCTGCGGGACCGCTGGCCCGCCGCGCAGGATCTCATGGATAATGTAGTTCTTTTGCTCCGAGATTTCGGACATCTGATATGGTGGACGGTGTTCGCTTCTAGTCTACTGGCAGGTTCGCCGGTTGGCTGGATCAGGCGGCCACTCATTCATTCAGTTTTTTAAAGTTTGTGTTTATTGCGGTTCGCAACTCATATTAGTTAGAGAATACAAAGATCGCTTGTCTTTTGGCTTGGCTAATGGCAGGTTACTTCAACCTTGGAAATATTTGTGTAGAGCTTCAAGGGTGCCGTATACTTTCAAAGACATTTTACAAGTGTATCTCCAGTGAAAAGTGTTCCACATAACTTTGATCCTTTATAACGTCCTCAGTATTTGTTTTGTCTGCACCAACTCTCATACCCAAGAAAAGAAAGAGGAAAGTGTTAGTTGCTCCGTCGTGTCCAACTTTTGTGTCGGACTAAGCCTGCCTATGGACTGCAGCCCGCCAGGCTCCTCTGTCCATAGGATTCTCCAGGCAAGAATACCGAAGTGGGTTGCCATTCCCCTCTCCAGGGGATCTTCCCAACCCAGGGATGGAACCCGGGTCTCCTGTATTGTGGGCAGATTCTTTACTTCTGAGCCACCAAGAAAGACCCTCATACCCAAAGGTACACTAAAAATAACTCAAAATCATGCTCTTTTGCCCGCTTGAGCACATTTGTTGGGCTCTTTGGGTAGATTTTTTGGCTCTTCTGGCATCTCTCCTGTCCCATCCAGCTTCCATCCAAGAACGAATGAGGCAGATGGGAAGAAAATCATTTTGACTTAAGCTAAAGGTTTCAGAGATTGAGAACAGCAATAGTGATAGACAAAGTCAAAAGGCAGGAGTCAAAGTGAATGCCAGCCTGAGGGGTTTATGTCTGATACACAGGAGGGACAGTTCCGTGGTTGCAACGTTCAGGATTGTCGGGAGGGAAAGCACTGGAGGCAGGGGACCAGCCAGCAGGCTGAAGGTCTAGCTCAGGAAACCACAGTGGGAATTGCTGGTTTTCAGGGTCTTATTTCTCTTGGCAGCCTCCTCTTTGTGACTCTCCTCCCTGGCTCTGAGGCACTCTATCCTGCTATTTCCCTTACTGCCTTTTGATCACTTCTTTGCCTTCTGTGCTTCAATTCCCTCTTCCTCAAATTTGAGTAAATATTCCTCAAATTTCCATTCTCAGATCAAGAATGAGCCCTGGAAGATTAGCTCCTGAGGATACAAGCTCACCCTTGTGCCCAGGTCTATCCCTGCCATCTCAACAGTGACTGGGTCAGTATAGGATCTCAATAGATATGCGTTAAATGAATGAATGGTTTATTAACACCATTGTTGTTCCCAGGTCTTGGAGCTATATTTGAAACTTCATCTTTTTCACATGAAGCAAATCACTTGTGACTCAGAGTATTGCCTGGGCAATGCTTTTTCCATGGTTCCCTCTCTTCCTGTCAGATACTTTATCATTAAGTCTCATCCACTTTAGGATGACAGCCTTTTAGGGTGGACTGCCACTTTATCCAGCCCATCCTGTGAGTCACTATGAGATCTGTCTGAAACTCACCCCAAGCTTATGTTTCTTTACCGAGGAGGCTTTGATGATTCCTTGGTATCTACTGCAGAAACTCCTCCATAGTCCAAACACTCTTCATACTGTATTTCTTATGACTCAACTCTTCTTCAGTTAAAGTGCTTCCAAATATGCCATATGCCTTCATGCTTCTGTGACCTGAATCGTGTCCTCACTGCAAGGGACATCCACCCTCCCAGATCCTTGTCACTCTGTTCATTATAAAGTGAAAAGTGAAAGTGAAAGTTGCTCAGAGTCAGTCTTGTCTGACTCTTTGCGACTGTATGGATTATACAGTCTGTGGAATTCTCCAGGCTAGAACACTGGAGAGGGTAACCTTTCTCTTCTCCAGGGAATCTTCCCAACCCAGAGATCGAACCCAGGTCTTCCTAATTGCAGGAGGATTCTTTATCAGCTGAGCTACTGGGAAATCCCTCCTTCATTATAAGTCCATCTCAAACTCTAAATCATCCATCTGAAATTTCCATCTTAAAATTTTCAGAGCTCTGTAAACAACGTATGACCTTCTCTTTCATCCAGGCTTCAGGATGATATGCTCCTCTCTTGTAACCCATGTCTCTAACAAAGCCAGATACACTCTTTCTGTCAGTATCTCCAAGACGGAGATTGAACCCAATCTGCCCTGTAGCCCCTGCAGCAGTCCACACTAAAAATATTAGTTGCATTTTCATTAATAACACTAACATATGGAGATCAAACCAGTCAATCCTAAAGGAGGAAATCAACCCTGAATATTCATTGGAAGGACTGATGCTGAAGCTGAACATCCAATACTTTGACTGATGCAAAGAGGCGATTCATTGAAAAAGACCCTGATGCTGGGAAAGATTGAAGGCAGGAGGAGAATGGGATGACAGAGGATGAGACGGTTGGATGCCATCACCGACTCAATGGACATGAGTTTGAGCAAGCTCTGGGAGATAGTGAACGACATGGAAGCCTGGCATGCTTCCATGTAGACCATGGGGTCACAAAGAGTCAGACACGACTTAGCGACTGAACAACAACCTGACTTTTTAGTTTATGGTGAAAATTTAAATCTTTTATTTGCTCGACAGAGAATTGAAGTTGGGTCTTTAAAGCCGTTGACTAGACTCTGGACCATAAAAGTTTCACCCAAGTGTTTTCAGCATGTAGAGTGCTGCTCAAGGAAGATTAATGATGCTTTTTAAAAGTGTGAGCATTTATTCTGTGCCAGGTAGGTGCAGAGAGTTTTCAAACACTATCTCATTTAATTCTCATAACACTCCCACGAGATGGGTAGTGACGTCATTCCCATTTTAAAATAAGGAAACTGAGGTACACAGAGGTAAATAATTTCTGCAAAGTGACACAGCATGTAAGTCTTAAACCAAGACTTGAACCCTGGTGATCTGGCTGTAGGAGCTGTGCCACTGATCCTATAGCAGTGAAAAGGATAAAAAGAGTAATGAATTTTTCTTTTTTTTCTTTCCCTTTCCTGAGAACAAAGAAGACTAAAAGAACCTTGAGCAGACCTGATTATTCCTAGTTTTTACTTTAAGTGTTCCTAATTTATAATCGGCAAATAATTTGCTTTCCTCCAAACTACATCGTGCACTTACTACCCTCTAACTCCATGCTAAATACATCCTGTCCTTCACGATGCTGTCTTCAGACCACCCTTGGTAGCTTTTTGCATTCTAGAAAGGAGGTTGCAGTGCGATAAACCAGAAGCAAACAGACCCAATTACCTGTCAGGGCTCCCTGACAGCAGTTATGACTGTTTTTGAGAAAATGCAAAAGGAAGAATTCTATTAACATATGATCCCCCAGATTCCTCATGGCGGGCCACAGTTCTTGGGGCACTAAACTGCCATGTTTCCCCCTCCGTCAGCTGAGGGAGGGACCCGGGTGAGAGAAGATGAGGAGTTTTTAGTCCATGGATTGGGGACCACCAGGTTGTGTTGTG